TGTAATATTCCATTAACAGTCACTAGTGAATCTTAATTGTTTAATTTAAATCTTCTTTTCATTTCTCTATTTACTGTTTAAGTTTTAATTTATCCACACAAAGGAAATTAATAAGCTACCGACTTAGATAGATAGATAATGTAATCTTTTTAAAGCAACTGCCAAATTTTGGTCTTACATTTTGGTCAATGTCTACATTTTAGGCATTTTTCTTTCTTTTTTTTAATTATAAAAGTCCAATGCACCTGAATAATTGTGAATCAACAAAAATCACCAAAACTTCTACTTTGCAAATTAAATTTCACTTTAATTTTTTTTTCATTAACACGTCGTTAATTTGTTTTATAATTTTACAGTTCCCGATTATAAAAATATTGAGCTGATGCTTTTTATTTGACAATAAGTCAAATTCAACTAAAGATGAAGCAAAAAAAGAAAAAAATAATACGGACAAATAATTGAGAATATCAAAAATTTGCTGGTGGAAATTGATAAGAAATAGTCTCGCAAACTCAACATATACATGCTTAATAAAGTCGGAGTTGCCAGATGATTATCGCAAAAAATAACAAAACATTCTGAAGTTTTATCTCAAGGTCTAGGTAGTTATATTTATTGTTGTGTATACATAAATGTTTTGACGACTCACGTGGTTTTCAATACCGAATCTAAACTAATGGTTAAACCACGCCAGTCACGTCGAGTCACGTCAGTCACGCCAGTCACGTCAGTCANGTCTAGGTAGTTATATTTATTGTTGTGTATACATAAATGTTTTGACGACTCACGTGGTTTTCAATACCGAATCTAAACTAATGGTAAAAACAAATGCAAACTTTTCGGCATCATCCCACTACACTTGTAAATATTTATTGATTAAAATTGTGTTATCAGCACAATGGACAAATTACAAGGAAGATGAAATCTTCACTGAACTTTGGCGCACTGAATCTCGTTTACTTATCATAAAAAAACTGCCACACAAACATGTGAGCTGAAAGGCTAAATTATGTCGCAGACTTTAATTCAATATTGACTTCACAAAAAGACTGAGACTTTGGCAGCTGTTTTAGAAACTTTGTTCATTCATTGTCAGAAACATTGGAAAGTACTGTTAATTATATTTATATTAAAAAGAAGAAAACAAAGTTCTTATAAGTTTCTCTGTTTTCAGTTCTAAATTTTGTTTTAGAGCTTCGAATTTCTGTTACGCGAGCGAATTTTTTCAACGCTTTACTGAAAACGAAACTTGAAACAAATTAAACGAAAAATCTTGATTTTGTCAAAAGAAAAAAAAACAACTTTTTACGTCATCATTGCATCATCAGCAATAAGCTTGTGATCTGATGATATCAAAATTTCTTTTAAAAAATTTTGTTTATGCATGCAGTGACTTTTTTACTCTAAGAAACTTTTTTAAATTTATTATGAAACCTTAAAATTTTCTCAACTTACCTTGACTCTTACGACGATCACGATCTTTCGATGATCCCGGTAGTTTTGCTTCTGATCCGCTCTCTGTTAAATTATTTGGGAAGTCGCTGTTGCTTAGAGACCAATCACTTTTCCTCTTTCGATTGACGTCACATGTTGAAGATGATCCCATGAGGACAGCTATGAAGAGTGTTAATATCTTGAGTATACTTTTTGAAGAATGAAAAATTCAAATTAATGCACTGTTTACCTTTAACGTAATCAACCGGCCAAGCTTCCTTTGAGTTTGAGGTTGATTCTTCCAGGTCTAATGAGAACTTTTCGTTGGTTTGCATGTTGAATGTGTTTTGAGCGTCGACGTTGTAGATTGATCGCGATTCAGACTGTAATGATCATCAAATGAAAAGCAGTTGCGATCTTAGGCTTCTTAGTACACGAGAAGTTTAAATAACAAAATTTCCAATGCATCATCTGAATACATAAATATTCTCATGATAAGACGAAAATCAAATTATTTCTCTCACGAGAGTCACGACATACCGTCGGAAATTAGTCTTCAATGCTTGTTAATCTACTTAATAACGTCATCAACATGATGTGGCAACGTTGACACGACTTCTCAGACAAAGTATAATCGACACATTTTTTTTTAAGTTTCGATTATGAATTTTTTTCGTGTTATCAATTTTCTATTTCATACTAAACACGATCTTAAATACAAAAACATCGAATGGAAATTAAAGTGAGATGACGTTGAATTTTGGAAGCATTTTCATTATATTTTTTTCTTTTAAAAATGCCTACTCACTTTGAAGAATGTTAATGTTTTTAAATAATTAGTTCAACAATTACAAATACTTCAATGAAAGGAGATTCTGTTTTGATAAATATTTAGATTTCTATTTCACTTGGATATCAAGTTCTTGGAAAAACTTTGAAATGTTTTACATTCTCGAGACGTCTGAATTTAGTTGAATTTTTTAAAGTTTTTAAGAAAAAAATATAAAAATTCTTTCCAGGTCAAGTAGAAGAAAATTTCTTTCAATGATTATGAATTTTAATAAATTATGAATTCATGTTATTAAAAATTAATGAAAAATGTTTTAATGTTGTCGGGAATTTAAATGCTTAGAAGTGCATTTTTCTTCCTAGACATCAAACTTAATTTGATAATAGCCATTGTAATGATTCAATAATTTTGCAATGCAATGAAGCAAGTGAATGATAATAAAAAGGAATAAAATCACTTAAACAATTAAATCATAAATTCAAAAGAAAGATAAAAGTCTGCATGAATCTTACATTTTAATTGAAAAACAGACTCTGTTTGAGCAATAAATTTTCTTTATATCTAAGCAGAGAGCAAATATCGTGGCTTTCGAAGAAAATTAAATACTCACTTGTTGTTGGAGTGGTTGTTGTGAATTTTGGTATGGAAGCGTTTGATACTCAGTACTACTATCGCTAAACTCCATGATATCTTCGTCGTCGTATATTGAACTGTCGAGGTGATTATTGTTAAAGATCCAACCAAATTCCGATAATGAAGATGCTGGTGGTGGAGCAGTAAGAGCCATAATCCGATGACTCAACTTATCAATCAATTTTTTTTCTTTTTTAATTGCACTTTCAAGGACCTGCCTTTTATTATTTTGTTGTTTTAGAAAATCACTTCATCCACATTAATTTTAAAAGACTAAACTAATTATTTGAAAAGAAGCTTCCAAGTTTTCCTTTCTTTTTAGGTATCACACACAAAGATTAAATGTTCCTTACGTTTCTTTATGTTTCATAACAAATGATTGCTTCTTGTATATTTTTCTTTTATGTAACTTTTTTTTATGCAAACGTAAATAAAAATTTACAACTTTTCAGTATTTATTCTTTTTTTTTTAAGAAAAGTTGTCCTTGTAGATAAGAAAGACAAAAAATTAAATTAGAACATAACGAAGAAAGAGTTGTAGAGTTTCTTGATTCCAATTTCTTCGCGTTGTCGATGAGATGAAAGTAATGTATTTTCGATAGATAACAGCATCTTGTTATAAGCAAACAAAATTATTTCTTTATTATCCTGCACTTTGGACGTCTCCATTAAGTGTTAAAGTCTTATCAGTGATTGCCACTTTTGATAATTAGTCTTTTAAACAATTAACATCAGAACATTTATTTTGATTCTTTCCTTATCACTTTTGTTTTAAATCAAATGTTTGTTTTATGTACTTCTAAACTACATTTTTGTAGGACTTTCCACTCTTACTGATGATAAATTTTCCAAATATTGGAAAACTTCAATTATCCAAACTTATGTTCTAACGATAAGCTGTTTTAGATATTCCATGTCAAATGATGATTAAATGTAATTTGAACATCAGGTGGCGACAAATTTTCATTCTTTCTTGCACTGGTAATCAAATTTATGAAACATTACAACTTTCCTTCTTAATTCTTGATTGCATTTCAACACAATATCCGATTGATGTGTGACTTAAGCGAGAGTTTAAACGATTGTGAGGCACTCTAAAATATATTCACTTCACATAAACATTTGGAGAGACAAAGAGAGAGAGAGAGAGAGAGAGAGCAAGCTTGTCTGCGGTTTGCAATGATTGACTTGAATTTTTCTTCTCTTCTTTTCCTTTCCTGTTGATTTTCATCGGTTAACAAATAAATTGTGACAATTTTTAAGATATTTGTTTCTTTGTTGTCTTTTCTAATTTCGACTAAAGAGATAATGATAGAGAGTAAGAGAAAAAGAGAGAGATATGTTATAAATTATTATTTTTCGACGTCATACATCAACTGATAAATGTCTAAACACCTTAAGTTGTTTTGTTTCTTCTTTTTCATCAGAAAATCGAAGGGTACAACTCGTGCGATTCATGTTTCAACTTCATGGAATCTTTTTTTCTTTGTTTTTTCTTTAATGGAGCAATCGATCACAGCTATCACTAAGGCGATAGATAGCATGTATCAATTTAATATGGGAGGAACACCATAAAATTCAATCCTCTCAATTTACTTTAATTGAAAAGGGCAAATTGAGCTGACACTGAGAGGCACAACAATAGACGAGATGTGAATATTAAAAAGGCTTTGAAAAAAAAAGCTTCATGTTGACGAAGACAAAGAAGAACTTTTCGAAATTTTATTAAACTACCTACTTCGAAGTTAAGAAAAGTTCAGAAAGGGAACAAAGTGTCGAAAATAAATCAACAAGACTTAAAAATAAGATTTAGCAAGGCGAGAAGAAGAACTTTCAAGAAGCTTTTGGGCTTGTGATTAGTTGTACCTATCAAGCATAATTACTTCAAAAGCACGCAAACTTTGTTTCTTAAAATTATTATTTCAAGAAGACGACGTTTATTTTCTTTTAAAACTATTGCGAAATGTTTTATTTTGCGCTCAATATGAGTTTGATTGAAATTTATGTACAATCGTGCTATTAAAAATTGATTGAGATCACGGCGCAAGACAAATTTATTAAGATTCTGTTGCTTCTTCTTTTCCTCTCATGAGCGTCATCATCACAAACAAAAACCATCAATGCTATTTGCAAATTAAATGCGCAACGATAAGAATCTTAAAATGGAACTCGAGACAAATATTTTATGTTTTCAATTGACTTTGATTAACTCTTTTTTATGACAGAAAGCAAACAATGATGCTTAAAAGTGAGTGCGAGAGACAGAAATACGGAGATCGAATGAAAGAAAGAAATAATCTTTCAATCAAGGAAAGATATTTAATTCCATTAAAACAAATAAGAACAAATTTAGTAAATTTTGTAAATGAAAGTCTTTCAAAATCTCTTATCAAAAATGCATTTATTTCTTCATTCATTGTGAACCGTTGGGTCATATTAGATGATAAAAGCATGAAAAAATAGTTTCATGACGATAATTCTAAACGAAAAGCCTCAAAACGATGATTTAAATTTTTGTTGGTATGAAGTTTTGTCATCGAGCCGAGAGCGCCATAGCTGCGAGAACGATGATAAAAAACTCGCCTTGCTCGTGAATGAATAAGAGCCATTGAACACATTAGACACGGTTCGTCGAGTAAATAAATAAAATATCCAGTACACAAGTACGGTCCAAATTTATGCAAATTGTCTTCACTGGATGCCACTTTTTCAAACGGACCTTCACCGAAATTCACATCAAATTTTGCAGACACTATTTGTGTTATCTTCTGATAGTTTTTATTCTGGTTGACTGACCACACGCCGCCATTCTGAGTTCTACTCACTTGATCGATAAGATCCATACAGCAATGAAGAATTGGATTTAATTTGACTTTGCATACTCCAAACGCGACAATTCTTTTATTGTAGGGATTTACAGCTAAACCAACGGTAGAGTTTTCGAAATGCTTTGATATGAATTGACATATCTCTATGAATCTCCAATGTTGCTTTATTTCTTCATCATTGAAAATTGTGTCGTTCCATAAACTTTCCAAGTATTTATTTTCATGAAACTTGCATGGCCAATTCTTCGTCACAATTTCATATTGCCATCGAAGATGAGGTTGAAAATCGGGAATTTCTACAACTCTGATGTCGATTGTAATAGTCTCTATGATATTTTCGGGTATTTTATTCGAAAGTAATTTAGCTTTAAGTTTGTCTTTATCACAATTTTCTGTCATGTCTAAACTTTCTAAAGATGCTATCAATATTTCGCTACTTTTGTTAACACGCTTAGTATAATTCACACATTCTAGTGGCATTTTATTGTTAAGTTCAATCATAGCTCTGCTGGTTTCTTTTCGATCACTAATCTTTCCAACAAAAAACTTTCGGCAAGGCAAATTGTATGTCATTGTATCATCAAGTATTGCCTTAATTTTTATATTTTCTTCTTGAAGTTTTATTCTTTTTCGATCATCCATTATTAATGTTTGTATTTCTGAAAGAATAAATTTATGATTGATTGATATGTGTGGATAGAGAAAGTTTCTTAAATACCTTAGCATATTGTGAATGATCGTCAGATTTTTAAGTTAATATTACATTTAGGAGTGATAAAAAAAAATTAACACTCATTTAGCGTTTTCTACATGAACATCAACACTTAGTAACAAACAAAATATTTGTGAAAGAAGGCCTACGCCATCATTTCTCTCTCCCGCCAGTTCCATCATCATGTTTTTATTTTCATTACTTCATAGCAAAAAAGGGATGGAGCAGGAGTATTTTAATGAATTGTCGGCTGTTATGAAAAATGATAAATGTCGAGGCTGACAGGGAATTCATTGCACAAAAAGGCTGTTTTTCAGTTTAAAATAATTTGTTGACGATGACGAAACAAACTGGATTAGTTTTTAGGTATGTTGTTCAAACAAGTTTGGCCAATTCATTGATTTAACATAGGTATCTAATCTTCAAAACGAGACCTGTCTTAACAACTTTTAAAAGTCATCTTTTTCTTGTCTATTTCTAATAAGGAATCGTAATAAGAATTCTAAAATATTTTTTATTTATGAGATCAGAAATAGAAGAATAAATGAATATTTAATTAGATATTTAAAACCAAAACTGTGATAAACAAGTGATTAAAATCTCTTTTGTGTAACCAATTTATCATTCCCGGTAATAATCAATGACGAATTTTAGGTAAAAAATTCTTCGGTCTTTTCTTAAATCACGGCAAATTAAACAAATGATATTCTACTTACATTGAACTTAATTTTTCAACACTATTCATTTATTTGGAAAAGAACATTAATATTTACAAAATCCTTATCAAGTAGGTTCAGAACACCCTACATAGGTATATTTTTTTTGAAAATGAAAATTTATAAAAATTAAGTGTAGACGACATTGATTCATAGAAAAACAAAAACAATATTTGAAAAACGCTCAGCCGCAACCGTTAAAATTTTTAATTTTATCAATCACTTTCATCTTCATCATCAGACTTATTTAGACTTAGTTTTTCATTGGTTTCTTCGACATCAGATTGATCTCGCTCGTCCTGCAATGCTAACTTTTGGATTAGTTTTGTGGCTGGATTGAAAACTCCTGAAGTTTGAGCTGAACAAACAAAACATCTTGAAGACTTACGATACCTTTCAAGGGCGCACTTTTCTAAAATAAGAAATTAAATACGTATATAGCCAATTTTTGTAGATTAATATATTTAGTATTTACCACAAAAATAGTGTTGACATTTTGTAACCACAGGATCTTCAAAAGATTTACGACATATCAGACATTTGAAAGGAAGATCTTCCTCGTCAGAGTTTATTTCATATTTCTTGTCATCATCATCTGAATCAATCTCATAATCTTTCTTGCTTGCCTTTGCTTTTTCTTCAAGTTCAAGTTGCCAGCCATATTTATAATCACTTCTGTCATGTAAGAACTTACAACTATCTGAAAATTCATTAAAATTTAGTTAAACATTCAATTATTAAATTATGAACAAAAATATTTTACCTCCAAAACCGCAAAATCCTGTTTCTTTATAATCTTTGCAAATATCTGGCTGATAATCCCAACGAACAGTTGAACGAATGTTTGATGGTGCTCTCATAGGGCCAACACTATTACTTCCCGCATTTCCTTGAACTGTGTCTCTTTTCTTGAAAAATTGCGTATAATTGTTCATTCCTCTGTATATTTTGTCATCAGCTTTGCCTTCTAATTCTTTGTTGATTTCTTGACTTTTCTTAAACAATGCTATCGCGTCACGATCTTTTTCGGTTTCTATTGTAAGTTCTGATGTTGCTCCTTGATCTCTTGGTCCCGAAGGTAAAGCCGAGCGTTTACTTTTATAACTCACAACAATATTATCATCTGAACTTTTATCATCAGAAGAATCACTGTCGTTGTCATTCTTATTTCTTGCTTTTTTGATAGCACTAGAAGAGTGAAAGTTTGGATTATATTTCTTTCTATCACCAGGTTTAATAACAACATTCATTTCTTTAGTTTCATCGTCCTCAGAATGTTTTTTCTCGTCTTCCGATGAATTTTTACGTTTACGAGCAAACTTATTTTTTATATTTCTTTTCACAAATCCCGTAGATTCACTCATATTTAATAAAATTATGAAATCAGACCTTTTACTTTTAATCGAAATCGTTTATAAATGTTTATAAAATGTTCCAGTGGCGGCGCTACGATCGAAATGTTTACACGGACAAAATGTTTACACGGACACATTTCTTAAAAGAATATAATGCATAGCGTACAATATTGGTAAAAGGTGGAGATGATAGAACCTTTAAGCTTACTTTTGCCAAGAAAACTTTTTGAAATCATTTTGCTTTACCTTTGATGACATGAAATTGTCTTTTGATGACGTTAATAAAAATGAACACAGTCGTAAATGTGTGGTATTTGATGTTCGAGAAAAGTAAGCTGTAAGAGAAATTGAAATACATTTGTTGACCATTTACTGACAAATTTCTGGATATAGCTTAGAATGCTTATCTTTGAAGTAAATTTAGTTAATAAATATTAAGAAAATAGTTTTTCTATCTTCTTTTCGCTTCGAGAGGATTCTCGATTTCTATTTTCTTAGTCTTAAAATCTTGTACATTTATCGATTATGTTAAGCGTTTTACGATCAATATTTCATCAGTCTTTTTCTCCTCCTTGTTCAAACGGAAATCTAATAAAGATTCAATTTTGAAAGTTCGAATCGCTTCTACCTAAGCTTGATTATATGTTCTCCATTGGGTTCATCCCATTTCATGAAAAATTACGGTAATCAAAATTTCTTCGACTTTTCCAAAAATATTTTCTATCAATCACTCAATGCCAATCCTAGTGGTGTGTCATTAAAATTCCGAACAACTTATTTAACAGTGAGAAATAATAAATTGAAAAGTTGAAACGAATTTCTGGAGAGAAATTTATATGATACAAAATTAATTCAAGTAGAATTGAAGTTAAAGGTGGAAATTTTCAAAAAAACTTTTGATTCATTAAAAATAAATTGGAGGCCGATTGTTGTAATTACATCATTCGTCACAGTTTACTTAACTCCAAAGTTTATTACTTGACAGCTTGAAGTTTATCTACCTTAGTTCACCTATTATTGTTTAACTCTTGATAATTCAACTCCTGACAACATTGACCAAAACAGAAAACCAAACCTGTACATATCAATCACTAACGTAAAAGTTTGGAAAAGTTAAATTAACACACACTTCAGAATCTTCTAAAAACTCTTCTGTTTTTATGGTTTGCAAGCGTTTGTTTATGTGCCATTCCATCACAACTATAAATATCAATGTGACAAGAATGTCTGGCTGAGATAAGAAAGAGAAAATATAGGAGGAAAACTTTTGATTGCGTGGGAAATTTATTTATTTTCTTTTCCATCAGGACTCTTTACATAAAGTTATTGCAATCAATAAATTAAGTGAGGGATCTAGTGACGAATTAATCACATATCAACCGGAAAATATCATGCTGGAGGAAAAATGATCCCTTCTGGGGCATAAAAATGAATGTTTGGGCATAACGAAGTGATTTGTGCTCTTTGCTTTCGGTTTTTCCAATAACATTTATGATGACGCCGCCATTTGGAAGAGGCTGTGAATCAACAGAACAAATCGATCTCGTAATTTTTCCTAATTTCAAGCTATCGAATTTTTTGAGAATTTCTTTTGTTCCATGAAATTGTTTGCCCTCAAAAGATAAAAAGGAATCTTCGTGATGGTAGAGTGAAACCAGAGATAGTCGTCTTGTTGGATCGTCAAATAACATGTAGTACTGTGCCACATAAATTTTCCCCAATCTATCAAAATCTTTATTCAAAACTCGCAGTTCATTGTCATAGGCTTCAGTCGAAAAATTTGTTGTATCTGCAAATAGAATCAAATTTTAATCCTTCTTATCTTAAAATAAAGTTCATTAAAAGTTTTATCCATCTTACTGTTTCCTTCAACCCGTTCTATCTGTTCAGTTTCCCCATCGCTTAATTTGTCGCCTTTCATCTCAATTAAAGTTTCAGTTGCTTCAGCGTTACAATAGATGAACAAAGCGCTAAGCAAGAGGAACGATAAGCATCTTAGCGGAAACATTTTACGTTTGAAAGATTTTCTTCTCTCTTCGATCCTTTCGCCAACTTGAGATTGTTAATTTAGTTTCATGTTCAAATTAAGAAATAAATAATTAAAATTATGAGAAAGCAATTAAACCGCATAATTAGATGTAGTTAAAAATAAAAATATGTAATACGATGTGAATGATGTAATAACTTTCATTCTGCGTAGTTTGTATAATTCTCTGTCCTAATTAAATGTTAATGTATGAACATGTTTCATGGTTTCCTCAATTTAATATCCTCCCGCAATTAAATATAAATAAGAAATACCTAATCTAAATATTATGATAATGTTAATAGAATTAAATATTTTACATTGCAATGATAACCCAGCACTCTTATGAGAATACTAAATTGTTTAGATTTGTTTAAAAAAATGATTTTTTTATACTTTTTGAGCTAACAAAACTTTACACAGCAACAGATTAAAATCAACTGGCAGAAATATTTCCAAAACTTTTTCATGTTTTTTCTTTTAAGAAGTTTGAATGTTAATAATAACTGTAATAAATGAATGAATATTGAACTGACTTGGTGACCGCTGAAAAGATTAACAAGAAACCTTAAAATTTATATTTGTGATTCCATTTCTTTTGCCAAACTGTGTCATCAATTCCCGTTGCAAAACGCCACAATTTTAATAATAATTTATGAATTAAATATTTCTATTTTATACAATCTAAAATTGATGCAGGGAATTATTCCCAGTCATTGTGTTAATAGCTAAATTTAACATAAATTATTTCATTTACGCTTGAAAAGCTTTCATTTGAAGTCTCGATATCGACACAAATAACTATTTTAACAACTTTTGAGTTGTCCTCACTTTTATAGGACATTGAAATTCAATTAAAATTCTCCACACATTATTTCTAACATGTAAAAGCTTCAGGCTTTAACTTATTTTATGAGTGTCAACATTAAACATTTTTATGCGTGAAAATATTTGAAAGCCTTTAAAATATTTCATGCAAACATAATCAACTTCAATTCATTTTGCGGATGTTGGAGTCTCTATAGGAACTGTGAGAAAAGAAAAAAAAGTAACTTTACGACTTCATGTCAGTTGAACATCAAATTTATGAGTTTCTGTGATGGTCAGTATGGTTTCACTTTTCATCCTTTACAACGTTCAGTGGGAAAAGGTTTCAAATAAAAAAAAAAGTATAACATTGCTAAATTGGTTTGATTTATTCATTATCGATTTTGTGTTCAAGATAAAAAAGCTTTTTTTTATTGCTTTCCGCTGATAATAAAACAGTTTTCATCGCTGGTATCATGTTCCGCGTTCATAAATCTCATGATGATTAGTCGGAAAGCCTCGTTTGAGAGTTTCCCAATAAAAATGTGTTCATTGTGTGAATTTTAACATCATTATACAAGGCGCCAACGATTTCAACTTTCATGGATTAAAGCGACAACACTTGTCGACAGCAGATCCCTGTAATTGTTTGAAATCTAAACGATTGTGAGCAGCAATTAACTAGGTCATTTCATCAAACATGAAGTGAATCGCGATTACGAGCCAGAAAATATTCTTTCATTTCATTTCCGCGAAAAGGAAATTAAGGTCACATGGATTCACTTCTTTCTTACAATCTTTCCACCGTCATTCTGTTAGCGATGCTAAAATATAATCCAATTATAGTTTCTTCATTTCTATAAAATCTATCAGAATGATAAATGCTTATTTCTCTTCTTATTCTTTTATGCGATTATTGATGGGGAAATTATAACAAATAATAAAGTTATTCTTAATGAAGTTACAATTCTTAAGATTGCGGATCTCTGATTGATGTTGCTAATGAAACTTTAAAGCTTTCGAAATAAGAAATAAATTTGTTTATTTATTGTTATCGCAAATCAAGTCTAGAATGTCAATTCTTAAATCTCTACTAAATATTTATTATAAATTTAAATAATTCAACAATTTTTGACTGATTTCATAGTCCATTCCAATTTTTTCTACAAATTTCTGCACTTTAACTTCTCAGCTACTTCTATTATAAAGTTCTACACTTAATCTTTGTTCCAAGAAGCTTCGTTGCTTTTGGACACGATCGGGATTTAAATTTGTGAAGACAGGAGGAAAAAATTCAAAATATGCTGAAATCCGAAAGGACTTATGATGTAAATGTTAATATTCGCGATAGCGACGACGATGGAAAATTAATGAGCTTATCAACTGTAAATATAACGATGATTAATGAAGATTTTATCCTCCATTCTCATGATTGTCATTCCAAATGGTTGTTCAATTCTGTTGTTATGTCGTCTAGAAGTGTTGATGTTTCCAGTTGAGTTTCAGTCGTTGTCTCATAGTATTCGTCGCTAAGAACATTACTTGAAGCCTCATTGAGTTCAGGGGCTATAAACACAATCGTGTTATTTACTCTTGAATCATCCGTGTGTTTGTAGATTGAGAAATAAGCTTGAATACGTTGCGTGAAATATTCTAAAACTGGTGGAAATTGCGAGTAGACAGTGTTTGATGGTTCACGATTCCATGGCAGACGTAAAGAACTAAGAAAACCGAAAATACTTTTATCGTCATTGTCTTCATTTTTGATGAACTCTTTTGGAATAACAAACGATATCACGGAAAATTCACCACGTAAATTTTTCAAAGCACTTTCTTCTGGTTGCATATATGTGAATTTTATGGCACTGTTATTCGATGCTAACGAATCTAGCAGAAATGTTGAAAAGTCCACAAAGTTTGGGATTTCATGAAATTCTGCATTTAAATAAAGAGATGACGCTGTGGGAACCCTTTCAGTTGTACTTCTCGGTGGTTCTGGCGTTGTGGTTCTTAGTAAAACATTTAAAATTTTCTTAAAAAATTGCTGCAATGGACGTGATGGTGGAGAGCTTTGATCATTTTGCTCTTTCGTATTCGGTACTGGATGGGAAATGATGGTTGAACAACTAAGGAGAACCAGGATGGATATTAATGAGATGTGCATCGTATAACGGATGAATTTTTTCCTTTTGCTCTCAATAAGTATTCAGTTCATGTTCTCGTTTCTTTTGAAGTGCGCTAAACGGTTAAAAATATCCTCACTCAGCTTCCATAAGGGCTGCAAATTAGAAATACAATCACACTCGATTTTGCCTTCGTTTATCACTTTCGTATCTTATGATCAACCGATTTTTTTTCCCTCTTCCTTCGACTTCACTTTTTATACTTCTTATCACGATTGAGTTTGGGAGCCAAGTGCGAAAGATTTTTTTTTCCTCTAAGAAAATAAGAAATGATGGTATGAAAGAAAGTAAGCGATCAGAGAAGTCAACATTCAACAATAACTGTATCAAAAATAAAAAATGATTGGACACATCTTCACAATGAGAAAATTGATTAAGTGTAAACCGGTTTTCTTCTGTAGTGGACCCTCATCATACACTCACTCATCCAAGCCATACTTATATTGACGTCATTTCATCTTCTTGAACGTTTATAAAGAGAGTTTAAAGTAGGATCCACCAAAACTATAAATAAGTATAAAATATAACACTTTGGTTATAATAGAAGAACATAACATTGAGAAAACACGATTGGATTTAGAACTGCTCAAATTAAATTGAAGCACGAACGAGTTGTGAATGTAAACCCATCAAGATGTCATGAATTGAAGTAAAAAGGAAAAAAACGACACACGTTCTCGATATCATCAATATGTATCTTGTCGGCTTTTCTCATGAACTTCAAGATTTATGTGTGTGTGTGTGTGTGTGTGTGTGTGTGTGTGTGTGTGTGTGTGTGTGTGTACATAAATATCTATAAATGTACGAATGTTCACGTTTTAAAGCTTTAAAATCGTTAATGTTTACTTATTTGCAAAACAAACGTAAGATTGAAATATTCTACAAAGACATTTCGATCTGCCATAATAAAAATAATTCAAGTTTGAGTAATGAAGTTTCACTGAGATTTCTTGAGGCAAGATTTGGTCATAAGAAATTTCTCAAACTGAGATTGCTGAAAATCTGATAATTTTAATTTCTAACCAGAAGAATTCATGCATGAAGATACCAGATATTGAAGTTTAACGACTAAAAATGACGATTTTCAAGCTCTTTTAATCTCATTAAATCTTCATCGTGTTGAAGTCAAACTATTAAATAATGAACTAAACTTGAAATGACGAGTGACAGGAAAACTGTCAACAGTTTTAGACAATACTCGCCTCTAGATAATATTTAGTAGTAATGACGCACTTTCTATCAGATATAATAAGTCACGCAAATGTGAATGAATGTACAAACGCTCATTTGTTTGAGTATCATAAAAACGCTGCTGAAACTTCTACATTTAAGGCATTTATTTTCTTTGGTATTTTGAATTAGCCGTTCGTAGTTGAAAGCACGAGCAGAAAGTTCTCTTCAGATATGTCGAAACATTTAACATAGATCAAAATTGATTTATTTATCGTCAAACGTTTGCGATAATGTCTCAAAATTTGATAAACCATTTGAAAATTATTTAAATACAATCTTTTTGAAAAGAAATATTCTTGCATGAACTTGCGAGGCTGTTAACTATTAATCACTGTCAACCGATTTTGAATGAGTGATGGACGGTTAACTGGTGGAAATATGTGTGGATGGTATGAGAAAAGTGGCTGAAAAATGTTGTGCTTGAAAAAACGCAGCATGTGGGAAAAGGTCAAACAAAATATTTGGGATGTTTGATATGAAGACTTAAAGCTTAAATTTTTCTTAATTTTATATCCTGCAATGTTACGTAATGTAAATATTTAAATTTTTCTTGAGCATTTTATGACGACATAAATATTTAATACTTAAATTAAAATTACATTTTTCCTCGAATGTCTAATGCTTCTCCTGCACCAAAATGAACACTGAAGAAGCAGCATGACAAAGGATTGAAAAAAAAGCGAAAAGTTCACATTAAATGGAAAACTTGTTTTTGTCATTTTTCAGCAAAATATCAACGGAATGAATTTTTTCGTTCTACGCTCTTTTTTTGCATTTAAAATGTTTCTGACGTGCAACAAAATTTATTTCTTTTCATTTCACCAAAGTGAGCATTCAATTTTATGCCACGAATAAATGTTGCGACTGGAACTTTTTCAACTCTGAATAAAATTAATTCATTTTATTTGAGATTATTATCTCTTCTAATGCCTCATCGCCGCGCTAAGAACTTCAATTAATTACACACCGTTGGCGCTACATAATTTACGTAGAGCAAGAGGAAAGTTTTCTCATGATAAATTTCTACCCGCTGTTCAAACATGGAAAAACTTTCTTTCGAAAAGGAGAAATTTGATAACGCAAAGCGCAATAATTAGTAATAACGAGGGTGATTCATTTGCTTTCTATCAGACAAATAAATTTGATATTAGATGTATTCGGAAGAGTAGAAAGTTAAATAGAAATTTAAAAGATGGATAGTGCGACTTAAATTGTTTCCTCAACTTTTAAAAGAAACTTTTATCAAATTTCAATTCTTTTATTTGAAAAGTTCTTTTTTAAGATGACACTTAAAAGTCAATATCATGATTCTTGAAATAGATTGCAGCTTTAGCACTATTCGGCATGTAGTTTTCTTGCTCAAGCTCCGCTTTGTTGAATAGTGACTCGTTTATCTCTGTCTCAAAGCTTTTGATTAAATCTTCTCGATGATGGACCATGGGATCGTAAGAATCAGCTGATGTTAAGGAATCTTCATTTAATCCTAAGTTTTCTTCAATATTCTTCAATGTTCCATAGACAATTTGATCCAAGTTGTTAACATCATCTTTCATGTGTTTATCAATAAGGATTGAATCGACAACATTTCCAACAGATTGTAGTGATAATCGCCCGTCACTACTTTTCACTAAGTTCATCACTTGATTAATCTTTTCATCAAATGAAATAGGACTTACAACATCAATTTCACTGGCTTCTAAAGGTTCGGATTCAGTCTTAATGTTTTCTACATTCACTGCCTCTATGAACTGTTCGGGAATGTTTTCGGTTGCATAGAATGGCTGCGCGTTGGCTAAATTCTCTATTTTCAAATCAATTTCACTTAACTCCTTATCTTGAAAGTCATTAGACACGACGGGGGAGAGTCCCGCTGGCACCACTCTGTTGGAATCTATATCAGTTCTTTTATCATCTGCATGGTTAGCGAGCGAAGCATTTTTATCAATTTCCTCGATGTTATGTTCAATTTCAGTTGCTTCACTTGATGTTTCTAGATCAAGCGAGTTGTTAGTCGTTAATGACTCAGAGCTATTGTTTTGCGAAATTGGTTCCTTAGAGATTACGTCTTCATCTGAATTCGAAGCAGTAAAGCTGACAACATCTGCTTCCTTATCTTTCAGAACGTTTTCATTCTCAACTTCATAAGTTTTCTTACTCTCAAGTCCCAAAATGGATGACAACAGATCTCCTACCGCATTTAGAAGAGACTCGTTGATGCTATTATCAATGTTAACAATTTCTTCCGGTTGCAACATATCCTGAGCTATCATTGTCGTTGTTTCCAATTCATCTACTGCAGTTTGGCTTTCAGTTTTAAATATTTCCATATTTTCATCTGTTATTGTTTCAATTTTTTCCACTTCATTTTCTGCTTCTCGAGGTTTCTCTGTTGGTGATGATAATTCCATATCATCAAGAGATTTTTCTGTAGTTAAACCATTTTCAATACTTTCTTCTTCGGATGGAAATTCAGTTGTAGTGTCAATGGGAATTTTCTCATCAGAGACCGAAGAAGTCTTTTCAGTTTGAAGTTTCATTTCAGACAATTTCTTTATCTCTTCATTGACAACTTTTTCAATTACAGCTTGAAGACTATTATCATCATTAATTTTTGTTATGTCCATTTGTTGCTGCAGCTCGGTCACGTCGTCTACAGCCTTATGAAGTTGAATAATAATTAGATTCTAAATGGATAGATGAATTAACAGAAATTACCTTGGGATATTCGTTAGTGCTTTTCTGTGTTGACGCTTCTCCCTTTGGTACCTCCATATTATCATTTGAAATGTCCTCATTCTGTGTTTCGCTCGTACTTATCGTGACTGACTGCGATGTTCCACCATAATGTATTTGTGTTAACAAATTATACAGGGAGTTAGAACTTTCTTTATTATGAGATTCAGGTTGCTTAAAATATTCACTTGAAACACGATATAGAATTTGGCCACTTGGAAGTGACACAGGCATGCTATTGATTTCCAGTATAAGAATTGTATGAATGAAGAAGACAAAAATGTGTAAATATTTCATTTTTAATTCTTCAACTGGCAGCAACTCGAAACTTTTTTAATTTTTAATATCAGCAAGTCTAAAAGCTTGAAATAAAATCGAATGAGTCACTTAACAAATGATTATGATCGTGCAAACGTTCGTCTCTCGTCGACCAATTTTGAATGACTAAGAACATAAAAAAGCCTTTCTTTTGCGAGAAGTACAAACTTTGCCTTTCTTTCCATGTTTCATCTTCGTTCTCTCACTTTCTTGTATTTTTTAATCGAAAATTGTTTTGTTGAAAAACTTCTTTTTCATAAATACACATAGGTAGGTGTTTAAATATATTTAGACATTATTTATGTTTATACAGTCAACTCTTGATAAGAAATGCTTTCGATAGGAAATCGAAATTTCACTCAATAGTAAATTGAATCTGGGTCGAAATCTGGAACGAAATTCTCTCGATAATAATAATAATTTTTATTATTATTTATCAAGAAATGTCACCCGACATAACATGCAAATTTCTGCTCTCTTCTTGACTGTAATTATTTAATTTGTATGACAAGCATTCGGACTTAATTTAAATCAATTTCCAAGCCATGTTGACCCATGTTAAATAATTCTTTGTTGTGTTTAGCAAGAAAAAAAAATTGCATACCACAGTTTCCCTGTTCATTACAATCTCATTCTTACTGACCATAAAGAAGAAGAATAAAATCTCAACAAACCAGTTTACTTCGATGTTACAAGTTTCTTGACTCACAAAAAAAAAGCAGCAAAAGCGTATCTTTCATTCCTTAGATCCAGATGCTTTTACCAACGATTATACCGTTCGAAAGAAAAAATCATCTCATTAACTAATATAACTTTGACTCTTATCTTACTTGAGAGGAGCCACATGTAAAGGTTAGAGATTGTATCATTTTATTCTTTCGGTCAATGAACTGTCCATGCTAATCATTAAGATGTGTTTCATTAAACTTAATGGAATAAACTCCATGAACATGAACCCAAAATATATTTCAATATACTTGGAGAAGGTATTTTGAGAGTATACACATTTATTCTCGCTTTTATTTAATTACATTATTCCAATCTAACCAACACAGAAGATTAAATTTCAAAACCTTACTAATTTGATTATATACGACCGAAATCAACAGAAACGTCAATTTTGCTTATTTAACTTTATTCCTAAACCCAAACTGACTTTACTTAAATATTTTCTCGTGCTTATTAATGGTTGAATTAACTCGAAATCTCTATTTAGAAAACAATAAAAGTCTTTAATGAGAAGTAAGTATTGGCAAAGTAGTTTCAATCAAAATAAAAACTAAATCGATTTATTCGTAGATCGATATCATTAAAAGATTTTGAAAAATTGATAAACAAATGAAGAAATAAATAAATAAAAAAGTGAAAATTATTCAGTCAACATTGTTGATAAATAGAAAATGATCTACTCAAATAGTTTTATCTCTATTTTAAATTACAAAAATGGAAAAAGTTTGCACAATTCATCAATAAAAGAAAACTGTTTACCAATATATTTTACACTCCACTTTCATAGTGAAACTCTACTCGCATGGAAAACTCCTGAATATTTATTAAATAAACATATTTTTAACACTCTCACTTTATGTCGAATAATTTATAAAAATAGGGGAAATTTTCCACACTTTACTTTTTCGGTTCCTTCACAATTGTCTTTAATAATTTGTCGAAAATCTTTTTTTCTTCTTTCAAGAATGAACGAATCAATCAAAAAAAAATGCAGAAAGTTGATGAATGATTCCCATGTGGCCATGAAAAGACATGGAATGTGGTGAGGGATGAATTGTCATGATACATAGTCGAGAAAGAGCGAAAGTCACGTAGGTATAATTTTACAAGGAGCAAGAATTTTACTTATTCACAAAGCTCCTTCGCATTGAATTTGTAAAGGCGTAAAAAGGGTGCTATGTGATGTGAACATTCGTTTTACGAAGAAATTAAATTAAAAACTTCCGTAGCAGCTTATTTGTAAATTTTCTGGATTGATTTATTATTACAAGGATACGGGCCAATTTAATTTAATGTCATAACGATGTCTGATAATGAAAATGGAAGAAGGGTTTGGTTGCAAGAAACAGATGTCATTTCAATTGTTGTTGAGGAAATTTATTGAGTGTCAAAACGCAATGCTGTATCCGCTTGAGTTTATAAGGAAGTTTATTAAATCAGAAAAAAGTTAAGCATTGAAACAAGAACAAGTTGTTTATATTAACAATGTCTAATTGACAAATGAAAAATAAATCAAACATCACTAATAAAAAAAAGGGAATAACTTAATAAAGATTTTAAAGCACTTTAAGTTTCTTTTAAATTGACGCCATGTGGTGTTAACCCCACAAACTTATTTGCAAGGTACTATTTCATCCAACTTTTAAGGAATTCAAACAACTAACTTTCTATGGCAAACATTTCTAACTAAACTTTTATTAAAAAAGAGAAAATATTAATGTTGATGATATATAAACACAGACATTCAGCCAATGAAAAAAAAACCCTGAAAGAACAAAACTCAAACAATTTCATAACAAAAACAAATTAAATGTAATTAAATTACCATCAAAAGATACGCCATATACATTCTCATTAAGCACCCTAAAAAGGAAAGCAAAAAAAAAAAACAAACTTTGACGTTTCTTGTGAGTAAACCCGTAGCTTAAGCAAAATAAAGCATGGCAAAAACCAGAAGAGAATACCAATATATGTATGTACATTTGAAAAGCAGGAAAGCCTCTCAACATTCGAAAATTGTGTCCAAAACAAAATACGAATTCTCTTTAATTAATTACGTAATTACTAATGTTATTGCTCTTACGATTTAAATTGAATTGGACAATCTTTGAAAGATTTTTTCTATTATCTAACAATGTGTTATCTGATTTATTTTATGAGCCTAATGGAAACTATTTATTTGTAGTTCTTTAATATAATTTAGAGGATGATAGCTTCAAAGAAATTTACTATCTTAGAACATTCAATTAATTTCGTTAATACTTTTTGATATACCGTGAGACATTTATTGAAGTTTTCATTTTTGCTCTGTTCATTGTTTAACAAGCTAACAAGATTAATTTTATTGAAGGGTTATCGCTTTAAATAATATCACGAGCAATTCCAAAAATTTGCATTAAACTGCCTCTTCCTACTAACGAAAGAAAAAACTGTAATTAATTTGAAACAAAAAAAAAATCAGTTCATTATTTTTATTTATCATTCTTTTTGTTTAAGTTGAGAACAATGAGACCTTTTTTTCACGCTGATTATGTCTAATTAAAATTACATTTTTTATCTTATCTGTTCTAAATAAGAGAGATTTTAGGAAGAGAAACAAAAAAATTCATTCGTGCTTTTATTAGATTTAAAAGTTCTATGTACACATACACAGTTTACTAAAGGGGGAAATGAAGAGATATCCTGCGATATTTCAATTGTTTATCGTCCTTTGTTTTTGTCACTTCAACTCACAACCAAATGTTAAAATATCCGAGCACAATTTTTTTAGAATTCCCATCACATCAGTAATTATGAAATTATAGTTTTTTCATTACTATGTACATGCAGAATATGTTCTTGTGATGTTTCTAAGGATTTTAGAATATAATTTTCAAACATTATTATTTTGTAATAAAATTGAGCTTAAGATGAATATGCATAACGGATTTGTTTACTTTGTTTCCTTCTAAGTTAAGTCAGATACTTAAATAAATGAAAAAAGTGTTTTTCTATTCAATTTACATGCATGTTGATGCTTGATATTCATTTCTGGCGTACATGTTGTGAATAAACAGTTTCTTGAAAAGCTTTTATGATTATAACGTGTTCATTCAATGAAGTTACTTTAGACGTATCTTGATATGAAAGTATAAATAAAACCCAAAATTTAAAGAAAACACAAAAAAAATTTCCTATTTAGATAAGAAATTATAATTTTTATGTTACTTCTCATGTTTTCAAATGATATTTGAGAGAAACGGAACTTTTTTGCCCTTTTAAATTTTTACACTTTTTAAAGAAACGTGATGGCGGATCATTTCTTTAATGAACTTCTTATAAAGTCAACATTTTTTAAACAGAAAGATCAGAAATCAAGGATAAAATTTTCACACAATTTCACTTGTTTTTCAACAGTTCTCAGATATAAAGTGAAAATGTATTTTCCACATGAAACTACGGGAAAAGTTTTGACTTTTCTCCATGAAATATTGTGTAGCCATCAAATTAAAATTCTAGGTGAGATTGGGCAACCAGTCGACAACAGTTTAAACTGTATTTGGAACATAAAATGAGAGATAAAAGGCCAGACTTTTGTGTTTGAAAATTTATTTTTTCAATGTGACAGTACAATAAATTTAAGCGAAAATTTCTCTCAGTTTTTGCAGATGCACGTGGTGAGAGAATGTTTCAATAAAAGTTTCCAACTTTTCTGTTCGTTTTTAAAATTGTTTTCACATGAATGATAAATGAGAAAGTTATAATTACTTTACATATTCGAAAATAATTCACAATTTAGTGTAAATAAAGGATAACGTAGGTTATCTATTTAAAGTTTTTCTTAAAATAAAAGTTCACTTACCTTTAACATTCATAATTAATACAAAGGTCTGACACATTTATCTCAAAATTCTAGCATTTCCAAATCTATCCTTTAAGAGTCTAGAGATGTTTTCTTTGATACTAAGTTTGGAAACGTTTGCTAAGAATATTTATAGCGGCATTTAGCAAATAATAAAGCATTTCCAATGTATTCCAAAAATTATATCCTAAAAACAATGAAGCAATCCCCCCAAAGCTCACAATCAAATCCTCAAAACTGAATAAAACATCACGGCGATAGCGAATTTTCTGAGCAAGAATTTCGTATCGGAGTGAACTATCTCGACTTAAGATAGATGTTTCTGAATCTATCGCCCAATCTGACTTTTTAAAAGAATTGCTTTTATAAACAAGTTCAGAGCACGTTTTGGGACAGTTACAGGTTAAATTGTTCGGCCAAAACTTCTCTTCTAGGCAAACTAAAGCTCTTGGAGAACATGATGTCCCATCTGAATGACAAAAAGGAACAAAAGTTTGTTTAAAACATTTGCTTAATTAACAATTCAACGGATGACACTCACTGAGAAAGGAATAGAAATGCGGCTTACACCCACACAAGCTAATGGCTGCTTCAGCACGACACTTTTGGATACAAATGCTTACACTGTAGCCTTCTAAACCAGATATTGATTCATCGTAGAATAGACAACGTCTTTGAATAGCTGATAACGACCTCAATATAGGACTTGCCCTTAATAAGTTATGGAAGTTAAAATGAAGAAAATCAATTCATCCAAATGTATGACATTTATTTAAAATTAATACTAACATAGTTTCGACTATATTTAATGTGATTTCAACTTCTTCTGTCGTCCCCATTTCAGAAAAAATCGAATATTCAGTTACAGTCTCGTAAGGCGAATGAAATGAATATTTGACAGTTTTATTTGATATTTCTAGTCTCATATTACATTGATTTGTTATGTAAGAGCAAGTGACGAGTTGGTTTGACGTTTGATTTTGAACCTTTTCCACTTCGCTAAAAAAAATTAATTTTCTTTAATTATGTGAAGAATGATTTGATGAATTTGTATGAGATGAGAATAAAACAAATTTAAATGACTTACTTTGTTGCTATGCCACTGTTTAAAATGATTGAATTGACTGTGAAGCAAATTCCTTTTTCAGTCATAACTTTATTAAACAGAAGTTTTAAGTTTGGGTCGAAGCCTGAAATTGTAGCAACGTTTTCTGGATGAACATCTCTTGCCACAAGAAACATGTCAAAAGCTTCTAAGCGTTTATCCACAGAATATCGCTTGAACGTGTTTAAGGATGAAATTGAAGCATTCACAACCATTCTAACATAGTTGAGGAAATAAGGAAACTCAGCATCATCTGCGCTGATGTTCCAAAAAAGTTTTATCAAATTTGTGGCTTTCACTTCATCAAAGCGATTTTGATAACAGAAGGTTAAAGCTGGAATTGTCCCATTCCACAATCGAAAGTCTTAATGTTATTTTTTATTTGTTTATTATAACACCATTCAAAACGTTCGTTCAGCCCAAGCATAACAAATAAAATAAGAAAAAAATAAATTAAAATAAATTAAATTCTGTTGAAACGAGGTTAAAAATTTTATTGAGCAATGAAAATACCTCTTTCAAGTGAAATCACTGTAGGATTAGCAGTGTAACGTTCCATTTGCTTATTTCCAACAAAGAATACCCCAGAAAATGCGCTAAAGACGAACGTGAGCCACAGAAATCTTTCAACTAAGTGATAACGCTTATTGACACAATGATTAATTCCATGTAATTTTGCATATTGATTCAATTTAGCGATGATTCGAAAAACACTTTCGGAAATGTTACTGAATGACAACGTTACGAGAATTATTAAATCATTTGTAGCAGTTTTGTACTTCTTCAACATTTTATTGATTTTATGAATTTTATTAAACATTTTTTACTTTCTTAGCCGTAAATCTGAACCGTGAAGGTAAAAAAGCGTTTTGGTGACTGGCATGATTAATTAACATTCACACAATTTATATTGCTAGAATTTAACGTCCATCTAAATGGAAGTAACTACCTAATGAATATTTTCGATTAATCGTACTGATAAAAATTGTTTATGATTCCGCCTCGATCAAAAAACTGCATCAGCATTTCATATATTTCCACATTACAATTTATCATTTGTTTTCATTCGATTTACGAGCTCAAATTCAAAATAACAATGATAATTCCTTTTGATTGCCTAAGGATATTTTTTGATATGATAATCAAATGTACATCTATTAACAAATGTGTATTCGATTGTTTTTGTTTTATTTTGTGTCCAATGTAAGTTCACTATTTGCTAAGGAAATCCTTTAGCAGACGATTTACAGTAAGTTCTGTACATATGAATTTATCAATCACTTTATCAGGTTTTTTTTTATCCAGAATTATACAAACATATCTAAATGGGTTTCTTTTCAATTAGTTGCAAACCTTTTTTGTTAAATGAAGTTGTAAGTTAGAGAAAATCTGTTTTAAAATAAAAACGGCAAAACCTCTGAAATATGTGGTCAAAAACTGAAAGAACAAACCTCATGCATTAGAGTTTTGTTTAACTGCTGGAGGAAACCAAAGAATTTTTTTTATTCTTTTCTACAAAGAAGTGAAACCCAACTAGAAGAAAGCCACACATTCAAAAACTTTGAAGTTTACATTTTGTTTACAATGCTTTGTGTTCTAAAGTTTCTTGTCTCAAAAAGTTCCCAAAGCGATTTTAGTCCTTAATGCTTTGTTTCTATTCATTTTATTATTTTTCATTTATTTCTGCCCTTGCTTCGAACCTTAGTGAAAGAAACATTTATTACAGTAACAAGGAAGTATTTAAAATGGGAGAAAATTTTCTCACTAAATCATATTTTATTATACTCCCGTTTTCGCAAATGTAATTAAATTCAAAGCAATAAAAAATTAATTTCGTGGTAAAATATTGAAAGTGAAAAAAGGCAGACGTTTTTTCAGCGACGGTTAGAATAGACTTCCTCAATGATTTTAGGAAATGTTAACAGAAAGTTCTATCATGGGAATGTTATATATGCTCCAGATTCTCTTAAATATTAAATGAATTTTCTGTTCCATCGCTGATGGAAATCGAGCAGAATGAAACAATTTCATGCTTTTCATTCTGCTTACGATGGATGATTTTAATCCAAAGCGGAAAAGACGTTTCTCTTCATCTTCAGAACCTTTCCACCGTATCACTTCACCATCCAAGCCATGCAACATATTTCAAATTAGCCCCCGCCACCACTCGTGAAATTCACAAAGATTATGAATTTTTAATGTTTCAACAGCAATACGTGTTACAGAAAAATATTGTTGATGAATAATTTTCTCAGTTCAGATGGGAAAAACGGAAGGAACGTACGTTTTGAACGAACATACTCATCAAGCTTCCGTATCCGCAATTATTATTCATCGACTATGATTTACATTACTCAAGTATTCATAACACTGAGTAAGAGAAGGATATATGATAAGAAAGATAATTTCTCTACAGCCGCTCACAGATGCTGTAAAGTTTCTCCCATTTCGAAATTTATTCACTCGAACAGATAGATAACGAACTCGTGAAAATATTTTTCAAGAATTCTCAGATTTTTTTTCTTTAATCTAATTACTTTCATTATAAAAGATTATCAACTTGAAACTCTTGAGCATGAATAATACATAAAGCTTGGATAAATACTCCATTGAGTTTTAAAACTAATTTTGAATAGATATGTTTGTTTGTTTTTAATGTTTTATTTAATTTTCTGAGCAATTTACTTTGCAGTTCCAAGTTATTATTGTTTAATGCTTAGGGTTATTCGGGCTTATTATAACACATTGAATAAATGCCATTAATTGTTCAGCTTTATTAAATTCTCAAACTTAATGTTGACCAGGTAGTTTAATGTAATTATAAGCTCTTTGATCACATTAAGTATTTAGGCAGGGTTGACAGTTTATTTGATTCCATAAAAAAATGCAGCATAGTTGAAATAATTGGTAACTTGAGCTTCAACTATAATCTGAATAAAATGTTGCCCAACACCTCCAGATGTAACGTAAGCACGTCCCAGGTTTGAAGATTGTTCACAGTTGATTAAAATATAAGTCAGAAAAGCTCCATTTCCTCCCGACGATGGGTAACTTAAAGTTGTCGTCACATTTTGTGGTATCGACCATTTTCTTTTATTACTTCCATTAGCAACGACAGAATCACCTTGAAAAGAAAGAAAGAGTTAACATTTTTCTAGATAGTTTAAAATGACATAATAGTACTAACCAGTTTGTCTTACACCCAAGGAATATGATCTTGATATCACAAACTGTTCTTGATCTTCAAAATCCATTTCAATTAAAGTGACGCCAGGATTGTTTTCTTTGAAATCCTCAATATTGTTTACAGTTTTTATAAAGCTTCCACTGACAACTGACAATATCAGCAGAAATAAGAAAATAAAACCAGTTCTCATCTCTCCTTAAATTTTTTCTGACAACTAGAATAAAAATGTGAGCTGATCTGTCAAAAGTTCTAAATAATCTGAAGGCAATGTCAAGTTTGAACTAAGCTCAAATACAAAAAATGAAATAACAATGACTAATCTTTAGAATATCAACAAAAACAAATCACCAACCACACATTCACATCAAATACATTGATAACTTAGAGAAAACCTCACATGTCTCTTCATAATGTGAAACTTTTTAAATAATTTAGAAAGATTTTTTATAAAGAATAAGTGGAAACATTAAGTGGTTGAAACGAAAATTAAGAATGAAACAAATATCTAATAAGTCATCTCGTTTTTTAAAGGTTTTTATTTGATTTCGGCTAAATCAATAAGAGTTTTATGACTCAGTACATTCTATTTGCACATCTGTATGTAGTGAGAATGAAAGTTGTTCGTATTTATTGTATAGAAACGAATGATGTGAAATTTCTAAAAACTGATAACGTTTTAATGTGATGAATCAAGCAATTAAGTTTTTACTTCTGATTGCTTACGCAACGTTCATTTAATTCTTTTTATTTCTAGATTTTTGTGGATAGCAACCGAGAAAGTTGTGAGAGCGTTTTTTAATCAGAAGTAAAATTTATTTCCAATTTTTCTTTTCAAACTTCTACTTTATTTATATATGAAAATATTTCACTAAAGAAAAGTGTTAAATATATCATAATTATATTCGTTTTCCGACTGTCGTTGTTAAAATCTTTTACTAATAATGATTAACTAAGAAGCTTTATTCAACAATTATTTTACGCATTTTTAATCTACGCAACGTATTACATTCGTCAGATTTCTGAAATTCTACTAGAAAAATTGATTCATCTACATTACAGACATTAATGTGTCATCCGTAAGGATGACTTTGAACTTTCAAAAAATATTGCTTTTAATCATGTTACACAATATTTATTACTAAACTAAATGTAAATGTGGATTTATGAACTTAATAAAAGTAGAATTGCCCTCCTACATCGTTGAATGGAGCTATTATTTTGCTGATGGATAAGATAGGAAGAACTTCACTGTGGAACTAGATGTGAAATATTATCACATTTTTTTACTTTTTGATGGCTTTGACCGTTCTTGAATGAATGAATGATAATCATAAACATTTGACTTTTAGCTTTGAAAAAGTGCTTAGAAATTCTTCATTTACTCAATAGAAATGTCTTTGACTGATTTATGCGCAGCAAATTTGTCACTTTCAAATTATGAAAGTTGAAAATTTCAACAAATTAATTTAAAACCAATTTCGTATACTGATTTTGTTTAGAAATTTCACATTCAATGATATCTAAGAAATCAAACAGTTTTTAATAAAATCAAATTCCTTATGCTCAATCTAACATTAATAAATATGCTCAAAATTTGGACGTGTTTAGATGATTGGAACTGAGATATTTCTAAATGAAACTTTTCATAATGTCTTGTCTATCTTTGTTTTATCGTTACTGAAAGTCTCAGCTAATCTTTTGTAATCTCTAGTTTATTCAACTCTCATGGTTATAAATTACTGATTAACACAGATCAGCAAAATTGTAAATGTTCACATTTTTTCAAATGACTTCAAAAACATGCTGCAATTATTTATATAGCGTAAACTAACAAGTTGTAAGTTAAATTTATCTTGTCTTGTAGGAAATGCATTTACAAATCTCTGAAACGTGTACAGTAAATATATTAAAACTTTATATGCTGAGATTGAAAATTGTAATTATATTCTTTATTATCTATAAATTGAAGTGATATATTTTATTTTTTATTTCCTATATGTAGGACTCAATGGTGAGCTAAGGATCTAGATTTACTAAGCATCTACACACATTTTTAATTGGATTGTTACTTAAAACCTGAAACATGAAGTATGATTTCATCTAAAACTTATTTTCGTTCAACTGTTGTTTTCAGAATATTTTTACTTAATACACATAATAAACTATTATTCATTGAGTGGACTGACACACGTTACAGTAAGGATAGGTAGACTCTGTACATGACTTGATGATGATGATGACATGTGACATTATTTATCAAAATGTAATCAATATCAAATTTCGGATGTTTCTTATGAGCAATTTTTATAAAATAGTTTCATCATGATTTAATATTGTTTTCGTCACGTGTATGCACATATTTCAGTTATTCATCTTTATTTATATCAATTTGAAATGTTTGAATTAAAATGCAGATTTATTTAAAATTCTTAATAAGATAAAAAAGATAAAAAAGAGTTATGTCAACATAACAAACATGTATCTCTACATGCAATCTAATAAACATTTATTTATACAAAAGATAAGATGCTAAAGTTTTAATTTTTTTCTGATGTCTCTAATATTTTCTAGTCAGTTTATAACTTTATCTTGGTGCAAGTAGTAGGTATTTGGTAAAGTAGGAGGAAAAATTTAGAGAATGGCTCAGGCTTTTGAAATTCGAGACCGATTCTATGGGAAAAACTTCATAAAAATTGCTCAAGTAGAAAGAAATGGTATACATGAATTTAAAATAAAAAATTTTCAGACACTTGAATGAAATGAAATCAATGAATTTAATGCTTAAGGTGCAAATCACGTGATCAAAGAGTACGAAATGGAATTAAAGATGTCATTGGCAGGAGTGAAAGAATATACAAGTGGGATGAAAGTTTTGTTTTTAGAGAGTTATAGATTAAAGCAATTCTTTATTAAAGCTGATAATTCTGAATTGATTTGTGCCAACGGATGCATAGATACAATTTATATTCTTGCAAATAATCACGGTATTAAGTCACCAGAAGCTTTTGGAACTCTTGTGTGTAATCATTTATTATCGGAATACGATAACATGACGATGGCACAGTTGACCATTGAAGATTTTGCTTGGAATAAAATTTCCTACGATGGAGATATGAATTGTGAAGAAAAAACAATTTTGCACAATCATGCTTTCATACACAATTCAGATTGTGCACGAACATGCACTGTCACATTTCATCGTAAAGGTAGAAAAGTGTTTAATTTATCTAGAAATGTTGTAATTTTCCTGCTATTATTCTGTCAGATGATGTTCCAACTGTCACAAGTGGAATAAAAAACTTACGATTAATGAAAACAGCACAGGCGCAGTTTATAGGGTTTCGTCGTGATGGCTATACAACTTTACCAGATATCTTTGATAAACTCTTATGGTCAGCTATTGCTTTTGTCTTTTTTATGATGTTGTTTTGAAATCTTTTTGTATGTAGCACGAATGTAACCTGTACATGGAATCTAAAAAAAGGTTCAACATACGAGGACTATAACAGAATTTGGAATGATGTGAAAAATCGCATAATAAAGTGCTGGGGTGGCGATCCCGTAGAAGGAGTTCTATCGACATGTATGCAATTTACGCTTCAAACTATTGAACGGAATATTCTTGAATCGAATCCTGAAATTATTTCTATTCAAATGCTGATGCCAAATCTTTTGTATGCTGATTTCGATTTTTCAAAATTTAAAACTCTGGAAATTAAAAGAGGTTTTAGATCTATTCATATACCATCTGAAAAGCCTTTGGGTGCTGTTTATGGAGAATTGGGGAGATTGGAAACTAAACAATAAATAATTAATAATATGATAATCAAGTGTTAGTAATGAAAAGTTAAATATATTGGAGATTGAATAATTTTGTTGAAATATTTGTAGAGAACATAACTTTGAGTACATAAATATGATAAAAGGCTATAAATCATGGAATAGAATTTTTTGTGTTTTATTCATCTTAAGATTCTAAAATAATTTTCATAGAATGTAAGGAATAGTTTGTTGTTATTTTATTTTGCTCAACTCATTCCATGGAATAAAGAAAGCATAACGAAGCAGTGGAAATATTTCGGGTTTTCCGTGGGATATTTTATTATCCACAAACTGTTCATCATACATAAATTGTGTATATCTATTTTGTTATAAAAGTTGAAGCAAAAATACATAGTTGAAAAGAAAGAAACAATTTCGCTCAAGTTTTTGCTGAATTCTTTCTTATGATTTAATTTTCGTCTTTTTCTTTTGAATTTCGTTTATGTCGAAAAGAAGAAAACAACAACAACATAACAAAATATTGAAATTTTCTTTTATCACGCAATAAAAAGCATTTGCACAGAAAAATGTGTTACAGCAGCATGTAGTTCAAGCTAGTTCATATTCTGCGATGAACACTCTCAAACATACTAATGTGTGTACAATATACGTCATAAAGCTATGGAGCAGAACTCTTGAATGTAAATATTTGCTGAACAAATTCATTATAACGAAATATTATCGATTTGATTCTTTTGGATCTCTGCGAAAATTGCATAATTAGGGAAATTTCAAAAGCTGAATAATGAAAGCAAAGCAGAATAATGAGACTTTTACAATTAGCTCCACTTAAGAAAGGAAAAAGAATTAATAAGGAAGTCGAAGATTTGATTGAAGTGTTTTAACAATAAAAAATTTTCTATAAACAATTTGCAGTTGTTTACAGACGTGAGATGTTGGATATTCCAAGAAAATTATTCTATTGAAGAAAAACTGAATATTCGGTAATTGATCAATATCGTTTACACGAGATGAAAAACGATGTTATTTGATATTTTTCATTATTTTGCATGAATACTTATCTCAAGTAATTATTAATTATGTTAAGTCAATTATCTAGAGCATTGTTTATTCTTCTGAGATTTTCATGATTTCTGAAACAATTGAACAAGACAAAATAAATGAATTTCATAAATATTTAAGGATATTATACATCTTTTTACATACAAGTATTTTGAAACTTTTCTTATTTATACAATTTGAGATTTCTTCCACAAAAAACTTTAAATTCATTAATTTTATAGCTTTCAAGGACAAAATGTTAAGATTATCCATCAAAAAACTGATTTTCAAACGATTTTAAGACCTTCTATTATGAAAAAACTTACCGAACTGATTATAGAAATGTTATAAAAGCTATGAATAAAAAATTTCACCTATTTTCATTACACAAACTTCTCACGCAACACGGATAAAACGAACATCAAGATTGCTTTGAATCTCGGTTTGGCTTTTGCCATTTATGTATATTGAGGTTTCGTGTCACATTATTATTGTTTATGTATGATTCTGTGAGCTGTGGTCACTTAAATTACTATGATTTTGTATTTCAAAGATGGTTCTGTAATTATTTAATAATTATTTATTTATAACATCATCGGAGCTTCAGATATTTTAAAATAATTTAACCTGTGACTTTATGAATTAATCCTCAAAATCTTCAAAGCATTCCAAAGTACTCAAATAAAGTGGCTTCCAAATCACAGAAATTGTTCACTTTCTTTGGAAATTTTACAAAATTTAAGGAAGATTACAATTGTTCAAGAACGACATTGTGTTATGACCATTAATAAAGATTTGGAAAAGATTTTTGCCTTTTTTATTTCTATAATTTAAATTTGTTTTTGCTTTAGAGAATTTATGAAGATTGAGCATGCGATGCGATTCAATCGATTTGGATAAAATATATTTTGAATAAAATGCTTGCGTGGTCTTTCCAAATATTTCAAGCATTCACACAACTTTCGAGCATCGCTCAACCAATAATTTATGTTTAATTTAAGCATGGTTTTCATGATTCAATATATTTTTGTTTCTTTCGAAGTTATGGTTACTAATTGATTGGTAATTGTAAATTTAACTTATAAATATAAACCGAAGGAAAGCTGTTAAATGTTTTCACTCATTTATCACTATAGAAAAAACTTTCTCAAGTTCTTAAAATGTTTATAGTTAATTTTAAAATAATTCATAAGTAGCCTAAAAAGATGAGGGCCATAAGAATAAAAATATGATTATGCCAACTACGTGTACCGTAAACAAAATTTTATGTCGTATAAAACTCATCTTAACATTATTTTCAAAAGGGGTGCCTAACATTCGAATGGTTTTTGAACTTTGCCCAAATAGTTACTGAAGTTAGTTACAGTTGGAATGATGATGTAAGAAATTCATTACAAAACCCTTAGTTTGAGGAATGTTTTAATGCACTAAGTAGTAACTTCAACATTGATAATGAAAATGCTGTTAATCATAAAACGAAATTTTTGCAGATGAATCTTTTAATAAAACTTAATATGAAAATATAAGCATTAAAACATTTCATTTCTAAGTGCATTTCAAGTACGTAAACTCACAAATGTGTTAAAATATATTTTTCTTCATAGTCTGAGTTGGTGAATAAGCTCTCTCTTGTTTTAAAATGGTTGATGATGAAACGATATTAAATTATGAAAGCATGTGAGAATAGTTTTTCACTTCTGACACACCACATCAAGATACGATTTAGGTTAAGCACACTGAAAGCCCTCTCTAGACATTTCCAGCCCATAACCCGAAAGAGTTTGATGGGGTTGAAATATATAATCTGGTAACGTGATAAAAAGCAATGCCTGCAAGGTGAGAAATTCTCAAAAGTCTAAATCAGTGATTGCTATGTATATCATCTGAAAATTTTGTTTCATCCTACTATTCAGTCACATACATTTAACATGACTTTGAAATTTGCTTTAAGAATATTATCTTAGACTTAAAGTTGTAATATGCTATCTGGGTTGACAAAGTTCCCTTTAGCACCCTAATATTTTATTTAGATGTAACCTTAATGTAAACTCATCCTGGTCTGAAGCAGACCATATCCCACTAAGTAGAACAAACGCATAAAATATATTTATAAGAAATTTTCTTTAAATATTTTAACACATGGCGACATAGACAAAGCACAAACTTTCTAAATTTCTCAAGCGTTATTGTTCAGAATGTATGTTATTGCCTTAATCTACGTTAACATGTATATTTTCACTCTAGAAAAGGAAATGAATCGGAAAAACAAAAAAGTCGTTATCTTTAAGATTTGGAAACAGCAAATTTTGTCATTTATTGCTACTTAGAGAATCATCGACCTATGAAGAAAGACGATTTTGAAACAGAAAGGATAGAAATCCATTTCACGCTAAGAAATTTTCCTTCTTGGAATTACCACAAGAACACGCATATTGAATAGAAATTTTTATTATTGTATCATTCGGATTTTGATTTTCATTATAAGATGTAGCGAAAGCTAAAGCAGCAACTTACAATAAATTTCCATAAAATATGAATTCTTCAACATTTATATTCCATAATCATCAAATATTTCTTTCATATATTCGATGTAACAATGACGTGAGATAGAAGAAGAGACATCAATATCGTAATAACAATTGAATTTACACTTCTAATCCCTGGCGAAGTATCATACGTGCTTGATTCCGATGTGAGGATTCCCGTGAAGGGATGAGAGTATAAGAAGTAAGATGGGAAAAATCGAAGGAGAAATTTATTTTTCAATTCAAACGCCTAATGGAGATACTAAAGCCGATAGAGCCAAAATGACAGAAACCATGTAATAAAGTTTTCAGCAGAGGATTTACAATTTCTTTACTGCTTGCTTATTTCCATCATCTTGTATCATAAAAGAACCAAACATATTTTCCTGTTCATGTTATCAATAAAAGTGAATCTTTTTTGCGTTAGAATTCGCTCCATTAATAGCAGAGTTGTTTAACTTTAGCTGACATAGGCTGATTACGCCCCAAAATTTTTAGAATGTTGTTGAAATTATAAGAACTTTTTTTTGTTTTCCATAAAATAAGTACTTACTTTAAATAAAATAAAAATTTATTTTCTTTTTCCTCTCATGTAAGAAAATACTAAAACAATTTTGGAACAATATAGGAAGCAGTTTTATGAACATTTAAGATGAATTTAAGCCTCATTTCGATGGTATCGTTATCCAATTTCGGCGCATTGAAGTGATGAGTTAATTCTCCAATACAAAATTTCAATTAGAAGTATGAAATTCAATGCCTCACCTAATTTAGGCATTACACAAAACTTGAACCGTTCTAGTGAAATATTTGTTTCATATCGAATAACAATGATTAGGATGGAAACTTCTATTACTGCTCTGTAAAATTCGACGATTTCCTACATTTATACGATTTCATAGCGATAGTGCGCATGATCGCGCAAGAAGCTTTTCCGCCGAAAGTAATTCGAAGTGATTCAGTCAGAAGAAAGAATTCATTGTGATGACATGTCAGTAAATTTTGCTCGCGATTAAATAAAAGAAAAAACCTTATATAAAACTTATTCTTATATAGAATGTAAAGAAAAATTCAAATTTAATTGAATTCGCGATATCGTGATGTGAGGATATTTATTTAATGCTTGGATAACATTTTCTGAGTGGCATAAAAAGTTCTTTGATGTGAAATGTTGATGATAGAAAATTGTCGAGTATGAAATACATTTATGAATGAATCTTGCAAGCCTAGAGTGATGTTGGTGTTTTAGTATTACATATTGTGAGTCTCAGCATTTTCCTTGATGTTGGATTAAAGGAAACACATTAAGCAAAAAAGATCTTCAAAACATGATGAATAATATCATCGCCTTCTGGAAGAAATGTGTTTATTGGGTTGCTTGAAGAACAGAAAACATATTTAATATCGGAATTATCGGATGAATTGTTTTGGTTAAAGAAGAAGATACGTTCTCGAAAGCTTTCAAGTTTTATGAACACAAATACGTATTGACAAAGAGCAAGGGTGAAAATAAAGAAAAATCGATATAATTTGAAAATTATGAAAAAGAAACACTTAAAGACAAGAGTTGAGATAACTCTAGAGAACAACACTAAACATATTCGTTGCTAAGTGAAACATCTAATACAAATTCCATCGGATACATAAATAAATTGTAGATGATTGTTCAATGTGTGTGTACGTGTGTGTGTTTATAACAACTAATTAGATATTATTTAATTATGTTGCGAAATCACAACTAAAAAGAAAGTTACAAAATATTTTCACTCTCTTTTTATTTTTATTTAAACTATCATTCCAAAATTGAATCAAATTTCTTGACGAATTTAAGCCTCATACACAAATAAGTACTTAGACATTTGATAAAATTATTAAATTAGAAACATGTTTTAGTGGCTAATGTCAGAACCAGAACAAAAAGTTTTCTCAGTCCTCCAAAACAGTAAACTGACGTTTAAAACAAAGAAAAGCTTATCATCAACTTTTTCTTTGAAATGCGTGTGTGATTGCACTAAAGCAGATCCTTTAAAATGTTACAAAGTTGCAAAATAAATTAATTTTATTCACAAATCGTTCATAAAAGTTTTATGTAGAATTCAAATATCTACATACAAAGTTTGATTAATTAAAGTATTCGTGTGGTTTCTGCCTTAAAGATTATAATTCAATTTAAATAATTTTGTCAACATTCAAGAAACATAATAAGTTATCCTGATTAAAGTTATAAGCTGACTAATGGAATAAGAAACTTTTTGAAAAAAGTACTCATTAAAATCAATAACTCGGGCAAATAAGCTAATCAAAAGTTTAATATTTTTAACTTTCTTTTAGTGTATCTAACAAAAAATGTTTGTGGAAAAATATATTCAGTTATTGAAAATTTATTAAAGATAAAAGTAAAGAAAGAATGCTTGAAAGCCAGTAACAAGGAATAAATGCATGTAGGTAGAAACATGCAATATGGAGTTGGTGTGGAAACATAGTGTTTTTATTTATGAAATTCATAAATAGACAATTCAGTGTAACTGTTTTTAAATCAATTTGGATAATGAGTAACCTGTACCAATAGTGGATTATCGCAAATCGAAATTCAAGGAAATATTTACAAAATAATGTTGGATTTGAAAAGAATTATTGTTCTTTGCCTCCCATCTTTATTATTTGCTGCAACAATGGAACCAGGTAAATGCTTCTGAGGATCATAGAATTACAAATCATTTTGTATGTTTAATAAAAAGTTTTCACTTCTCAACTCTATTTAGATCTTTTTTTTCTCTTAAATTTTCTTTGATTGTCTGAATACTCGATAAACACATAACACTGAATACTACGAAAATTTCAAAAAGAAGAATCTGCGACTCCACATTAATCATATTTTTATCTTTCACAATTTGAATAAATGGCGAATGTCATAATGCTTATCATAAGCGTTGTAATTAGATATATCAGCTTTCTTCCATGATATCATAAAATGAAAAGGTTTTTGAGAAAATTTTGTATCACTGATTGCACGAATTAATAAATAAGCTTTAATAGTGTTATGCAATTTTCGTTCTGACAAAAGAAATAATTTTATATTAAATATTGAGTCTCAAACTTGATGCTCAATGCTGTAAGGGGTTGTTAATAATGTATCTGATCTAACCGTAACTACATAAATCTAATAGGTTTAGTTAAGTTTAGTTTTAGTTTTAAAAATCTCGATTTATTGCCTATTAGAGAGTATGCTTCTACATATCATATTATGGGAATATCAGGTATTAATCTAGCGATTAGTTAAGTACTTTTGACAAATAAACGATTTCTTTGAATTTGAAGAATGTTCCTTATTTATCTTATTTCTGTATATCTACATTTCTGGAGCCATTTAGGTATTAAATAAAGATGAAATTCTTTAATCTATTCACCATGATAACAAACTTGATGAATCAAAGAATGTTTCATTCAACAAATTTTCTTAAAACTTGAAAATATTCACATCTTGTACAACATTTTTAGTCTAAATTGTAAAAACTTGCACTTTCATTAGTAAACAACCCTAAATATTATTTTTGAAAGATTCTCATTTTCTGATTATATTTATGAATAAAACGCTACATAAGATTGAAATACATAGATATGTATATAAAGATTAAGCTGTCCATCTTTTATTTAAAAAATGTTTTTTTCGCGATACCATCATTTCCTCGTTAAGCTTCATCCTTATAGCAATAAAACCGCAAGAAAATTTTATCACGTTGATCGCATTAAAAGCTCATAAATGTCAAAATGGTTGTTCATCTCGTATAAATATAAAAATTCGTTGTCACTTAAGTTTTTATTTTCAATTTAACTTTGTTTGAGATTTTTATGTTGGCCTATGTTTTTAGATTACAATTTTACAACTGGAGAATATGTTTGAAAACACATATTTATGTTTGTTCCTCATCAACGCATTTATAATAAAATTTCAAAAGCGACATTTCAAACTTCTTTGTTTCTACATTCTTTACCTTTTACAATTCTAATTAAAGCAAAAATGTTTTAATTTTATATTCTTTAGTTTTTATTATTACTAATACTATTTTGCTCCTGTCATGAATATCCATCGATTGTATTTTTATCTTCAAAGAAATAACTAAATAACAGAAAATATTTTCCTCACTTAAGAAAGTTTCTACCAAGGTTTCTACATAGAACATAATCAGCAAGAAAAAAGGAAGCTCCTTATTCAAAAATATGCAAAACTGCTCAACAAAGTTGTATCTAAGATTTGAGTCATGCTCATAGCGAAAAACCTTAGTCATGAATCATGAGTCTCAGAAATTTGAAATAACATATTTTCCTAGGGAAACATTTTCTTGTAGATATCAAGTATTCATCCTAATTTTGTTGTTGTCATTACAATGTAAATACTGTTGTCCAAAACTTTCTACGTATGAACTTCTTTTTGAGTGTTTTTCTTTTATCTAATTATGTAGGTAGACTTGCTTATAATTTAAGATAGTCATTCAAACACTCAGAACCAAAAATCAAACCAAAATCATTTGAAAATTTATGCAGAGCTTAATGAACTAAATGAACACTTGAATTACAAGAATGGTATAAGTTAATCATTCATATTCAGACAAATTTTGGTTGAATATCAATTCAACTTTGGATTATTCAATATTCCTTTAATAGTCATTTAATTTTTCTATGATACAATTTGCTACATTTTGCAAGATAATTAAATCATTTGTTTCTAGTAAATAATTTGAAAATAGAAAAAAAGTAAAATATTCTCAATCAATGGTTAAAAAGCATAATTTCATTATGTTTTACAGATCACAGATCAATATTAGCTAATACCGATTGGAAAAAACTATGGATGGAAACAGGACAATTAATGAATAGAATAGATAATAATATCGACAGTAGTGATAGCTCGTTACCTGAAGAATCAGAGGTAAGAAGCAGAATGTTTATTGCATAATTTTTTTTAAATTAACAAACAATTTTCCATTCAGATAACGTCTCAAAACCTAACAGTACAGTTGGGTGGAACTGGTTTTTTAGTGTGTAAGGTTCCTGGAGTTGATAGAGTAGGTGTAAATTGGGTGAGTCTGTTCTATTCAGGTCATGGAAGAATTTGAAATTATTTTATGTTTGTTTATCAGAATCAAATATCCTGGATCAGGAGAAGAGACTGGCACATTTTATCATCAGGTGCTCAACTGTATACAAACGATGAGCGATTTGGCATCATACATACGCCAGGTTCTAACACATGGACACTTCAAATAAAATTTGTCCAAAGGAGAGACAATGGGCTTTACGAATGTCAGGTATCTTGATCTGATTATTTAGTTTTATATATACTTCATTGCAAGATTAACCCCAAATATAGTTTCAATTTGATCTATGCAAATCAAACTAACGATACTTATTAGATACTCATTGCCAAACAAAATTCCAAAATTGATCAAAACTCGATTGTTTGTAAGCTTATTTTTGTGAAGAAAGAAAATGAAATTATCCTGATCTTATACAGAATATAAGCTTCATGGAAACGTATATGAGAAAGCCTTATACAATGCACAATCCGAAGAAAACGAGGCGAGAAAGATGTTTTCGACAAAAATCGTATTTAAGATATAATGAGATTATTTGAATAAACCTTTTCTCTTCAAGAAGCTAGAAGAATATAATAAAGAGATGAAGCAAATAGAAATTTTCTGTCGTCTCAATAAAATGAAGAAGCTTCTTCATGGTTTCTTATAATAGTCTTAGAAGAAAAGGGTGGAATAATAGAATTTAATTTTAATAAATCTGTTTTAAAAGTTCGTCATTGCTTGCAATTGTCAGTTCTATGTTTGATGATGTTTGATGATATGAGAAAATATTTTAATTAGTTGCTATCTAAGCTTTTTACATATTTTTCCATTGATCTGTTTACTTCTTTCTCCAAATTTATTTATTATTAATATTTAATAAATTTTTCATAAAGCAGCAGCAGCACGTAGATTAGATATTCGAATGTTTATTAAACAAAAATGTTGAAACAAGCTTTGGGCCATCATTTCTAAGTAGGATTAATAATTTATAAGGCAGACGCTATATTGTTGACAACTGACTAAATAGAAATTTGTTTGATATGAAGGAAAAAGTAAAACAACTACCAAATATTTTAGTCTCACTTGATAATTTTTAACTCTTTCTCAAAGACTAAAAAAATTCCCAGATATGTTCAATTCAAGTTTTTTATGTATTGTAATTTGAGGTGTTGTTACGCAGTTATAAAAGACCTCACAAATTTTCATCTATTAATATACAATTAAATAATTTTTACTACTCACCGTACGATAATTGCATACATAAATCAAGAATTAAGAATGTGAAATTTTTCCCCCTACGAAAATACTTTTGGCTTTGGCTTAGATAATTGTAGAACTGCATGTAAGTCAACCTCTAGCTTATAATTTAAAAAAAGTTCTTTCAATTATAAATCGATTCATCTATAGTGAAATTTGATGTTTCAAAAGGGTTTGTACGATGCTAAGCTGTAATTTATGGGAACAAATCCAATCAAAAATTCTCTTTAATTCGAAATTGACATGAAACTAAACTAACCGTTCAGCAATTGGGTTTGCATCTCAGACATATCAATAAGTTAGTCTAAAAATGACTACCCAATGAGGAAATTTTGAACGAGCAATAACTCTTTTTATATGCATGAGAATGAAAAACGATTTTTCTTCCTTTATATTCTCTCTTTGAATAAGAATGTTCAATATTAATTGCTGCGCTATTTTTCCAAGTTGAGAAACTTTTTCTGTCCTGTTTTGGGGGAGAGAAAAACATTTTTCATTGTAAGATATTACGAAACTTTGTCGTTGTCTATAAACGTGTTTGTTCCTCTTCAATCATCTTTGAAAACAGTTTTGGATTTAGAAAATAAAGAATGATAAAATAACATTTAAACAGGGAAAAGTTTCTTATTGGTTCTTAATTTTTTTCACGGCCGTTTTTTCTTGGAACCTTGTTTTCAACTTTATAAACAACATCAATCTGTGTATCGTTTTCTATTTGTTTCAAGTTTCAAAGTTTTGCAATGGCATTAAATTCTTAAATAATATTTCAGTAGGAGTTTCAAAAATATCTTTGAGGAATATTTCATCATTCATTCATCGATTTTTTTCGACAAAGTGTTTACATTTATAACCAAAAATCCTTCTTTCATTTTCCAGGTGTCGACATCGACAGGCGTAATATCTCATTTTGTAAACCTCCAAGTTGTCGTGCCCGAAGCTTTTATTTTAGGATCAGGCGAGCTTCATGTAGATATGGGATCAGCGATTAATTTAGTGTGCATTATAGAAAAGGTATGTTGCCTATTGTGACTTAAATTAAGCCTTCCGAATGGATGTCCGGATGCGGATTTTATCCGGATATCCGCGCTGCAAATTGACATCCGCAGATCCGCGGATGTGACGAAAAATCCGGATTTTATCCGTGCCCACCTGTTTTTACGGTTTGGGTGAATTTTTCTTTATTTTTCAACGCTTGTTTGAAATTTAAATTATAAAGTTCAAAAATTGTTGAAAAATTGGACACCCTTTTCAACAAATTCGCATTAAAAAACTTATATGAATACCCCTTTTCGTGATATTTAATCGCGACATTAAAAAAAATTTTTGCCGACGTCTTTTCCAAAGAGGAAGAAGCAAAAAACCATCCATGCCGATAAGTTGTCTTCTCTCAAAAGTTTTTTCATCAACAACAATGTTTGCTCTTAAAAATACAATATTTATTTTCCATATGTAAAACTTAAAAATGATGAATAAATAGTAACATAGACCAAAATTTTTTTAAGTTTTAAAAATCAGCTGGATATCTGGATATCCAGATATCCTTGTTTTCAGCTTGGAAATTATCTGGATATCCGCAATCGTCAATATCCGGATAAATCGGAAGGCCTACACTTAATTCTATCATGACATTGCACTTTGAAGTTCAATAATTCCACATAAATAACTCTTGCTTAAAAAAGTCAAATATTTCCGTTCTCATTTCTTAGTGGATTTAGGGAAAAGTTCCATTTTGACAGTTTGTTAAAGAATTTCTATGCCTTTGTATTTGTATTTATGTCAAGGGAATTCTTCAAAGTTATTCTATTTTCATGGGATCACATTTCATTTAAAACTAGAATTTCATGATAGGAATCAAGTGAACTTCATTGATGGAGTAAAATGAGCTAGATAGATAATCTTTCTATACAATAATGTTTATTTTGCTATTGTATATTTATTATTTAGAAAATGTGAATTAAATGAGAATTTTCTTTCATGAATATTTACAATAAATATTTTCAGAGTCCACAACCACCACAATATATTTATTGGCAACGTAATGATAGGATGGTAAACTACGACGATAACAGGAGAGATGTTTCAATTGAAACAATCCCAGGACCACGCACGCAGAGCCGTTTAATAATAAAAGAACCTCAAATAAGCGATTCGGGAAATTACACATGTCGTGCATCCAATACCGAACCCGCAAGCATTTATGTTTACGTATCGAAAGGTAAATAGCAACATCAAAAAAAACATGGAAACAAATAAAACAGCCAGTTCTAAGGAAAAATAATCACTTTCTCTACTGATTGCTTGCGTGTCGATATTTCCAATGAGTGAACTTTTTATTATTAACAAAAAACATTCTGGAAATTCAGAGAGGAAAACCAAATAATCGAAAAATGAAAATCAGAGTTAAAAATATTTTTGGCTATATCAGATAAGAAAAATCGATTACAAGTGGAAAGAATTTATTTTTTATTTTCAAATGTGAAAAAAAGATTTGTGCAATTAGTTAAAATTAATATTTTCAATTGGATTGGGAAAGAAGATTTGTAGATTGGTTTGTTAAAAATGTGGGAAAAAATCGATAGATTGAGTAAATTTGACCCAATTTTCCTCATGATCACTCGCATGAAAAGGTCTCGATAGGGATGTTGTTAATGTGTTCTAGTGAAAGGCTTTAATCTCCATCATGCATTATACATACATATTTTTCATTTCATGCTTTAATGGTTTTTTTCATTTGAATAGTTCAAATTGCGATAAAAATTACGTGTATGAGGAGTTATGAATTCCTGTCGTGTTTTATTTATCATGCTGTACATTCATTTAAGTTCGATCTGCTCAGAAGTAAAAACCAATTACATATTTCCATTATTGACATAAAAGCAAACTATTTTCCATGTGTCATAACTTTGAAATTACTGTATAAACATTTCCACATAACTCATTGCGGATTTTTCCTACGCATTTATTTAATATTTATAAATTAAATAACTTCACTTTGACCTTAATAGCCATAGAATTTTTTTAAACTTAACCATAAATGTCAACAAATTTATAGCCCCGAGCCAGAACTTTTCAGAGACTTTTTGTGTTTTCGTTTTTCGGATTTTTTTGGCATTTACTGTGCACAGTAAATTACAACGAGAATTGAGGTGAAAAAGGGAAAAATATCCCTGAGGTCTTCTGAAGACGTTAATTGTGACTCTTTCTTGGATTTTTATCTCATTTTTCACAATGCCTTTTATGTATTCTTGTTATTCAATTTGAGTCACATTTCTCCTCAAAGCCTTGCGATTCAGAATGATTTCTAATGTCTATTTGATGCGGAAATACTGTTTCTTTCATGGCTATTCTAATTTCCCTTTTGTTACGCTTTTTCTCTTTTCTTATTTTAATAATAATAACAGGCTATAAGAAAAATAAAATAATTTAGGAAGCATTACTTTCTGCTCATTTATGAACTTCCATTTTGGGTTTCGTCTTTTTTCTTCCTAAGAATTTTACGCAGTGAATAATTTTAGAAGAAAAAAACTAAGGAAAAAAATCTGTGAAATTCAATTTGTTTCACAAATCCTCATGAATTTAACTTGCTGTATGAAAACTGTTTTGTATTTTGCCGTTTTTTTAAAGAGGAACCTGTTTATGACGTCTTTGTTGAAGTTTAGAGATATAAATACAAACTTTATAAATTCAATTTAAGCATTTCTTGAAAAGAAAAACTAAGACTTTGATGACATCTGCAGCTCAAAATAAACTTTACCTGTGTTCAAATTAAAAACTTTCATCGCGAGCACCATAGATATCAGTTGATGCCGTATTTTTATAGGATATTTTCTTAAACCCAATTTATCTTTCGTTTTACTTTCCAATTTTCCAGGTGATAACACGGCAGCAATTTCGAGACGAAATACTTCAACTGCGAGTCATTCGTCAACGTTATTTCAATGTCTATTGTATCCTAGCGTTTTTATAACTTTTCTAATATACAGGTAAACCAAATAACGTTTCTACTACACATACATTGTTTATTAACCCACTCCTTGTCTCATGTTTCATCCATAAATTATAATTTACGGTAATTTATTTACACGCTTACTTCTTACCCGAATTCAAAAATGAACACGATTCGTATGTAAAGTAAATCGTATTCTATAGCATATGTAGGGTTGAATGGAAATATAAAACCACTTATCAAATGAAAATTGCAATAATAAATATAAATTATATTCATGACTTCCATTTACCTTGGAGCTAACGTCATTTCTTTATCCATTCATTTCATTCAGCTGCTTTCACTTCTATTTACCATGTCATTCGATTTAAGGGTTCGGTCTTTATTTTTATACCAACATTGCTTATTTGATTTTTTTTATATCTACTTATTAGCTTTTTTTCGATTAAAAATTCATTCCAATACTGCTTATTTTTATCATAGATTATAATTGAGCAAAATTAAATATTTTATTTTCATGTAAATACATCAACTCACATGACTGAACATGCTTAAACATGCCTTCTCCTGATATTTATGTTTTTTTAAAGTCCCAAATGAGTTTCTTTGATTTTCTTTTTCTTTTTAAAATGTAACCACAATGATTTCTATTTTAGGAAAATGTCTTTCACATAAATATTCTCTTTCGTTACAGGTTATGGTAGTATGAGAAAGTAATCACGAGTTGATGGCATTTGATCTTTTTCTTGATTTAAAGATATTGCTTCAAAGTGAAAAAGTCTCGAATGAACATAAATATTTAGATTTATAGATGAAATAAGGATTCTACCAAAATTGCAGAATTTCTACGAACACAATTTGTTGGAAAATCATCTCATAATATTTAAACGAATGACTTTAAAAATATGATCAAGAATTTAGATGGAATTGAAAGGAATAAGAAGAAAGGAAATTTGTACATAGATAAACATGTAAAGTTAATGAAAAAAATTATGTTTTGAAAAGTATAATTTTATTACATGCTGAACTTATGTGGAGGATATAGAAATCGTTATTCAATTGAATTAAATTTTAAGAAGAGTTTAAAGTTGTGTAAATATAGAAGAAATAAGACATTAATATATAAATAAGCTCAAACGACATTATAAGTATAACTCAAGGTTGAGTATTGTTTCCATTCATCATCACAAAAATTTCTCCCGCACAGTAAAGCCAAGAAAAAAAATTGAGAGAGGAAATTTCGAATCGGTACTTCTTGGTACAAAGTTTCATTCAAGTTTACTGTTGTGTGAACGTGTTAAATCAATGGAAATTGTAGAATATCGATTGGAAGAAAATTTCTCTGTGAAAAATATAGAAATTAAATCAATGTCACAGACGAAAAAGTTTTCATAAGCGGTTAAAGGAAGTTGAAAAATACTTAGTTATGATTTTCCGTACATTTCCAGAAGTAAAAAGAATTTATTGAGTTAAAATATGAAGTAGTCACGGAAACGACAAATATATGAACTTTAATGTGGAAAATATTGCATTTTATTCCAATTCAGAATTAGAAATGGCAATGCGAAATCAAAATTTTATTTCAATTTAAAGAAAAATTATTTGGTATTATTCATCTTATAATTTTCCTTATTGTAAATAGATATTAAGTTTTTTAAGAGAACACAAAACAGAGAAGAAAAAAACCAATAAACAAAGCCAATCAAAACTGAATGATATAAAAGAAAGTTTTTCAATTTGAGAACAGAGGAACTTTTTCAGCTTTTTATCAAACTTTCAGGATTACAATCTTCATGACTGATTTTAAACATGAACGATACAATAATAAGCCATGAAATAGAACTTAAAGGAACGCTTCTGCGACATTGGAAATACTACAATGGAAAGTATAAAAAAGCGAAATCGTAAAAATCTAATTGTGAGGAAGAATAAAGCTCAGAAATAAATAATTGAAAATAAGAACATTTCAAATTTTATTTCTCAATTTCTATTCTTTTGTATGTTTCTACATTGAGAATCGCTTATCAACTCAATTTCTTTAACACATAAAAACGTATCTTGACAGCAAGTTTTTGAAGCAAGCGATAATATTTTCAATTTTTTTTATTACTGAAATATCACCTTTTGAGTTGTCTCTTTGTGGAGTTTCTTCAGTATTTACTGCATAACATTTTTATTAATTCAATGAGAATTTAATTATTTACTTATATAGCGTGTTTGACTTTTCTCATGGCCCTGCTCTCATTGCTTTATCGATTTTTTCCTTCTTAACTTTTTTTTCGCCTTCTCGCATATTTTTATTCCCTCGTGAAGAAAGTATACAGAAGTTGACTACGACATCATACTGAACAATGCAGTGGTCGGAAATTGTATCAATTCGAAATACTGGGAAACTTTTTACGGAATCTTAATTTAAGTTTCTTTCATAAAATTATTCATTTCAGTAAATAATCGGTGAAAGTATTTTTGAAGGGAGACTGACAGCACCGGACTATCGAGTAAATGAGAATTAATTTTTAAGCATTTATTCACTACCAACTATAATTATAAATCATTTCAATTGACGTTATCATAATCAGAAGTTTATTTAGGTATTTGTTCAATCGCATGAAAGTATTATGAAACGTATTAAACTTTGTTACAAAACACCGACTCTGAGCCCTGATGTAATATGTGTCTGGAACATAAGCATAAATATAACAATTTATCAAACTGGCATGTAACTTTTATCATTAATTTTCCAACTCGAAGACAAAATTTTTAAACATTTTTCTCCAAATATTATTTGATACTTTTTTAGGTTCATGAGTGAGTATAATTTTCGGTAAAAGTTGAAGCTTCAAACTAGTTCGTGAACTAAAATTAGAATGTGAAATTAAGTCATGTAAAAACTCGTCCATTATGTTGATAAAACAAGATTGGATAGCTTTTAAAAAACTTTTCAGCATAAACGCAATTTGCTTACTCGGATTTCTTTTCAAATCGTCAACTTCGTTCTGCATACCTAACTGTGTCAGTGGTTTTTATTGAAAAATCATTGGACATATAATCAATTTATGCTAAGGAATGTCCCATCATGCAAACTTCATGTATATGAAGTTCACTTTATTGCGGTTATAACAAACCAATAATCGAGTGATAGGAATCCAATGGATTATCAACCTTTCTTATATCTCTGTTGTTCAAGTAGATCATAATCTAAATATGAATATAAAAATAAGTTATTCATATCTTACTTAGAATAAAGAACTTAATTTCAAAATGAATTGGCAATTAACGCAGGTAATTTAGAGAGGTCGTTTCTATATATATATATATTACCAAATTTTGATTCACTAATGATAATTTTATGAACACTCATTCTTGTGAATTAAGGTTCTACATTCCTTCAAACTCTGCTAATACTCAAAGTGAAGATTCAATTGACTGTGTTTTTATTGTAGAGTTGAAGAATATAAAGAAAGGGTAGAATGATTGTCAATATCTCAACCTCAGTAATGAAGTTATTTAGATTTCGACAAGTTATTTTTAGAAAATTATTTCATTAATAAATGTTGAAAAAATCGAATGCAATGCTTATTAAAAAGTTGTCATTAGCTACCACATTAATCTCAATACTTTTATTTACAATTATTTTTTGGAACAGAAAAAAACTTTTCTTAAATATCAAACGCCTCCTGTTTTGTTTTGAAACCATAAAAGAAATTAATTTTCTACTACTGCAGAGCGTTAACAATAAAGATAATAAGAACATTTAGACGCAAGAAATAACAAAGGAAACCCTTTCTTGTATAATTTTTTTCCTTCACTCTTGGTCGCACATTTAAAAACGTAGATAATCGACATTGTGGGAACACAATCACCAGTTTTTGAAATAAAATTTACAAAATAAAATTCTTCAATGAAAAATTGCTCATCGCACAATGAATTAGTTAAAAGCATTAAGGAAGGAAAGCAACGAAAATAAAAATGACGTAAAGGAATAAAATTAGTTTTCGAGAGTTTAAAAACAAATTAAAAACTTGATTCGAGAGTATTGCATCGCATGCTCCTTATTTAAATACATTTATCTGTAGAAGAATATAATTTAAAATACAATACGACGTATTTAAGTGAGAAGCAAATGGTCAATTTCTTTTTAATGAATTTGAGAAGAGAATTCATATAAAAGTTTTCTGTCATCATCCATATCAAAAGCACAGCTTGCTGATTTCGTTTTTATTCTAGCCGAAAACACAATCAATTTAACCAAGTTGTTGCCTTGAAAAGAAACTAAACAAACAAGCTGCTTCCATGGTCCATAGAGCATTTTTATGGTGAGTTATTGATTATTAATAATAATCTGAGAACAAACTTTGTTAGTATCATTAAATGTAATTATATCCTCAAACGAACTATTGGATTTCGATAAATACATAATTTTGAAAATTAACTTCAAACTAAAGTTTCCATAATAAAAAGAAGATTATTTATCCAATGACTACGTTCAATATCAGTTTCTAAAGCTTTACGTTTCTTGTTTTTTTGGAGTTTTTTTTTCATCGATTTCTTGCAGTGTAATTTGATTTAATGAAAAAATTCTTCTCAGCCTACCAATAATAGATGAGAACATTATAAGGTTTAACGTAAACATATAGAACAGACTTTCAATAATAAATCACGAAATCTTTCGATTCAATAAGAGCTTTGGAAGGAAGACATGCTCTTGTTTTCCTACCAACAAATGAAATACAATACTGATTGTAAGAAAGAATTATGAAATATAGTTGGATGGAGGACACAAAAGTTATTGCAAGAATTATTCTTGTCATTTTTTATATACACAAAAAGTCACTCAAACAGAAAACCTCTGGTGAGCAGCTGTATGTACAACGTATACGAAATTGTGTTTGTGAATTTTCATAACTAAACGGATCTTACGCACGAGCAAAATGCTTAAATATTTAATTAGATTCTACTTTTTTTTCCGCAGCTCATTTGTTCACTCTAAATGTGGCGCTTGGGAAATTTCACTGTTAAGTCTACATCGTAAGCAGCCTACCTGCAATCACATTTCTTATCTTAACTATAACCGTAATTTTAAGCACTGTTATCCTTTGTTCAGATGTAAAAGTCTCGTGTTATCACACGAAAAAAAACTAAAACATGTAGTTATGAGCGAGTTTTGGGAAATATTATTATCGTTACAACGTGACTAGGATCCAATCTTTGACTTTTTAGTCATCTTCACATTTTTTTTTGTTTTCTGAAGCCGTTATGAAGAAGAAACCTTGTTAATATGAATTTCCGAAACTTTTCTATTATTATTCTTGGAAAAAGCAAACCATAGATATGCATGCACGAGCATATACAACACAAACATTTATTTGAAAGGTGCCTGAAACATTTAACGATGCGCATTTAATTTCTTCGAAAATTGAAATTCGATTCCATTTATATAAATATTAATTGAAAAAAATTATTATGTAGATATTTATGATGGAGATAACTAATTTGTCAAAAGGAACGAAATCAAACATTATGTGCTAAGGATTTAAGGGATAATCTTACTCTTTAACATAGCAGGTATGTTCACAACTTTAGTGTATGATTAAATGAAACATGTTATTAAAGTAGAAGTTGAAATGATTGCAGACCACAGTCAATGTTTATTTTGAGCACGTGAACTACATTTTCACTTTAAGTAACATTTTTAAAATGTGATATTGTCTATTGCACCATGAAAGGAGTATTATTGCATTAAATATTAAATAGAAAGATAATTTTAGCTTAAAACATCGATTGACAACTTAATAATGATCGCGTTGATTTCTATCTGATATAAATTTTAAATAAAATGAAATTGAAGTTTTCTAATGTGAAATGTAACGCAAATTTTTTTAGATTTATCCATTGTTATTTTGTAAAATTACATGCTGGTCTAAGCTCACCACTCGACTGAAACAAGACGCAATTTTTTATGTTAATTCAAAGCCTAAATGTTGTTGGAATCGAAATGTAAATGAACGAAAAATGAATAAATTAGGCGATTAAATTTTCCTTCGTTCATTTTTATGGTACCAAAATGACTAAAAGATTTCTTTCGACTCATAGAATTGTATTATTTGAGGTAAAAACTATGCTTATAAACAATTATGATTCATAGATTTCCATTCTTGTTTCATAGTGAAAATCCATTTTCTTGTAAAAACGTAACGAAACTAGCATTCCCATTAAATTTTTGTGACAAATTTATCAGATGTTAAGTATTTTGCCACGTGGAAATGGTTAGCTGTATTTAAGCTTTTAATTCCTTCCCGGTTTCCTTTCGATTATGTCCACTTCAACTGATGGGTCTCTGATTAAGCTATGGCATTGAAAAGGGTTCTGAACGCATTTTTCTTCTGTTCGTACCTTGAGCATTGTTAGTTGTTGCGAACCTTGAGGGCGACATTGCGTTTTAATCGTGATAAAAAAGAATTTTAATAATTAGGAAAATACTGAAGTCAAGATCTGATATGCGTAGCGACATTTCAACATAATTTTACTGTGAGAAGAGAATTTTAACGAGCAACTGGATGACGTGTTTTTAGTTTTTCTATGGAAAGGAAAATTTATTAAATATTAAATATTTTATTTACATGTCATGTAAAAAAGGTCGAACGAACCCATTTATGTTTAAATTATTAATAATTTGATATTTCAAAGGACAAAGATTTAAGTCAAATTGAATAAAGATAAAAATTTATCGAGAAAAGAAACAAAACATTGAAATCTTTGTATCATTTACTTAAAAGTCAATGTATGGATTCCATGCCGCTCTCGCATCATTATCTACTAAAATATGCTTGTAAAGTTTTTGTTATCAAATTCTGTTAAAATGTTCTTACGAAAGCTTACAAAACATGTGCCTACGTACGGCTCTCAACTCACTAATCAGAACAAAAACATGTCATCGGTTCCAATGTTGACAAATGTTCCATTGCCTTTATAAAAATGTTTTGGAAATTTTCTGGCAAAAAAGGATTATTATCTTCAAATATCTTTACTTGTTTTTTTCTCCTGAAAACAAGTGAAACATAATCAATATTTTTTATATCCAACTAGCTACAAATATCTTCAAAACGATTCTTTTAAGTAAAAGAAGTTTCTTTAGTGAACATGAAATTTTAACTCCAAATCTTTGAATTCATTTTCACTTTCTTTTATTTTATCATTTCAATTAAAACTTGCTTCCATCGTGAGATATTTGAGATATTTCTTAATTCATTGCATGCTTCTTCTAAAACTACATCTGAGAGTCTAGAAAAAAGGTGAAAACATAAACTGAGTGAGGAAAAGTGTTATTAAACACATGGCATGCTGGGACAAATAAGTATTCAAACATTATTTCGGTGAAAAGCTTTTTCGTGTTACAATAACTGCTTTTTGTCTTTAGGAAACTTTTAACTGCTAGCTTGACCTTTTTCTTGTTGATATAACCAGGCGAAGAGATAAAAGAACTAAAAAATAGGACACAGAATAAACACCCGTCAGTTCGTTTTGGGGATTAGATAGATTCAGAAAACTATTTTTCAATTAACTGGAATAATAATGAAATTTTATCATCGACAAAAAAGTTGCTAAGGCCAAAACTCATCAATCATGTTTTGGAATGAGGAGAAGCTTTTCTCTATTTAGAGATAGATTGAGTTTTTCCCGATAACTGCTATCGTATAAATCCTTCATCATTAATTTTAGTACATTTGTGTGCGTATTCTGCTAGGCTCTTGGCCCGATAATTTTCAATTTGCATAAACATTCTTTGGAATCGTATCCAATGAGAATCTTTTGTATTGATTTTATGATTAGTAGTAAATACTGCTGTCATTCTTTACATTCTTATTCTTTCTCGAAACCTTCAATGAAGAGATAGATTCGGATTATCTGAAGAAAGTGATGAACAAATTTGAATAGTTTGAATGAAAACATTGGACAGCACCAGAATGGCAGTGATCTAGAGAACCAATTACATAAAAAGTCTTTCAAATTAGTTTATGGAATCTTTCTTAAACGTCTTTGACAATTTAATTTTTTGATCAACTGAAACTAATCGGTATGAAGATCAAGACGTCAGACGTGAAGTTATTCATCAATATTCCAGTCTACTTCAGGGTTCTATTTATTTATTTCTTTCTTTACGTTTAAGTGGCGCGCTTTAAAACCCAAAAGTCTGTGCTTCTTCCCAACATATTTTTTTGAAAGAAAATTCTTTGGATATCCATCACATAGATCTAAGCTAGAAATTTTTGAAGAAGGATTTTAGAGTTCCAAAACTTTTTGATTGTTGATAAAGTTAAAGTTTTCTTCTTCACGTTAAGTAAATCTGATTTATTTTGCTGCTTCCAATAAACATCACGATGTGTCTACATGACAGGAACATTAATTGAAGCATTAAAAAAGGGAAAAAAGCTCTTTCGTGTCCTTTTTCTTTAAGGGTAGTGTTTACTTTTCAAATTCAAGTTTTCCAAAGAATAAAGCCTCCATAGGTCCTTACACATATTCGTGAATGATTTGAATACGAAATGTTTTTCACTCTAAAAACTTTCGGTCGTAGTTTCCAATCTGGATTTAGACCTGGGAATTTATGTTTTAAAAGCGACGTGACGAAACTTGATTGGAGAGAAAAAAAAGTAATGTGCAAAGTTGATAATGTAAAAGGCATATTATCAATTTTCTGACGAGTCTTTTTGTAACAACCTCTTGTAAAATTTGTTATCCGCTTTTGGTCTATTTAGGTTTTTTTCTGTTTTACATTTTTCTCGACTTGAAATTCAAATCGAAAATGTCTGCAAATCTCATATTCGAGTCTACAAGTAGCTTACAGTTTTTAGGCATTTGCGACTGTAATTCTATAAAATCGTTTCCTGATTTTATTGAATTTTCTCTTGTATCAACTTTCTGCTTGGTAGCTGAATGGGTCACAACAAAGTTTATCTGATGAATATCAAATTCTCTTTTTAAAAATTTATAAAATTAAAATATTAATGGAAATTTGCATATAAGCAATTAAAGCAGTGAAGTGGCCTGACACTTATTATATGCTTTCTTTGGAAAGATGTTAGCTGACCTTATTTTCGAAATATTCTTATAAATATTGTTTTAGAAATTCAAAATGAAAAGAAAATTTCTGTTCCTCCTTTTAACAATGACAAGTGGCAAGGAACAAGTTTCTCCACGCAATAATCATAAAAAATCCATTATGAACAACTTAAATTTGTTATTTTTTGCTTGCGTTGTTGTCACCCCCACTCTGAAGAAATAAGAAAGTTTTTTCGGCTTCTTTGAATTGGCTTTCTGTGCTCGACACTTTGAGTTTGTGTCTTATTTCCATAGCAATTGGTGAAGACCCACAATAATTTAAGTTTATGTTCACTTACAGTACTTTATACGTACTATTACGTAATCATGAGCTGTTTAACTTTTTGATGCTTTTTGAAACTTTTAAAACCATTAATTTATGAAGCATTCTAAAAGTGGAAGCAACATATTTTAGAGAGTTTTGCGTATTGGCAGCGAGAAAGCTTCATGAGCAGTTTCACCATTGCTTTTATAGTTATTTCCACCACAACCAGCAAAATAAAATAATGTTCAGAATATTTATAATGAATGTCGAATTCAGTTCTCTTCTTGCAGTGTCGCGGGAAAATGTTTTTGTATCAAAAGGAAATAATTTAAAGTGTCCTTGTTTATATGTTTTTTTTTTAATTTCTTTGAAATATTTAAATTAAATGAAATGAAACGTTTAATATAAGTTGAGTTTTACCATGCAAGTATGACATAACTTGTCTCCATTAGTGAATGAGGTCAAAAAGGAAACTCGCTTATGCTTTAGCGTATAATTAGAATAATAATTTAAAACAAATATGCACATGTATTGTGGTAATTGAAGTTCCACGGTTAGTTTAAGTTGTGCCTTGTGAGATTAGCTACTAGTTCATCACATAACTTTTTCTTGATATCTATAAAATGATTTAAGTCGTAGATATTTGTGGATTAAAGTTAGAAGTAATAATCTAATTTCCATGGACATGAAAGGAAAAATATAAACACTTTTAATGGATCGGTTAAAATTTCTAATTTTTTTTATAAAAATTTGTTTAAAATTTGTTTAATTATTTAAACATGTTAAACCTAAGAACACACGCACCAAAAATTAAAGCTTACAAAACTCTATAAAATGGCATAACAGAATGAGAGGTAAATGAAAATTCAAAAGGTTAAACACAAATGAGTTTGGAATTCAAAGTTACGAGAAGTATTTAATTATATACCATAAAACTTTTTGTATATGTCGAAAAGTGCTTATGTGCTATTCACACGAAAGATTTTAATTAAAGGGAAAGCTTATATGAAAAAATACAAAATACTTCTCTTAAATTTCTACCCAGTACACCTCGACGAAGAGATTTGAATTTCGTTTTTGTTGTAAAAATAGCCTTATAAAAAACCAAAAAACGATTCGTGCATTAGACCGTAAAACGTTCATAAAAGTGTTAATTTTTCAAAAAAACAGAATCGTGGAAATATGAGGCAAAGAAAAGCCGAGGAAGGAAAACATCATGGATGACCTATAAATCTTTTTAATGATCTCATTGAAGAAGCGCTTTAGTCAATTTGGAAAATAAAGAGCTTCTTACCGTGCAAAATGGCTCGTAAGGGAGATATTTCGAACGATTTTAACGAACCAAAATTACAGACGAAATTGTTAGCTGAAAAGCTTTGTAAGTCTAAATACATAAAGCCATTGCAGTCTTTGTTGTTTCAATTTTTTATACTTTGTCTCTTTATTTTTTATTCACCATCTAAGGAAAAGTTTGACTTTATGAGAAACGATTGAAAATAATGTGTAGACCATTTTTCTACGTTAGGTACAAACAAACAAATGATTCCACCGATCATATGCTTGCAGAACACTTCCTGTGCTTGACAAATGAAAGCTTTAACATATTTTTGTGTAAAGTTGAAAAGTCATACAGGAAACATGAGTTAAAATGTAAACGACATGCAGAGTTCGTAAAATGCTATTATTGGTTAACATACATAAATTTACAATATTTGTCTAACTTCAAACCTCCTTCCTTGAATGTAAAATCTGACTAAAAAATTTTGATTTGCATGTGGAAAAGGATCTTAATGTTTTGTTTACTTGCCATTTTATCGCATTACTTATTCATTAGATCAAGAACTGATTTAAGTGAATACATTTAGCAGAAAGACTTCGCATGGAAGCATTCTCATAAATTTTAACATTTATGTAGCAGAGAAATTACATACTGGAATCTTCAACAGCAATTATAACTTTTCTCTATTTATTTAAATTTTATCCTGTTTAAATACTAATCAAAAAAGATTTTTTTAAATTCATTGTGACCTTTGAAAGTAATTTTTAGATCCTTATTGAGTATTTATATTATGTATATTGAATATTTGCTTCAACACCCAATTAAGGTTATCTCTCTTGAAATGATTATCTTATTTAGTCGTTTGGAAACATGCTGGTCCTATCAACGCTTTACAAGTTCCTTGTTTCTTCTTCACAATGATATCTTCCATGTTTACGCACTTGTTTTTAAACTTCTTTTTCATTACGAAACACTTGACATTCGTTTCACAAGCAATGGGAAGAAGACATCAAAAATTTGTTGAAACGCCATGATATGTAGCAAACGCTGGTAGAATAACAACCTGCTTGGCTCCAGGGAAAGAAAATTTTATTTTACTGAGATAATACACAAGCGAAAATCTTCAAAGCTTAATGTTCGTTGTTGCATGGAAAAAGAATGAGAAATGAGAAAAAGTTTTTTGTTTTCTCTTAGCATTGATGCGAGGAAAAATTTAATAACGAAGAATAAAAAAAAGTTTTTGCAAGAGTTTCACAACTCTCTGAGAATGAAGTAAAACAGAAAAACAAACAGCTACCAACAGCGATATGCGTTCAACAATTCAGAAGTTATCACAATCGTAGATGAAGATACATGGGTTAATATTCACGTATTTATGAGTTTCCGTTCCCGTCGACTTCTCATCGTTCTCGTCGGAAAAAGTTTTTTTTTTCATACTTTTCAACCAATCGAACCAACGCATAAATTTAGTCGACTTGTTTCAGAATAAAGCTGTAGATATGTTCAAAAATTCCTACCTTGATTTATTTTCATATTTATTTTAGATTTTTCTAAGCATTCTCTATTGCTTCCATACTATTAATAACTATCCAATGACTTCCCCAAAATAAATGTAAAATATTGATAAAAAGTTTTTAACTCTTAAAAGTTATGTCGGAAAAAGAATTAGCAGAGGAGTAAGCAAAGTTGCATAAAGTCAAGGTGCAAAATATTATTTGAAATTATTAAGCAATTTACAATAATATTTTACAAGAACAATTTCAAAAACTTCTCTCAATAGGAAACCATTTTTTGAATCCTTTAATAATAAAAAAGCTTAGAATAATTTATTTTTGATAAGAGCGTTTCTCTTACAAACTTTATTCTTAGCAAACGCTCTCCAAGTTTAGTTTTCCTAGAACCTTTTAATACTGTTTCATCAATTTTAATTTGGCATCTAATTTAAAATATAAAACCCTCATGTTTCTTTTAAAACCCAGTAGGCTAATCGCCCTCTAATAAATTATCGTGATGTCAAGAATGCTAATACAAGCAAGATCTGGAAAAAAATCTGAAATGAGGCAAATTAAAATAATAATGGAAAACTTCTATACATCATGATGAAAAATTGTTAGAATTGTTTGAAGAAATATCTTGATGGGTGTAATATTGAGCTGAAACGAAAAGAATACAATGAGAACAAAAACTTTGAAAGTGATAAAACTGATTTCTTTATATCAATTAAATTGAATGAAATTTTGAAAGGGACGTTTCGTCGAATAACAAAAAAGTTCCTAAATTGAGTTCATATTACAGAGTTGGGTAATGTAGATTAATTCATCATTGATTTAAATAAATAATTGTATCAGAGACTCATGTTGGTAAGTAAGTTCTATGAAAATAAAATTATCACACAAAAAAGTACAAATTTAATAAAGCTTCGTAACACTTTGTGCAAGTTGAATTATTTTTTGAGTGGGTGTGATCTTAAATCATATCTTGCTTCAAACTCTGGTATTAACGAGTATCTTTTCTAAGAAAGAAAACCTAGTTAGGATTAAAACAGCAATTTGATACATTTCTATAGCAAATCGAGTTAGTGATCCATTACCCGATTGTAATCTTTTCTTTTTTCTTCGCGATTATTTCCAAAAAAAAGCTCTTAAAGAAATTGAGTTTAATTCCCTTGAGATAAAATTTTAATGATGTTGATATTGTAATCGGTAAACGATGTACTAGGTTGGATACAAAGTAAACATGAGTTTTATAATTAATTAATTTTTCGGAGATGAAGAGTAACATTTAAAATTATTTTCTGGGCTCTTTGTTTATTATGTGTACTCAAAGAAAAAAGGAAATAGATACTAGATAGGATATATTGACATATCTAAACAGATACTTGAATGTATGTAAAGTTTCTGTGCCTCTTTTATGACAGACGAACCTTTGATTATAAAATCAAACTTAATAATTTCGATTCAAAACTTCTGTTTAACTTTCTGTCTCATTACGTAAATTTTTATCATTTCCGCTGTCGTATGAATATATTTCAAATCCCCTTAAGGCTGAGAGAAATTTTCTTTTGATAAGAATAATGTTACTATTGACATTGAGATCTTCTGTGTTCAACACGAAAACTTTCTATTAGAATCTTATTATACATGTTGTACTCAGAAGAAAAAATAAAATCCTCTAACTCAATACAATAAGCGCTCTTCTCAAAATCTGATGAAATCCTTTATGTTCACTAAAGACAGGGATATTGAAAATCTTTTTTTGCGAACATAATTCAGTAAACGTCAAGTATCTAATCCAAATGAAATGAAATTTACTCTCTATGAAGTGAATTAAACTGAAAAGTTTTTCTACAAAGATGTTCATTAGATCACTGAAATGATTTGAAATACTACAAAGTTGCTTTAATATGTTTTGAATATATTCTCATGATTTACATACTTTATGAAATATGCACTCGACTGACACTACCTACAAAAGCGATAGTTAATAAAATGATAACATTTAATTTTTAGAGGTTTTTGCAGTGGGCGTAGGATTACAATTCTTTAATGCGTCTGTGAGCATCACTTCAGTTTCACGATATTGCTTTCTAAAAAGTTCATTCACGCAAACGTTGCCTTCAAGGTTGATGAATTTTATATTTTGTAAAGGTGTGAAGAATTGTGGATCGATGACATTTATCTTGTTATTTTGAAACCAAATTCTCTGGAGTTTCAAGCTTCGATCGAAAAGTCCTGCTGGTAATGTTTCCAATTCGTTTCTATCTACTAAAATTTCTAATAGATCAACGAGATCATGGAATGTTTCACGATGTAGTTCATGCAGTTTATTTTGTGACAGTATCAGCATTTGTAATTTCGACAGACCCTTGAAGGCGTCCTTATTTATTGTACGCATGTCGTTTGATGCAAGACCAAGCCACTGTAAATTTGAAGCTCCTGCAAAAGTCGTCGAGTTCAGTTGAAAAAGTTCATTTGAATCCAAATTCAAATTTCTCAAATTTCCTGCATCTTTAAAGTCGCCATTTTTTAGATTTCTTAATTGACAGTTTTGAAGACTGAAATCATCAAGATGCGGAAATTTACTGAACGTTTCTCTTGGAAAATAATGCAAGCGAAGGTGTCTATTGCCACTGAATGAAATCAATTTTAGGTCGTTATCGTCTTTTCCAGCTTGGTGATTTCCAACAAAGGTCACCGCTTCATTATCATTAACGAGTAAACCTTTAGTCACTTGACAGGGATAACCGTGATCCAATCTGTACCCGAATTCACAACGGAATTCAACTGAGTGAGCTTGCCATAACAAAAATTGTACTGTGAGTACAAAAACCAATAAGCTGGAAGCAGAATTGATATCATTAAAGTTTTTATTTGTAACTGGAAAGTTCCTATGAATTTAAAAGCTTTATATTACGTTTTCATGTCTGTAGCTATTTAACTTGGAGTGGTTAATAATAATATTTACTTGATGACACACAATTTTATACTAAGCACGAAGGCTATTAAGCTATTCTTATATATTCGAATGAGATTTCATGGAGAGAAGATGAATTTGATCTCTCGGGGTCAGTTTGTTTGTTTGCCAAAGTATCTGAGAGAAAACTTCTTTACCGACATTCCATAAATCACGACGTTAAGAAGAAAAAATTATTATCAATGGGTTGTTGCTGCTTCTACGAAATTAATTGCTTCATTGTTTTGAATGAAATTCGTAATCAGCTATTTTTATTAAAAATAAATAATTTATTTTCCTTTAGAAGTTATTCCGTTGAATTGTTTGATGACAAAATAATAATAAAAAAATATAAAACAAACATCTAACAATTATAAAGAAACAATTTCGTAAATTTCATACTCATTGAAATTATTTCAACGTTAATATATTCGTCAAAGGAAAGCTTGAGTGCATTTTTGAACAAAAGGTTGACAGCAAAAAAAAAGAAAGGAAGAAAGATAGAATTTGTCTTTCTTTTCTTATTATTTTTTTTCATTATAAAATAACATGTTAAACAATTTAAATGAATTTGCATGAAAATGAGAAAATAACGACAATGATGAGGGAATGATGAGACAAGCATATCCTGCAGTTGTTGTTAAGTTGTTACAAGAAGAAGCTTTTTAAAAATTGAATAATTTCACGCTTTGTTTACAGCAAATATTTGCCAGGGGAGATGCTACTTTGTAGGAATTAATTCATAGAAATAAACTCCGAAGCTAATGCTTATGCATATTTAACTTATTTTTCGTAGCTATATTCATCATCTTCTTCATCGTGGTGTGGTGTTGAAGTTGTCTGAGCAAAATATGGACGACGTTGTGAGAGAGAAATGTTAATTTCTTCAGGTGTGCGATATGCATTCTGTTGTTGTCGATAGCCCGATTGTTGCTGGTGCTGTTGAGTACGAATTACAGGTTTTGGCTATCGAGAAAATAAGAAAAATATTTTGTGTTGAAAAGCGTTATAAATTTAACTGAATTACTTATTATTAAAGATTTCAATTTTCTGATATATACACAACATCACTAATGCTTACTTGATGTCTAACTGGTGCACGTTCTCGTTCTTCGTCGTAATCATGTCGGTCGTCTGTGAAGAAACTCTCAGGGAAATAACGATCGTGGTATCTGAAAGAAACCAAATTAATCTCATGAATGAGTAAACATGAAATGTGTTACAAACCTTAAGGACACGTTGGGTTTTGATTGATGTTCTTCCATGTTTATTGGTTTGTAAAGATAGTCATTTACAAAATGATATTTTGCCGACTGTTCGCAAATGTTTTCTTCAGAAGGTGGCATACAAATAAGATGAACTTGGTGAAACGTTGCACCTTCAGGGCATATCCATGAATGTTTTGTGTTTTCTTGGCAGTAGTGGAAAACTTGGCAACCAACAGTATCATCAGCATAATATCCAGTTGTTCTTGAATTACATGAAAACTGAGATTTTCCCAAAAGTATCGCTAAATGATCTGGCTCTTCTTCTTCTAATTCTTCTTCAAGTTGTTCTCTTTGTTTCTTTGTTAATTGTTTCTTGTTTTGTTGAGGATATGTTTGATGTTGTTGCTGCTGATGCTGGCGTTGTTGAGTTACAGATTGTCTTTGATAGGCACGAATCGGAACATTATCTTCTTCTTCATCACTATATTCATAGCTGGCTGATGATGCAGTTGGTTGTTGATATTGTTGTTGTATGAGCTGTTGTGCTCTTAATTGCTGATGAAGGGTTGCTGCTGAATGGTCAGAATCTTTATCAGACTTTCTAGGTTCTTGAGCACGAATTTGGAATTGTCTGCCATGATGTTGTTGACCGGAAGTGAGCGCAGATGCCAACGTTAAAAGTAAAAGTGAAATTTCTAGACGGTGCCTGGAAAGTGAGAAAATTGAAGTTGATTATAGCGTTTTATTTTTTTCAAGTTCAATAACAGACAACGGTAACAGTTCATTAAAAAATAAATTATGGTCTGGTGGAAGCATAAACAAGTCGAGCATGAATTGCAATGAAAATAGAAATTTCCACGTCGCTGCTGTTTGATCTTTACTAATCAGATTACTCATACATATTTTCGTTTACTAAGTCTCAACTACATCTTCAAGTAAATGGAGAAAACTTATTTAATCTTTTTAACAATTAGCAAAAGTTTCGTTCAGTATCGAAAACACATTGAACAAATTTTCAGACGTACAAGCAAGTGTAAATGGAGAAATTCACATTAAATCAATTAAGTGTAAGTATGAGATTTTGTGCAAAATCTCAACATGGAAGGAAGTGAATGTGATGTATTGAAATTGTAATTTAATTGGTAGAGATTATATTGCCTCTTATACATTACACAACAAGTAGGTTCTTAAAACGAACGACGCGAGAAATTCTCTGACTTTTTCTTTTAAATTTCACTCAGGATGTTACGTAACATCAATAAAAATGAACATAAAAGTTCAACAAATCTCGTCATCGTCGTGAGATCAATTAAAAGTATAATAAAAAAAGAAGGAAAATTTTCAATTAGGAGCAGTCTGCACATTGTTGTTTTAGATATTTGTGTTTATATGCAGTATAATTAAGTAACTTTGTATATAAAAAATTGTCATCGTGTTTACAGCGATAATGCACGAAAGCAGCAAAGTACGTTGACAATATAGATCTACTTAAGCTAATGAAAATTATCACGTTAATAGGTTTTTTAACATAACAGCTAACTAAGCTCAAAACAATTTTAAACAATCCACTGCGACGAAGAGACAAGAAAAAAAAGAAAAAATCACTTTCACTGATTTAAACTGTGGTAATGGCCTGAAATTGGAACGTTTTGTCCACCGGCTATGAAATTCACCTTTAAAGAAGAAATTTATATTTATTTTTTTATCGAAAATTGGTCACTCGACTGCTCAACTTTGTGCCCATTAAAAGTTTATTTAATGCTACTTCTTTATTGAGGCTGTTAAACATGCTTGCCGCAGACCTTTGTAAGAAGAGATTTTATTGCTTTGACTATTACACAGCTCACTTCAATATCTAAACTAGAATCGCTCGGTTGCAGGCAAATGTCGTTGAAATAAATTTTCGAAAGGGAACCCGAGAAAGAAATATTTTCGGTGCCTCTTAGAAGGAAATTCGTTGAATATTCACCATCAAATGTTCTTTCCTTTACTCCCTTATTTTCAATTCACAACATTCCTTGCATAAAATATTTTCAGGTCTTTCTCGTTTTACAATATTGATCGAAATTGGAGCACATTCCGAAACACTTCCATCGAACCAATCGTGTTTAAAACAGAAACGGAAAGTGCTTTTTTAATATTGCGTAAGCCACGTTATAAAATGTATTTATCTGATGATTTTATTTTTTTCTCTCATTTTTCATCTTGCACTGAAACAATTCGATTTCACTCTTGTTGACAACGTAAATCGAAAGCAAGTCTCAATGATCTCGTACTCGTAATGGCATATACAACCTTAACGAGAGTTTTTCTTGAATTAAATACTTCATACATGCTCCCAGATTTCAAGACAGAGGTATGTAAGTATAAGGGCTTGAATAAACATTAAAAATACTCATGAACGATGCTTTGTGGGAAAACGTTTCGTAATCGAGAAAAAAAATATAAAAAACCACACGACGTACATGCTTTTACTTCTGTTTCTTATTTTCATGCTTGACATAGGCTCTGATTTATTTAATTTTTCTTTTCTTTCTTTTTGGCAATTTATCACTTTCAAGTGTTGATGATTTGCAAATTAAATTAGAATCATTTGTTACGCTTAAGCTTCTCAATATGTGTTCGTTGGTATGGTTTTGTTTTTCAAATTATGATTTTAAATTGTTTTCGGTCGGTTGGGGAGCACGAGTAAGACTTCCGACAAATAACGCGTGCTTGAACAAATCAAGCACCAATAAGCTTGCCTTCAGAGAGACTTAAATCATCTTTAATATAATTTATTGCAAAGCCCGCTGATTATTATTCAATTATTTTCACCGCTGTTGTCTTTTCATCCGCTTAAAATAGACGAGAGAGAAAGCCACAAATTTCCCAAAGCATCATGCTTAAGTTACCATGAAAATTTCTCAAACTTGATCATATTCTTTCATGTTATAATTTAATATTATGTTCAGATGCTTACAACATGTTATAGTTACATATATTGACAAACTCTGGAAATCTTTTAAATATTGACGTTCATCATTGATCTCCCGCAGTATGAAGAAACAATTTTCAATACTTCATTAAGAAAACCATGGAAAAAGTCAAACATGTAATGAAATATAATTTTACTAGCAAATGATAATTGTTCAACATAAGTAATCGATGAAGCACGCTGAACTTTTTCACCGATTTTACTCTCTCATGTAACTAGAAAACTTCATAAGTGAACTTTTTAGATTCAACATATACTTTAAATGTATGCATATAATGCTTGGTTTGGCTAAACTTATTTAACGGAGTTGAGCATAGAAATTTTATGTCTCAGTGATTAAAAGGAAATGTTCCATTCAAGTGACAGTTTCAAAATGTATCTAAGGTTCTGTTTATATGGGATTTCATCCTACTGGATACTAAACCAACCAAAAATAATCTTATCTAATGCCATATCAACATCAGCATAAAGCACTTTGATAAAGGTAAATATTTGTTTTTTGTATGTTGTGGGAGATTTTTCAATACGTGGATGAATGAAAACGCTCCCATATCGAGAATTTGTTTGAATTTAATGTTTTTTGTGGAACGTTGTAAAAAAATGTTTTAACTTAATTAATGTTTTGGTTACTTTAAGTCACAAAAGTCCACAATTATGTGCAAAATAATTTTTCATTCACGACTTTTTTATCTTTGATGTTACACGTCTTGCCGTTACGGTTGCTTGACCACATTATTATTCAACCATAAACCTTGATCCTCCCATTAAGATTTGAATTCATTTTTAATTTTTCTGATGTCGTGAATTCAAAAAGCTTTTTTTTCTTTTCAGAATTCCATAAGCGCTACCAACTGTATTTTAAATCTTCTCTCACGGGCTGATGATGACTTGCGAAACAACAAATTGATTCAAATTTTCGTGATGATATAATACTGCGTGGTGCCTAGAAAAATGGTTTTAAAAGGTGCATTTAAATAGAATAACGTTTTCAAATATTTTATAAAAAAGTAATTTTTTACACCTGAAATTAATTATCCAAAGCGGTTGTCATCATAATTTAAATTAATAAAAACGAGACGCAATGTTTGAAATGAAGGTGAATTTAAAGCTATTTCAAGTGTTTGAAGTTATTCCCACCTGTTGTTACTGGAGAATTATGTTACATAAAAGTATCTTGGTAGTTTGCAATTCCAAATTCATAAGAAACAAAACACTGAGAAATGTCTACGAATGGAAAGAGTAACCGAAATTATTGACGTACCATTAGCTCAACTTCAACACAATGAGTCATTTTGGGATCAAATAAAACTTAATTAAGTAATGGAGCTTGAATTCAATCGACATCAAAAGCTCAGTTTTTCGTGACTTAAACTTCTCACTTCTTTGAAATTCAATTTTCAAAGCAATCGTAAAGCGCCGCGGCACTGAATTCTTGAAGAGAATTTTAAACAGATGAATTGGCTTATGTAAGAGCTTTCTAGCAAGAAATTAATGATGCATTAGACTAATAGAAATAGAATATAAACTTGACTGGCTCATTGAAGCTTATCATTGTTTTTGAGAGAAACGTCAAACATGATAAAAAAGATTTTTTTCACTCCATGAATTCTAATTAGAATATGAGGTCTCAGTCATCACTTATTAAGAAAGCTAAAATATTCTCGTTCTTTATTTTGTTATAGTTTAAGTGTCAATGCAATGAAACTTAATTTATTTCAACTCAAATAAAACTTTCAGATGGCATTTTTATCATATTCATGTGATTCATAAAGTTAACACCCTGACAATCACTTTTTATTAAAATTCATAATCGTGGTTATGAAATCATTGAGACGTATTAATTATGCATATATATGTTATGCAAAACACCGCAAAAAAATCGTAAATTTCCATTTAACTTCAGAAAACAAGCAGTTGATAATATCAACCCAACTATTTAACCCAAATCAACTCGACGATCAAGATTTGCCATGCGAATAGTAATCGGCAAAGTGCATTTTCAGAAAACAGGTTTAAGTCAATCTGCACGCATATTTTCATTTCACTTTTCATGGGTTGCGTAAGAATCGTATTCGCATTTATGAACTGTCAAGAACCGTGAGAGGAAAATTGATAAATTATCTCCTTAAACGGAATCCACCATGGTCGTTACACTAGTTAGTAACATAACGAAAACAGCAATATTTATGCACTTTTTTTTTTGAAAATTACTTGTTCAAATATTTATCGTAAGTCGTGAAAAACATTAAATAATAAACTTTAAATAAACCCATTAATTATATCTAGTGTAACAAATTAATAAAAGAATCTAACTTACTAACAACAAAGTTTCGTCCGGTTAACATAAAATATTTTTACATTTGTTGTTGTGTAAATGTCGCAGTTTGAGAGGCTAACATCGAATAAAAATTACATTTGAAACAAATTGCAACAGAATAGCATACATTATAATACCTAATATTATCAATTTTATCACAGAATCTAACTTAAATCAACTTTTCCTTATTTAATTAAATGTAAACAAACTTAATTTGCAAAAACTTTTTAAGAAATCCTCGTGTCCGTTCAGAAATACTAAAGGAGGTTCAAAAAATTTCTATCCAAAAACATCTACTTTTAACTTTTTCAGTTTTTTTATTTCATTTTAAATATTTTTTCAACTTTATTTAGAAGCATTGGCAANAACTTGTTTTGATGTTTCCATTTGCTTCGTGTTGTCGTAATAACTTCGTATAGCATACATTATAATACCTAATATTATCAATTTTATCACAGAATCTAACTTAAATCAACTTTTCCTTATTTAATTAAATGTAAACAAACTTAATTTGCAAAAACTTTTTAAGAAATCCTCGTGTCCGTTCAGAAATACTAAAGGAGGTTCAAAAAAATTTTTATAACTGAATACTTTTTCCAACTTTAACTAGATTAAAGTGTTGTAAATGGAGTGTAAGTTTGCAACATCACTTTTCAAATTGATCGATTTGTCTTCGTTTTTCTTTATGTGCACCATTTCGAGCATTTTTAATTCATTCCATCTTCTTCCTCTATCAAGAGTTTCCATTTGATTGAAGTCAAATTGATGATCATTTTCCATGACGTGTTTCACAAGAGCAGTGCAGGAATTGGCGGTCTCCCTCCAAGCTTGGCTGTTTCTCAAGTTGTTGTTTTTCATTGTGATGACTTGGTTGTGCTCATTTTCATGTTGTGCTTTCCTCGTGTGTTTGTATTGTGTTGTGAGGCCAATGTAGAGTTTTTCACACGAACAGTTTATTGCATAAATGATGTGCGACTCTTGTTCAGGACAAATTTTATCTTTCGGATTTGTGAAGAATGTTTTTGAAGTTTTGATGTTTCTAGGAACAATTTTTATGTTGAGCGATGGAAATTTGGTTCGAATTATCTTCTGTAATTTTGCTGTCACTACTGGAATGTTTGTGAATGATCTGTAAATGTGAGTTGGTTTTGGTTGGACATTAATTTGAGTGTTTTGTACCAACTGCTGCTGCTGTGCGAATAATTTGTTGCGTACGCCTGATGGGTAGTTATTCGCCTTGAGAATCTTCATTGCTAGTTCTCGATTTTCTCTACAGAAACCGTGATTTGATAGCGTTGTTATTTTCCTTATCAAGTTCGTTGCCGTATTTAGTTTCATCGGTAGAGGATGAAACGAAAGATAGTTCAGCAATCTTCCCGAAGCTAGTGGCTTTTGGTACCAACTTGTTTTGATGTTTCCATTTGCTTCGTGTTGTAATAGCATATCAAGGTACGGTAATTCACCAGCATCATTCTCTTCTTCTATCGTGAATTTAATGTGTTTGTTGTAACTGTTGAAGGTGTGAAGAACATTATCAATTTGGTTGTTTGGAAGAATGAGAAGCAAGTCATCAACATATTTCTTTATCAAGGGGATATTGAAATTTAATTTTGCAACTGCCCAATCCAAGAGATCATCCAAGACTAAGTCAGCTTGAATTGGTGAGCATGGATCACCCATTGGCGATCCCAGAAGTTGTAAGTAAAAGTTCCCATCAAATTGAAAGAAACTTCTGCTCATTATGTGTTCCATTATCTCCAAGAATCGAATTTTGCCGATGTTTGTGTATTCTTTTATGTTCCTCCATCGTTTTTTGATGATCTTAAGAACCAATTGCGACGGGATGCAAGTGAACAACGAGGTTACGTCAAACGATACCAATTTGTGGTTGTCTGGAATACTTATTCCTTCAAGTTGTTCCTTGAGCTCGTAAGAGTTTTTTATGTTGTATTTCGTTTGATCCATCGCGCTATATAAGATGATGCTCATGAATTTTGACAAATTTGACAAGGGGCTGTCAATACAGGACACAATAGGTCGAAATTTTACAAGCTCTCTATTGCTGTTGTCGGTCGTTGATAACTTGTGAATCTTTGGAAGACCATAGAGCTTGGGTGCCACTGAGTTGTATCGAGATAAATTTCTTCTTTCTCTTTTATCGATGCAGCCATCAGTGCGGAGACCTTTGAGTAAACTGTTGCTCTTTCTTTGTACTCTTTTTGTGGGGTCGTAATTCACTTTTTTGTACGTGGATTTGTCTTCTAGGAGTTTATTCATTTGCGTCAAGTATTCTTCTTTTGACACCACCACTGTTTTCCCTCCCTTGTCTGCGTTCATCAACATTATGTCATCCTTATTGTCCTTCATGAAATATCGTGTCTCTTTGAATGTTTGTTTCAAATGTGTGACGAGGTAATCATCTTTACTGTTTGGTGCTGTTTTGTAGTTTTTAAGAATGTTAACAGCGTCCATTCTTAATTCATCTCTGATGTCATCTTCTTCTATTGCGTTAGTAATAGACTCTACTTCACTGATTATCTTCGGCCAATGGATGTCAGACTTCTCAGGTGGGATGGCAAATTTAGGACCATAACTCATAAATGTTTTCACTTTATTTGGAATGTCAACGTTTGTGAGATTGCAGACCCAATCATGGTTCTCAGAGGTTCTTGAACTGCATCTAATAATGAGATTTTCAAGTTTTTTCAAATGTTTATTTCGAAGTTTCTCCATCGATTTTGTTTTNTTTAAATTAATAAAAACGAGACGCAATGTTTGAAATGAAGGTGAATTTAAAGCTATTTCAAGTGTTTGAAGTTATTCCCACCTGTTGTTACTGGAGAATTATGTTACATAAAAGTATCTTGGTAGTTTGCAATTCCAAATTCATAAGAAACAAAACACTGAGAAATGTCTACGAATGGAAAGAGTAACCGAAATTATTGACGTACCATTAGCTTAACTTCAACACAATGAGTCATTTTGGGATCAAATAAAACTTAATTAAGTAATGGAGCTTGAATTCAATCGACATCAAAAGCTCAGTTTTTCGTGACTTAAACTTCTCACTTCTTTGAAATTCAATTTTCAAAGCAATCGTAAAGCGCCGCGGCACTGAATTCTTGAAGAGAATTTTAAACAGATGAATTGGCTTATGTAAGAGCTTTCTAGCAAGAAATTAATGATGCATTAGACTAATAGAAATAGAATATAAACTTGACTGGCTCATTGAAGCTTATCATTGTTTTTGAGAGAAACGTCAAACATGATAAAAAAGATTTTTTTCACTCCATGAATTCTAATTAGAATATGAGGTCTCAGTCATCACTTATTAAGAAAGCTAAAATATTCTCGTTCTTTATTTTGTTATAGTTTAAGTGTCAATGCAATGAAACTTAATTTATTTCAACTCAAATAAAACTTTCAGATGGCATTTTTATCATATTCATGTGATTCATAAAGTTAACACCCTGACAATCACTTTTTATTAAAATTCATAATCGTGGTTATGAAATCATTGAGACGTATTAATTATGCATATATATGTTATGCAAAACACCGCAAAAAAATCGTAAATTTCCATTTAACTTCAGAAAACAAGCAGTTGATAATATCAACCCAACTATTTAACCCAAATCAACTCGACGATCAAGATTTGCCATGCGAATAGTAATCGGCAAAGTGCATTTTCAGAAAACAGGTTTAAGTCAATCTGCACGCATATTTTCATTTCACTTTTCATGGGTTGCGTAAGAATCGTATTCGCATTTATGAACTGTCAAGAACCGTGAGAGGAAAATTGATAAATTATCTCCTTAAACGGAATCCACCATGGTCGTTACACTAGTTAGTAACATAACGAAAACAGCAATATTTATGCACTTTTTTTTTTTGAAAATTACTTGTTCAAATATTTATCGTAAGTCGTGAAAAATATTAAATAATAAACTTTAAATAAACCATTTAATTTATTTACCCCATAACTTTAAGATGCAACAATCAATTAACTTCTGTCTTTAACACTGATTTTCCTATTTTTCACTAAACTATTCCCCGTTTCACTTTTACGAGTATTTTTTACTTCACACCGTAATCCAAAGATACTCAAAAATCGATTAAATCATAGAAACTGTTACAAGAGTTGATCGAAACAGTGTTGACGACTTGAGCGGTTTAAACAGAATGAACACTTTCTTGTATTTTATATTTGTTTTTATATACCCGCCAATTTTCATGTATATTTCACCTTCTTTGTTTTTCACTTCCATTCGCATGCAATTTGAGCGATTCACAGATGCGCAAGAGAAACAGAAAACGCTGTTACATGGTGCTGGTATAGATTACTTTTTTCGGCAACCTCATACAGTATCGTTGAACAACAACACATAATTGTATTTGAATGATCTTGTTTTTAAATAAATATTGATATTTATTTTCCTTTCTCTAATGAATCATAAACAAATAGCAATAATATCTCTTGTTGTAATAATCTCCTGTAAAATCCATCAACTTAGCTTGAAAAAACAATTTAAGAGATTGTAATTTGTATTCAATAAGTTTCATGTTTACAAGTTTGGAAGAATTCAAAAACTTTTGTCTTTTATTATAATTAAATTTCATACGTCACTTCTATAATTACAAGAAGTTAATTAAAAATTCTATATTGCGTAATTTTATTTATTCAAAACTTCACACTTATTCCTAATATTAACTAACCACTGAAAAAAATAATTATTGCTGGCAATAAAGTGATTGGCCCAATAAAGTTTTTTGCTGTCAATAATAAAGTAATTTGATGACAGCAATAAAAACTTTATTGTAAACAATATTACTTTACCACCTATAATAAAGTTTTTATTACTATTATAAAATTACTTTATTATTGACAGCAAAAAACTTTATTGGGCCAATCACTTTATTGCCAGCAATAATTATTTTTTTCAGTGACACAATACATTTTAAATTTGTTACAAATAAAACAAGAAGAAAATTGAATTTATCAAATGATCTGACTTCATTTCTCTCCCAAATATAAAATTTTATATAATCAAATTACGAATTCATCAAACAAGCTGCTTCAACAAGAATTATATCACACACGGAATCGAAATGCTCCAAAATAAAGGTTCACAATCTTCAACTAAAATGTGACACAATGCAGCATGGAAATGTTTTTGAAAAAGTTCAAAGCTCCTAAAACATTTCATCAAAGTAATCACATTCGTGGAATGAAATCGATTTAGTTTGTGCAACGAGTATTAACGTAATGAAACTAGAGTTAGTTAGAAGCAGTTTATTTTCATTCCGTCGTCAACTTGAAAATTGTCAAAGTGTCTTTGATTATTTTATATTAAATATTGAACTACTTAAGCATTATAACTCAGTTGAAGGAGATTGCTAAATGTATTGAAATTAAAGTGATGCGTTGTAAATGATTTCATACTTTAAGAACTAATAAATCGACTCGATACAAAAACGCTAAAATTGGCAAAACTTAATTTCTCAGATGCCATTTCAAGAGCATACAAAATCCACAAATTGCTCAGCATTTAATGAACAATGATTCCAAATTAGAAACAATTAAAAAGCTTCCCTCTCTTAATCAACTCTGCCTCGAGTGCATTTCAATTGATTGTAAGTCTCGCATTAATGAAAACATTCATCATTTTTAATTTATTGGCATTGAATCTTTTATGCTCATCTCTGAAAAGCTCACGCAAGCTTAAGAAAACTTTAAAGGGAGTGAGTCAAAAAGTCTGCCAAGTCTGCCAAGTTCAACATTGTTGTTGTAAATCGATTGTTAACATCTTCATTTATTCGCTTTTTCTAGGCTTGCGGAATGAAAAATTGTTCGCTCCAAAGTAAATATTTGATATCGACGATGTTTTCGTTCCCATGTGTTTTACTTGATTTGAATGAACATTCATAAATCATACCGATGGGGCTCATGTGTACTTATCGTGAGATTTTTGCGAAAATGAAATGAAAATAAAAAAAGCTCTGTCAGAATGAAGACAGTTGCTAACTTCGGCACGCAGGTTGAAGGCTCTTAAATCAAACTTAACACAATAAGTTCCAGGAAAGTTCATTTTGTAGGTCTTTCAGCGGGTCCTTTAAACTTTTTATCATTCAATAGCTTTTCCAATATTTTTTATAAGAAATTAATTTCTAATTTCGAGACATACCGAAGTTTCAGAAATCTCAATTTAATTGAAATTGCATGTTTTGTATGTTTCAGATCACAAGTTTCATTGTACGTGCGTATCATTGATGCGTGCGTCATTTCGTTTCATTGTCAACATTGCGATCAACACAACATGAATGAATTGAGAGCATTGAACGCTTACAAGTTGTTGGATAAATATTTGTTCGGCAATAGAGATGGTGGATTAAATATTTTTATAAAAATGAATTAATACTTTATGTTTTCTACGTTGTTAAAAGAAAAATGTTTCTATGGCTTTAAAATAAAACGAGAGAAAATAATTCAACATTCAGTAGAAAACTAATTAAGACAACCAAACATTACTCTTGTCATGTTAACTACCGAATGTTAGCCATCTAAGTTTGATAGTGATTTGGAAAATCTGTTAAACATAATAAAATACATCTCAGGTTACGGTTAAAGCTCTAAAAGTTTTGACTTCTTCCTCGTATTTATTTGTTTCAAAAATCAGATCCAAGGATTAGAATACAGAACAACAACAAAGATTCATAATAGCATATAAGCATAGCTTATTCTAAAGCTCAAAAATAAACTGCTGTGGGAGTCACATCTTTTATCATATCCAGAAGTTTAGTTTGATTCCAAATTTTCCAATTCTTTTTTCAGATACCAAGATTTATGAACAAAATATTTAATTTACTTTTTTTTCATATCCACAGGTTTTATTCCACAGGTACAAAATATCCTGCATTTTATGATTGTTTTTCCGGCCAACGTTTAACATGAACGTTTCATGATATGAAAACACGAACCCATTCAAGGAAAATGGAAGGTCACCTTGTTTCAGGTACTACATATATGCATCAATGTGCAATTTTTTTATTGCTTTTATCTTTCTGTGTTTTCAATATAGTCAACGGGCCATAATGTCAGCCGTAACACGAAGTTGTTGTCACTTAATTACGAGTTAGGAATGACCACTTACCGTTCGATTAAAAGTCCATAAAATGTTCGATTCTTATCAATCGATAAATATGTAATTCAATGTCGCGCTATTTTTATGTCGCATCAACGTAATGCGGAAGATGGAATACAATTATATTGTAACGTTATATATGTACATAAATATGTATACAAGTTAAATTTTTAATGTTCACTATGGGAAACGAACAATTTGTTACTTGGTTACAATTTAAATAATTACTGTCTTAGAAGAACAACGGAGTGTTTTCATGGTTTTAATTAATCTACCAAGATTTCAAAGTTGTTTCCGTGGCAAATTCGATGAGAAGAAAAATATCTTCACAAATACAGTGCAAAATTCTTAAATGCAAATCAAAATGAGTCACAATTATAAAGCTTTTTCATGTATACAGCATTCACTTATAGAGCTTCCACTGTAACAAAGTTTAGTACAAATTAATGTTGATGAGCTTTGATAAAAAAAACTAAAAATCGTATAAATAATTTTGAATGATAAAACTTCATATCAAATGTAGTTGAACTAATGAAATTTAATGGTTTTTTTAAAGAAAAATCACAAATGTGTTCTACAAGTTGTAATTTATTAACAATCAACATGTCTAGGTTTATTTATTGCAGATTTTACAATCCTGATAACATTATTAAAATAGTAACAGTTAGTAAAACGCCTTTTAAAGCAATTTAATTGCAGAAATGAAACGCCACAAAAAGATTTATTGAAACAAAATTAGATAAATAGTTTCCTCTAAATTGTTCTTCTTCTTTTTTGGATTTCTAAATGTTTCCGGTGGCTTTTCTTAAATTGTGTTTAAGAAATGAGATTGTTAGCCGACAATCAAGTATATTTGATTACATCTCATTTAAATATAATTTTACTTCCATATTACCAATTTATTGATAAACTTTTTCTTTTTTAAGGAAAATGATTATCTACGTGTGGTGTTTACTTTAGCAAAAACAAATTTTATAAAAACATGGATTTCTAATTTTCTGCTATTAAATTGTGCATAATAACTTTTATCACAAAATATCACATAAACTTTAATGCACTTGAAGATGAGATAGTTTTGTGACATTGTACAGAAACTTTAATCTTTTAATGATCTCGTGTAATATTTCTCACTTTGAAAATGAAAAAAAAAATTAAAATGAATGAACAGAGAAAAAAGAAATGAGTAACATGAAAAGGAAAGTAATAACTTCAACATTTTTTTATTGTTCAAGATTATGGAAGCACTCAAGTGTTAAAAGCCTCAACAAGCACAGCTGAGAAAGAAAGCGCTGAAAAAAGTAAATTGAAGGTCATTCGTACATTTGAGTTTTGTAGCGAATTCATTTAGTTTTCGACTCGCTTTCAATATTGTTCGTTTTCATGAAATTCTAATTAGTTCCAAACACAAACCATCAGGTTAAAGAATCACATTTACTTAGTTGAAGAAAAACTTCTTATCTTCTTCTTCAATTTCTCATATTTTTAACTCGATGATTAATCCAAAATTCTGAAGAAAATATTCACATGAAACTCTTACATTTTTAAAGCGTTATAAAATTCAGTTGGAAGAAGAAAAATGCTGGAAACATTAACCTCAGCAGCGTTAACTTTTCACTCGTATTACTTAAGTAAGTATAAGCAAAGTTTTCTTTTATAAACGATTTTTCATCGTTGAATGTAAACAACCGATGCTAAAAATAAACTAAAAATCGATTCGCAAACTTCCATGACGTTTTTTAAATTCTTTTTCTGTTTTGACAAAATAATAAATATTATTCTAGATCTTTTTAAAATATGCATGTCCTTGACTGAAAGCCCTCGAGGCTTGCGTGATTTCTTTTCTGATACGAAAATTTCACACCTTGATACATTTTTGGAGTGGAATCAATGAAATCAGGAAAGCTTAGATATAACAGCCATTGACAAAAGGAAAATGATAATCTACTTGAAATTACCGACGATTTGAAAATGTGAATTGAGAGTCGATCAATAAAATCCGTGAAGCTGTGAAAATTCAGTCATTATCTTTTATACGCTTTGAATTTGAGTGAGTTTTCACGAACAGGCAAATAAAATTACTTACACAGATGAATATTTTTCTCGCGATATTTTCTTTTGTGCTGGATGATGAACAAAAAGCCGTTTTCCCAAAAACCGCAGTTCCAATTCAGTTTTAATTGAAAATTGAAGTACAACAGATGAGCGAGAAGTGACAGCCTAGGGAAAATGTGGATTTTTCGAGTTTTATTTTTATTTCCGGTTCTCACTCAAAGTCTACGCGGCGATGTGCCACTGACTGACAACCAAATAAACTGCACACGAAATTTTAAAAATGCTTGTATTATTGAAGCGGTCTTTGGGAACTCTCAAACGAACGACACAGTTGATGTCTTTGTGAGCTGTTCAGATGATAACGAATTATCCTATAATCAATTTTCAAAAATTGACAAAATTATATGGAACGGATGTTATGCATCAGGGAACTTGAAAGGTTTAGGGCTACAAAAAATACCAAAAAAAAATGAAGTAAAATATTTGAAAATTCAACGATTTGCTATTGGCATTCTCGAGGCGGGTACTTTTGACGGATTTTTTGGGTTGGAAGTTTTAGTGATTCAAAGCAATGCCATTCAGAATTTATCTTCGTCATGTTTTCGAGGCTTGAAAAGTTTGAGAACTTTGGAGATTGTCGAAAACAGTCTGAAGTGGATAGATGAGGGAACGTTTGCTGATTTTCCGAAGTTAAACGTTCTTGATATCCGTGACATTCAACATTTGCTAATGGCAAGCCATCAATTTATGAAAAATCAAATTATTGATAACGTCAAATTGGAAATTTATTACATGGAAATGGATCTACTTGAACATCTTTTTCTTCATGTCCAAAATTTATCAATTTCATTGAGTCTTCATGGCAACAGCAGCGACGTTACTCAAGACTGCCAGCAAACGAGGCTCAATGGATTCGAAAAAGGTTGGATTGTTGAAAGCTTGAGTGTTGCTAATTTAAGATGTGGACTCATTCTGGAGAATATTAAGACACTCAAAAATTTGAAGCTCGTCCGAGTAATCGATACCATTAATTACGAGTTTGAGTTGAAGGATTTGCCGCAACTTGAGTTATTAAGTATGCATAAGAACATTTTGAAGAATCTTTCGGCGTCGTTGAAATTTAAGGGTGACTTAAGAAACTTAAAATCTTTCGAGTTATCCAACAACACCATGACAGAAATCGATATGCGGATATTTGAAACGTTCACAAACTTAAAAGAAATAAATCTCTGTGGAAACTTCCTTAGAAAGTTTCTTGAAATGAAATTGGAAGATAACAAATTTGAGAAACTCAAAATCTTCGTGGACGGAAATAACTTCGATTGCGCTTGGCTCTACACCATAGCATCATCGAAAGCTTTTGAGAGCTTTGTCTTTAAAAAGAACTTTGAAGGTTTGAACATTGACGGCTTATCTTGTATGTTAAATGTCTTGTCAATCAATGAATCAGTAAGCTATACGCCTCTAGTTGACGTCTCAAATGTTAAAGTCCAAAATAAATTGAGTGAAATGCACGAAGAGAACTTCATATTGACGCCGGAAATGTTGATGATTATCATGAGTATATCAGTTCTATTGGGAACAGCTTTAACATTCATCTCCATTTACACATATCACAAATATCGCATACTAAATCAGAAGCCTTTTTACCACTTGCTGCGTGACTCCCTTCAACGGCCCATGTGTGACGTGCAGCGAACATTACGAAGGAATCTGAAGGAAGTCATTTCACGAAATTTGCCTCCAACAAATTACGAACATCCCATTTCCGATTCGAATGTAACGGAGATGACTGACGTGGAAACAAACACGAGCAACATTTACGAGGAAATTCCTCAACTCCCTTATTAGACGACTTTACGTGAATGCTCACAACGACTCATCCTACTGGAAGGAAAGTACTTTTTTATTCGAAGAATAGCGCTTTGTCTGCTGTCAACATCTTGACCTTTTTCAATCTTCATTAAAAGTCCGAACTGCTGGAACTCGTCAGATAGATAGAAGACAAAAAATGAGAAAGAAAAAAAATCGAAAAAGCTTCGCAAAATTATATTTTAAAAATCCTTCGTTATAAGAGGTTTTCGAATGATATAAAATCTTTATTTTCCTCTGACCCTTAAGGAACTCATCTTTTCAAGCTCGGGCCCAATCACAATCTTTATGGTATTTTCGTGATGTCCGTGTTGTATCATAATTTAAAAGCGTTTCCATAAATTGTTGCTGCTATCGATAGCAACAAATATCTTTTTTTTTTTTCTTTTTCAACATTGACAAAACGTATATTGGATTAGCATAATAAATGACCTAATCGATGAAATTTTGACGTGAGCGTGCTGCTGTTAGTAATCTCATGCAAATTTGATTGTCTATCGAATGAGTGACATTTCCTTTCTTTCTAAATCGATAATTCACAATGAAAGTGTCGTTTTTATAGAAAGAAAAGTTTACAAATACATGATCCTTGTAACTTAGAAATGGTTCTGAGAAAACCCTAATCTTTTTCATCCTGAAGCTTTCACTTAATATCTGAAATGTTGTCAAATCAAACAAATAAGTTATTGATGAAAAAACACAAAAATAAACAATTTTTTCTTTAGAAAATCTTTATTTCATTTTTGTTTTTCTTTGATTGAAGGAAGTAACAGAAAAACTTTACTTTCCAATGACTGGATATTTAGTAATCCAACGAAGATTAAATTACATTTTGCTATTATTGATGCAAACAAAAGAAAAAAAGGGTTCATTGCTTTATAAGCTACAATATTAGGGACCAGTGACTTTAATAACTTTGAGAATTCATAAGAAACAATGTACATATTTATTTATTTTTGTTATGCGATAAACTGTTGACAATTTCAATAAAAGAAATATCTTTTCTAAGTATATTTACAAATAATTATTCTCGTCAATAACTTTACCGATTTAAGGTTAAAGCCTGATTACAACTGTCTAACATTTGAGGTTTTTCTTTCCTAGCGAGAAACCAATTATCACTAATTATGCTTAATAATGATTTATTGTTATTATCTAATAAAGGTTTAACATCCGTAAGTATAAAAATATTTACAAAAAAAAGTCTCAAACTTTCTTCGTAATGAGTTTTCATTAATTAAAGTGTAATAATTGACACTGGATAATAACTCTTTAGTTGTGTACATTTAACTTCAACTTATGTATGTATTTATGTGAGTTTGTTTAAGGCTTTCAATAAACATAATGTATGCGTAAAGTATTTAATATCATTTAAAGCTTGCGGTGAAGATAGAAAGCATCAGACATGCCGTGAAAAGAGTGAAAACTGATTTCTCAGTCGTGTCTTATGCAGTGAGCAGCATTAAGTGATAGCAAATGAAAATTGATACGAAATTTAATCTGTTTTTGATGACTATGGTAGCATACAAATAACGTTTAATTAAGATGAAAAAGAAGAAGTTTCTTGATCGGTCTCACTTATGCTTAGTATACAGATTGTGGAAATAATTCGAATGGCACACACTTTACATTAATGTTTATTTATATGTATTTATATAGCAATCAATTAGATTGATCGTTATAAAAATGAAGCGTGAAGGAAGAAATAAAGTTTAAGCATCTTCAGGATTAATGTTTGTGCGTACAGAATTTTTATTGATAGTTATGTAACTTAGAAAATTTAATAAATCTCAAAAACGATTTTAGAGTTGTTAAGCTATTAATTATTTTTACCACTGACCTAGATCTCATTTCGTCATATTTCTCATCATAAAAGCAATGACAAGTTGAGACAAAATTTAATTAAAACACTCTGTAAAATTAAAAATTTAGACTAAACTCTTAAGAAACTTTGATAAAGTTTGAGTTTGTTTGTTGATTTTATGGTAACGAAGCAATTAATTATGATTTCCTAAGTAGAATTACAAAATTTTCATTTATGTTTTCTTATCTTATACCTTCGTTAACTCCATGTCATCTTAAATATAATAATTCGGCTTGAATGATGTTCATAGAAATTCATCACTATATGTGATGATTACTCTTCTTTCCTTAAGCGTAGGTTTTGATTCATTTCAGAAGCTAATGGAGAAAAAAAGTGATTCGTCTGTCTGTTGAGACGATAAAATAGATCGATGATGATGGAAAAAAAGCTTCCATGTAGAAGCAAATGATGCCCACGATAATGAATACTAAATCGTTGCCAATGTTACAAGCTTTTTACATTTTACAGCTCGCTATCTACGCAAGGGAATAAATTTTAATCTAATGCTACACCCAAAGCTTTTAAATTTTCGTATATTAATGCGCAAAAATTACTTTGGATCCTTATTATAATCAACGTACACTCTCACAACTTCACCTGAATATTTTCTTTGGGATGGCATAAAATAAAAGTCTGGCGTGTCTGTTCCATTGGAACGTTCAGGCGCTTGACGGTGATGATTATAATTATTATGATTATTTCCGTTAGGGTTGTGACTGCTTCTATTTCGTCGGTCTTGCGTGTAATACCCAGCCATTTGATTATGTGGTTGTATCATCGTGCGTGGTAATGAGTACGATCGATCAGCATATGACGATTGTTGTTGTGGATGGCTGTGTCTGTCAACATTCTTGCTATGCCTAATATTGTGGTGACAAGAGGGGATGATGGGAAAAGTAAAGACACATAATTAATTTATGTTTCGCGTTTGCTTCCAATGTTGTTGACGAGATAAATATCTAAATAAATACCTATGCTGTTGTTCTCCATTTCCTCCATAACGATTACCATTTCGACTTATGTCATAGTACTGCGACTTATTTGGCGAATGTGACATCTGCAAAGTAGTTTGTTGGCTCATTCCGTTGTGAACTGTAGCAGTTGATGAACGACTATTAGCTCCGTTTCGTGATTTCCCATTATGCTTCTCATCATGATCGGCGAATGCATCAAAAGCATAATTTGTATTCGAAGAGTAATCTTTCCAAGCCGAGTTAGGTATCAGCTGCATTAGATAAGGAGGCGAGAAATAAAGAAAGAATATTTTTATATACCATATCTACATTTTTCATAAGAACGGGGTAATGAATCACATTGAGAATTATACTTCTTAAAGGAAGAACACAAGATAAAACTTATTTTAAAATTATGAAAACGTGAGCTTTATGAAAATATTATTTTCCTCCATTTTATCCATGCGAGCTCTGAGTAATTATGAATTTGTCCAATTAAAGTGTTTGTTGCGCGATATGCTATTGAAAGTCACGTTCATTTTTAATGGTAATGGTTGATGAAAAATGGCGATGAAGTGTTAATCAGCGTCCAGTAGTAATTGTTAATTTTTGATGATGATTAAAACTTTAATTTTATTTTATCCATTTATTGCAGTTGTTAATTCACGCTATCATATTTACAACAGGTTGGGACTGTTCAACTTTTTAATTTAGAGAACAAATGTGATTACATAGATATGCAAATTCTTATTACTACTGTCCACTTGATGTGAGCATTTTTTGTTCTTTTTATCTCCATCACCATTTTAGCATCAGCGTTGTAATCATAAAGTGTCAACAAAATACCGAGAATGAGTGGGCAGAAAATCAGATCTGAAAGCTCATACATATTTTTCACCCACGCCATTAAATGACTTTTATGTCAGATCAAATTTTCATTTTCACTAGCTTCACCGCAAACCTCTTCAATCCAATTTTTAATCCAATAGCGAATGCCAAAATAAAACAACAAAAAAAAATTAGTTGGTGAAAAATAAATCGATAACTTTGACATTGATAATAAAAAAAGTTCTTAATTACCATTTTCGGTTTTTTGCGTGTGCTAAGCTTTTTAGTTTAGTTTTTGGGTATTGAAGTTTTTTTTTGTTTGTTTGTTTTTGTTGTTTCTATTCTAACATCGAAGGATTTTCTTTTTACACCGACTGTAGCAGTTCCGTTTTTGTATGTCATACAAAAGTGAGTGTGTTTGTGCGAAAAGCATGATGGGAATAAAATCACTTTAATGACGAACTAGGATAATTTTTTTTTTTTCGTGTGACTACCAAAGCGAATATTTTAATCTGAAATTCTTAAACCTCTGACGTCACACTTATATAAACACAATGCTGGAAGCTTAATATTTACATTTAACTACACTTGCGAGTATTCGTCTATTTTTTTTTACATAATTTTCTCTCACTCAGTCCCGAGGGCAAGCTGATACTATATTTTATCTACAGCAAAGCTACGAAATTATAATAATAATTTTACACTACATTAAACAGAACACGATTACTTAAGGGTCAGGGAGTTTGAATTTTATGATGTCGCTTTGAGCTTTAAGGATAATAATATGTACGGGGACTTTGATGATGATACACCATTCCTGTTGCATCAGCAGGTATCGTATAAACAAGCTAAAAATAATATTTCCATACAATTCTCATGAAGACTTATGTATTAAAGAATTAAAAATATCTAAACTGCTTTATCGATTAAATCCAAGGTCATGAATCTACTTTATCGATTATTATTAGCTTTATTTAAATTTTAGTGCGAAAGTCTTGTTGGGAACTCACTTTATGTCTGTTTGATTTTTTACTGGATTTCATGATTGTGCAAGTTGCTTGAAGCAATGCTACAATGACCAAAGCAGCAATACATCCAAGTACTGTGTAAAGTCGCACTTCTGATAATTGGAAGAAGGCCGCCAGTCTACTTTTTGTCGATTCTTCAGGTGCGGCAACAACTAGAAATGTTTTTTATTACGTTAATAGAATCATTTGTAAATAAAATTTGTCACATTCTTACTTCCTAATGGTTCAAAATCTAAGAAGTTTGGATCAACACTCAATGATCCCACTTTTCCACTGGCCAAACTTTCCTTAATTGCTTTTTCTATGACTTTGCCTTCGTCTTTTTCATCGACAGATTTCTTGTTATCTGTATCTAACGAACGACCTTCTTCGTATCTCGCTTTATCAAATAGCACATTCATTTTAGCAATCACATCTTTGTCATTTCTAAGAAATTATAAATTAATCAATGAGGATTCGTACTTAATAGTCTTCGAATTAGACTCACTTGTTAAAACTAATTTCATCGAGCTTGTAGTAACCAGGAATGTCACCAAGAACACCATTAAAATTGTTCTGAATAGTTTTCGATAAATCTTCGTATTCTTGTGATCCCTTCTTAGGAGCTTGGAAGCCATCAGCTAAATTAATCAATTTCATTGATACAGCATAAGCCAAACGATTTGGTGCTGGCGTTGTCGTTTCACCGACATAATCAGTTGAGTCAAGGCCGCATGATTTAATACAAACGCGATTTGATGTCACGATAGGAACATCTTCATGTTTTCTCGTTTTCTTATTTACAGCATTAAAAGCTCCACCCTTCACTGGGAACATCATATAAAGGCAATGTTCATCGGAAAATGAAAAATCTTGAGGGTCATTGCTGATTCGTTTTCTCGTAAAGTCAAGAATTGTGACGCCATTATTACTGCTCCCTGTTATGGCCGAAATATCTTGTGATTCATCTAAAAGTGGTGCAGAATATCCAGTGATCCATGTGTCCATCAAAAACGGACGTCCATTACGACTGTCAAACCAACCGATGATTGCATCTGATTGTGACTGAAATTGTGTTAAAAAAATTGATTATAAATTTTTTATTTTAATACCGATGACAGAGGAAAATTACCATTTGTTGATTATCACTGAATGCCACTCCCGTCCATGTATTTGTGTTGTTAGTTTCAATATGGAATTTTATATCATCGCCTTTTCCAGCCGTTTGCCAACTGATAAAATATTCACAATCATGCTTCTCTGCTGAACAATCCCTTGGAGTTTTCCAATGTCCATGACATTCGTTGTTTAACTCATGAGGTGATGCTGCAGTTTGTGCTGGTTTATCTTCATCGAAAAAATTTATTTGTGTGTAACCACGTTGTAACCGATGTCCGTGATATTTGAGTTCATCGGGTTGATAAAATTCTGGATTTAATGCTTGTTCTTTCTCCAAACCCGACGGTGGAAAATGAACATATTTTTGGGGCTCCTGACAAAGACAAAGGTTGGTTAATGGAATGAAAATTCAACATGAGTCAAATAAACTGAAATAAAAATTTCTTCTTTCTCTTCAACAAATTGATCTTGATACATACTTGACCTTTGGCCCAAATAACGTGCATTAAATCATCAGTTATACTATGATCTGTTGGTTCATTTGCATCTAGTTTTTTACGGAAGATGATTGTTGTTATTCCATCCTTTTCAAATCCACCAGTAGCAGTTAATTCAGACTTTCCACCCCAAAATGTATCTAAACGAGGTGTCGAACGATCGCGAGTATAATAATCCCAAACACGACTCATTTCCCCTCGTGCTGTACCTATGACAATATCTGTACAATCCATTGGATTGAAGTCATGTTTTGGCGTGTAGTCTTTTGATGCAGTTTGTTTTTGTGCTACAAAATAAATAAATTGATAATCATGAAAAAAGTTTTTTCTTTTATTTTCACCCAACATTGCCGCCATTAGTATTCTGGAGTATAATAATAAAAATTAAAGTAAAAGTTTGGGCGAAAATTACGCTTGTTGAAAACTCTTATAAGTTTCAAACATTGTTTAGCAAACTTTTTAATTAAATGAATATAAACCCCTCTGCTACTGTGCAAATAATTGCATTGTGTCTAGGGAAGTTTGGAATGGGATGATTTGTAATTTACTTACAGGGCTTTTCAACAATTTTCTCAGATTTTAAATTGATTTTTGGTTCAGATTTGGTTTCAGGTTCAGGCGATGTAAGCTCGGGTTCAGGGACTGTTGTTTTAGGCTCAGCTGCAGTGGGCTCGGGCTCAGCCACTGTCGTTTTAGGCTCAGCTGCAGTGGGCTCGGGTTCAGCCACTGTCGTTTTAGGCTCAGCTGCAGTAGGTTCGGGTTCAGCCACTGTCGTTTTAAGCTCAGGTGCAGCCGGCTCGGGCTCAGCCACTGTCGTTTTAGGTTCAGCTGAAGTAGGCTCGGGTTCAGCCACAGTAGGCTCGGGTTCTGCCACAGTAGGCTCGGGTTCTGCCACAGTAGGCTCAGGCTCAGCCACAGTAGGCTCAGGCTCAGCCACAGTAGGCTCGGGTTCTGCAACAGTTGGTTCTGTTTCAGCCGCAGGCGTGTTTGGCTCAGGTTCTGGAGTTGTCGAGTCTTCTATTTTTTTACTCTTTTTAAAACCTATTTATTTACAAAGGGAATGATTGAGATTATCTACTTGTGCAAAGGTTTGATGTGTAATGAGTTAAGGGAATTGTGCTAAATTTTCCTTCTTGTGAAATAATTTTATTGTGCACTTTATATTTAATTTAAACAGAAGTTTGTTCAACATAAACTCGTCAGGCAAGTTTATGTTTATAACATCTTCTGGATTTTTAATAATGTTTATGGAATTCTTACTTTTTTGAGCAGCTCGCTTTTTACGCCCACCAGTGACAGTGCTGACACGATACGAAACGCTTGTTGAAACCGTATATTCATCTTTGGATGTTGGAATTTTGGGAGTTTGTGGCGCAGCAACTCTTTTTGATTTTGATGATCCCAAAGCTAATGGCTCTTGAATTTTCGAAGAAGATTCATTCGTATGCTCTGCTTTAGGTTCACCTGATGGCTCTGATGAAGGCTCACTAGTTGGTTCGCTTGTTGGCTCAGGCTCGCTTGATGGTTCCGGTGAAACTGCTGAAAATCCAGGATCATACAAAGCTGGGAATTTTCGACATTCCGCTGTCAATTTTTTTGGTCTCCAACCAAATCCAACCCATGATGTTCCATTTACAACTAACACCATTTCAATTTCCTTTTGTTCTTTAAATAATCTCCAATGGATGGTGAAATCTGGTGTTAGAGTTTTTGTTGTATAAAGAGACATATCAATGTCCGTTGATTTCACTGGGGATTCTATAAAAAAAATAATAAAATTAAATTTAAATCAGTTTTTAACTGATGAAAGAGGTTTCTTACTTTTATTACAGCCAGTTCCAAACCAGCCTAACTTGCAGAAACATTGTTTACGAGGTAAAGCAGTGCCACCGATGTCAACACAGCTTCCCTGCAGACCGCAATCTTGATCAACTGTACATTCGTCCCAATACTGACATCTTGAACCGTAATAATTTTTGTCGCATTTGCATTTGGTTGCAATAAATTTTCCATGGCTCGAGCATGTTTCCCTATACTCTTTTCGAGGTTTTATATCTATATCAGCACAAGACCAAAATCTATATGAGTTTGTCCATTCATCAGCTTGACGTAGGAGTCTCATGGTGCAGTCGTCACATGTGAAATTTTTTGGCAAACGAATTTCATGTGATTGTGCTCTGTTTAAATTTGTTCGAATGATAAAAAAAAAGTTTAATAAATATTCAATGAAACTTACGTTGCATCATTTCTGACAAAGTCTGATCCCTTGATTGATGGGGTAAGATCTAATTTGGGTCGCTCTAAATGATCCAAAATCTGAATTTTGTAACCACCCTGGAATAAAGAAAAAATATTTTCATGTTATTATTGACTACAACAAGAACAAGAAGGTATTCGTATTTATTTACAGCTTTATTTGCAAGCGCTTTAAAAGGTTTAAGAATGATTTGTTCGACAAGTCATGATCTCATCGTGATGAAGCTTTCAATGAAAAGAGAAGTCGTTTGACATAAAAGAACAAAAAGAAGCAAGCAAATTGATGACAAGGATGATGAACAAAAAATCCTTTCTCATTATAAACAATTTTATTCAATAAAGCGATGTAAGCAATTGAAGTGTGACTTTATCAAATTCAATTTACGGTTAATGACTCGTCACTTTGTAGACTCATCAGTTTGTAATTTTCTCTTTCATCGAGTATCTAATGCTTTAAGATCGCAATGGCTTTAGAATTTTATGGAATGTAAAACTTTAACAAACATTGAATTAGATAGAAAAAGAAAAGTTCAAAAGTTTCAGAATTAAGTTTTAATTAAAACACAAACATCAGGTGGTTTACGTATACATGTTTTAATTCTATTTATGTTATAAAAATTGTCTTGTGAATGCAATATAAAAAAAGAAATCCTTTTTTGTTGATTTTTAACAAAAGTATCCCCGGGTGTTTCGATTGAACGTTAACATAAACTTTATAAAGCCAGAATTTGCATAAATCTCTGAATAGCGTTTTAAGTAAAACATACAATACTAGAGTAAAACGTGAACATTTTACTCAAACGATAAATATTTTTCCACAATACGCTCGAGAAATTTTGAATTTCATTGTTAAGGAACCAAGTTGGCTGCTGGAATGGAATTTAAAAAGGCGATGAAGAAATCAATTTAACTTTCTTTTGTTCTTATTTTTATAGATTAACTAAAGCTTTGAATGTTAAAACAAATGACTTTTAATAGCTAAAACAGATGATCAAAAGCCAAATTTATTTTTTTTTAAATTGTGTAAAATTTAAATTAGTAAATAATTATTTGTTCATTGAATTTTCCATCGACGCTTCCACCATCCCATCACCACTAGTCACAGAATGAAAGTAATTATTTCTATTAACACATAACATTTATTTTAAAAGTCGATTAATTACAGAGACTGCAATTTATTCTCACGCCTCAAATGCGACATATTTAAGTAAATGAAAAGCTCTGAGTATCTATGAAAACGAATATTCCCTAATGTTAGTAGGAAGGATGCGAGACAAGATGAAGATGGCAGTTTGCGGGTTAATTAATTCTTCACAATAATGCGGAAAAGTGACATTCATGGTTTTACAATTCATTGTCTCGTATTTTTGTAACTGTGTACAGTAAAATGAAAAATCATTCATTCTTTCTTCTTTACGGACTTATAAGCAAAAAGTTAAAAAGAAAGAAAAAAAACTTTTCATTTCAACAAATGACTTTGCCATTCTACACTCGGTTGTTATTTTCGAGCATTTGTTTTCCTCTCTTCACTTTTTCCGCCCCATTCATTCATCACCTCGATCATGTTTTCTTTGTTAAGAGGAAAACGAACAGTATTGTCAAGAAACAGAAGCTCGAAGATAATGAGTTGCAGATAAGACCGGTACAATGACGTAGAACATTCATTGAGTACCTTAGCATGTTTCTTTAATAATTTGCGCATTCCCTATCGTAAGCAGAATTTTCTTCTTTACTTTTCATCATTAAAGATTTTACTCGCTCTGTCAAAAGAAGACAAAACAAAAGAGCGATAAGTTTTTCTGCTCAATATCTAATTTTCATCATTTCATCTCAAAGCTGAGTGAGAAAAAAAGAAAATGAAAGAATTACCATAAACATCTTCATTTTGACACTAGAACAAAAAAAACAATCACGGAAAATTATTCCATAAAAAAAAGCGATAATTGTTTCGTTGAGATCAGGATGAAGCTTTCTTAAAATTTTCCTGCCTCCAATCATTTTATATTTAATGAAATTCCCTTCCGCTGTAACATTTTCATTGAAATTATAAATTTTCTAATTATTTCTTAATTGCTATTCGAAGCGAGTGGAAGTGAAATTTACGTTTAGTCTTCTCGCATTCTCAACATGTGATAAATTTACGGTTAACTTTCATGTCGACAAGCATAAACAATTTCATTTCAAAACAGTGAACAATCTCAAGCACACTCGTTGCGCACACACACAAACATTCAGTCGTATTATAAAATTTCAATCCTATTTTCATTTAATTATAATACACTTTTAACGAGACTGCAAAAGAAGCTAAATTAACGATGAGTTTAGATGCTTATCACAAGCTTTTAGTGCTTAAGTTAAAACTTGCGAATGTTTATATCTTTGTATTAACTAAATGAGTGCGCAAAAATGAAGTGTCAGCAGTTTAACAAAACAAGTGCTTTTGCGGTGCTAACACTGTTTTTAATGACATCCATTTGCAATTTCAAAACGTCATTAAGCAATTCAATTGCGTCATAACATAGGTATATGAAAAGGGATTGAATGTGAAAAAAAAGTTATTTTAATGCACTTACTGATTTTTGAACACTTGTTTTAGAATTTATTTAAGTTGGACCTTTGCAATGGTCATAGACATAATTTCAACAACATTAATGCATCAATGACCGTAACATTCAGTTGTAACATTCATTGAAAACTAATTAAATTTTAATTAGTTTAATTAAATAAACCTAAATGTATTTAATTTGTATACAAGTTTTTCGCTTCCATTATTTAAAGTTGTGAACAAGAAATAGTTTACAAATGATTTGCTGTTTACAATTATTTAATACTTGTTTAAGTTTAATTTTATATATGACTCATACTAATTAGTTATGTTTAGGCATAGAAACTTACACGATGAGGATATGAAAGATGCCACGTTACATTGAAGGCTGATCCAGTCACAAATGTTGTTCTTATATTGCCTGAAATGAAAAAATAACAAAAATTATTAACAATCTTATTAAATATGTTTTTGATTGAGTTAAATTAGCTTGAAGAGTTCAAAGTACTTTTCCAGTAACAAAGCAAGTTAAAATGCGTCATTTCATAACTCAACATTTTAAACAATCATTAACACCATAAACATTATGTTTTTAAACAAATAAACTTTTATCAAATCAGCATCATTATACGTGTTTCATACATTTTTATCATCAGTCAGGAATGAATTAATGGATGTTTATTCACAGCGGTGATAAATTAATTTTACAAACAACAGAAGAGAAAATATATTTATGGAAACAATTCACATTTTAATTATCAATTTTTATTGAATGTCAGTGGTCCTGGAGTGATCAAACCATTTAATTTGGTCACCATCAACATTTCGTCCCATCATTGTGAACTTTTTACACTATAAATAAATTATTCATCAAAAATGGCACAGAAAAAAGTTATTAATGTAGCACCAAGGATTGTAGCCAAGGGATCTGTAAGTTTTTATTGTATCGTTTATCGTGTTTGTTACTACTGGCAGAGAAGACGTGATGATTCAAGCTTTTTTCAAATGCTCCCCAGAAAATGATTTTTATGTTGTTGTATTTGATATGAATGTGAGGAATTTTATCGGGAATGTGAGAAGAAAAAAGTTTGAAAAATATGAATTGTGACGGAAAAAATGCCGAAAAGGTAAAAACATTCCCGCTGGGCTTTTGGTATTTCATCTATACAAATTGTAATAAGAGACGACATAAAATAAGCACGACATGGTAAAGTATCAAATGATCATCGGCATCGGCTGCTTTATATGAGAAAATAATTTCATACTTTCACTTATAAATGGCAAATGTTGCTGGAAAGATGTATTTAAACATGTAAGTATGTAAGTAAGCATAGCCAGTCAAGCAAATATTCATGCGATGAATGAACAGCCATGTGAGACGAGATGCAAAAGAAAATCGAAAACTGGAAATCTCACTTTTTGTTGTTGCGATGCTTTTTCTCAACGAAATGTAATTGAAAACATCTTCAAATGTAAGTACAGAGAAGCTTTATTTTAATGAAAACATCTGATGTTAGTTTTTGCTAGTGTTTTGTCGCTTCCTCTTCGTTTTTAACATTTTTTTCTTCTCTTGTTGGTTTATTTTTATTATGCCATTGTATGACGTTGGTTAAAAACCCAAGAGTTTAATGATTATGAAATTATTTATCATGATGAATAAGTTGCCAGACAACATTGCTCCACAGCATTGAACACAACGTCGTTTTCTTCAACGACGAAGCAAAGAAGTAAATAAATGTGGTGAAATGAAATTCCCAAACCATGCAAAACTATGGCTTAATGGGATAATATATTATGTCACTGGCTGAAAGCAGAAGATATTTGTTATCAACATTAGACGATATATTTTTCTCATACTGCTTTCAGGCATTTTGCTGATTTTTCTAAAGATTTATTGGGCTGATGAAATAAGCTTGCTTTATATCATTGAAATGTTAATTCAAATGAGTTTCAAGTTAAAAGTTTTAAATATAGAATCGCTGTATATAAAAGTCTATACAATTCTTAACAGCAATTTTCTTTTATATTTATTGAGAAGGAAAACAGTAAAGATATTCTCGGTTTTTGTCGTTGAACACATTTCGCATTGTAAATTGAAAATTATGGCGGCAATACAATTTACGGTTTCTACTAATTCACTTTGACTCTTCTGTTCTGTGGAAATAAATTATAATTGAAGCATAAGTTTTTAATGACTGATCTAATGAAATTTTCATCGTTGAGACTTCTGGGATTTTTAATTGCTGAATAATTTTCTATTTCGCTATCAATTCCATAAAAGCCAAGCATGAAATTTTCACTTACTTTAATTCACCTGATTTCTATGTAAATTGAAAGGTTTGCTTTAACATGAGCATGCATATCTTTGAAACCTTTGAGTTTTGTAACCAATTCAATGAGAATGTAACGAAGAGGAAATCTATTTGAAGTAGAGCAGTTTCAATTCTGCGATGGTTTGAAATTTTATGCTCTTTTGATGTCTAATTAAAGAAATTTATGCAAATAAACGAACAACTTTGCAAATGTGATGAAAGCAGAAAAAAGTTAACAAACGTTTAAATGGATCAATACATAAATTTGCTACATAATTGGTTTGTACATCAATAACTTCAGAAAACGAATAAAAGGTTCGCGGTTAAGTTAGAGTTCATGCAGATTTGCTGCACGTATTTATTGGTCAAAGTTTATTTACAAAATTATTAACATTAAAATCATAGAGCAAAATAAGTTACTTAATAAGAAACATGTCAAAAGATTTAATGCTTTGTAATGGATATTTAATGAATACATTTTAGATATTCATACTCAAAACTTAGCCATTTGTCAGATTTATGAAAATTCTGATATATGACGAAACATATTTTGCATGCTGTTCAAACTTATAATTTATGATGTACACAACAGTTCATCCATTCGCATATACTTATGACAAGACCTCTCTAAATGAAGTTAATTAAAAAGTTTATTTGCTTGTTTTGAAAAGAAAAAAATGCATCTGTGTGTATGAATTAACGTCAACAGACATTTTGATGGCTAGAACAGATAATAAATAATTTATTCAAGTTTTCAACAAATGATTAATCTGGTTGAATGCATTGCAATATTAAACACTTAAAAAGCAATGCTTATTAAAGGCGTTTAATTTTAAGCCATTTTCACACGTGTTGGCTTGACTTTCAATTTGAAATTTCACCATGTCAGACATTTAATTGATTTGAGAGCTGACAAACGCAAAGCGTGAAACAGGTTTGACATCAAAGTAAAAATGAGCTCAACATGAATAAAAAAAATGCGCAAATCAAACCCAAACAAGCGTTTGTAATACCTAAATATAATAAGCAGAAAATGAGGGAAATATTAATAATATTATACACAGATTTATATACGTAGATGCTGACCTGACATTTCTTTTTCCAATTTTCTATCCACATGAACGCCAGGAAACAATTTTTATGCAAAACAAAAACCTTGCAACTTCTTATCGCAGTTGAACTCAAACAGAAAAGAAAAAAGAAAAGTGCTGCTTATTCAAATATCGAATGTCGGCATTCATTAAAAGTTTTACCATAAATCATAAAAGCAAGTGAAATAAATTCACGCCCTAAATAAAAGAATCAAAGAAAAAAAACGAAGGTGATTGACAATGTTCAAAATTGCTTGTTCACAATACAAACTACAAACCAAGCTACAAACAGTTTACTCAATGCGATTATGGCTTAAGTATTCGCCAAATCAAACATTGAGATAATAAAAAAGAAACTTATAGCTCATAAATATCTAAAATAGTTTTCTAAGAGTTTTAAAGGGAAGAATTGTTATTGGAAAACAGACGATATAATCGTTATATTCGTTTTGTTGTTTTATTTCACTTTTTTTCTACTGCAGCCGATAATTTTTTTCTTTCTCTGGTTCCGTCAATTGTTTGATAATCACGAAGGGAGCTTTCTATGTGACGCTTAACACAAACATTCTCCTTTCCTTTCTATTTATATTGCCGTACACTTATTTTATTGTTTTTTTTATAAATGAAGAGTATAATTTTATAAGCGAGTCGGCTCCAGTAACATTCTTAAAGTCTTGAGATGATTTTAAAGAAATATGATTCGATATTTTAAAGAATTTATCTTTTTATATAATTTTATGACTTCTACATAACTGACTTCTATCGGTGTTGTAGTAGATACCTTCATCAGGGAAATCAAACAAGAAAAAGGTTTTACAATTGCATGTTTGAGTGTGAATCATTACATCTTGTTTGTTTTGATGTATCAATGCAGATACATAAAAGAATCGGAAATTTGCATAAAACAACAACATACAAAGAACAAACATAGTAAAATCAAGCTCATTAAGAAGTATTTCATGCACTGTGATGCACACAGATTAAGGGGAAATTCAATATTTGATTCATGAGATATCTGAATGTACAAGTTATTTTTATTTCATGCTCAAATATCTAAATACAGTGAACACGTCATAAATGCAAGCTGAAGGGAGACGCTTTTGCAGAGCTTTTTCACAAATAGAACTTCTGGACTTATGGAGCGTAAATTACTCTCAAATGTGAGTTATTCATATTCATCGAGCTTTTCTATTCATAGAACTTGCATTTATGACGCGTCAACTATAAGCAACAAAGAACTGTGAAAACTCACAACTGAGTTTACTGAGGCAATTTCAATTGGGGAAAAAATTATTCTAAACTTTAAATCTACATATCAAAGTGTAGCTCAGTTGAATAATTCATAAAATCTGATGTGTTTGAGAACATAAACCTTTGGAATGTCGACTATGTGATATGAAACATTTAACATGATAATGTTTTAAAGTTTAAGACAACTTTAAACAAAAAGTATCCGGAAAGCAGAAAAAGCACGTGAAGTGTTATCTCGTAAAAGAACAGTAACCAATATTACACAAGACAGTGTTCTGCAGAAATGGCTTGAAGTTTGTTAAAAAGTTGTTATGGGATGGTTAACAGCAACATTAAATATCCATTATACACCTGACCCTTAATTATAAATTTTTATTATCTTTCTTTCTCGTCAAAAGCCGAACATTATTTTTTTGCCTGTAAGGAAGAAAAGATGCAACCAACTCGAGTTTAATGAGTCAGAGTATTTAATGATTTGTGTAGCGACTCCAAAGAGTCTCTGAGAAAAAGAATGAACAAGTTGTAATTAGTCCAAACAACTCGTTAATGTTAAATATAAATTATCAAACAGTTTGAGATCTGATGGAATTTCAACTTTAATGCTTTTAAAGCGTAGCGTGGAGTGAGTTTTATGATTGACATAACTTTTATGTCAATAACGCTCTTTGGATTTTTCTTAACAGCTCACACTTAAATGTTGTTAAAGAAAATCGATGCTGAAATGACTTAGAAATAAAGTGACAGCAATTTACGAAATGACAAAGTCGTCTCGCAATTTTTATTTTGTTGCCATGCAATTCACAGCCGGAAAAATTTACATAAAAATCTTAAGTGCTTTATTTGTTTTTATTCTTTGGCACTGTCACTCATTTGCTATGCGTCTACTTAATACTTAGCAACGTGACTTAAAAGTCTGTTAATGTTTGTGTAAGCAAAAATTTTCTTATCTTCTCACAAATTTTGTTTATTTTCTGTCTTTTCATTATTCATAACAAATTGCCGATGTCATTTTTTTGACTGATTACATAAAATGTTTTTATGATACCAAAAATCTTTCGGGACGCAAGAATAACAATAATGTAAAATTATATGCAGATGCGGAATAAACAATTCATTGCGTAAAGAAAGTGATGGAATAAAATTTTTGGTCTTCATTGTTACACATGCAAATGAATCTCATTAAAGTTTTTGTAGCTATTCAACTAGAAGAAGGGAACAATAGAAATGTTGTGTTGCATATTTTCAATCTTTAACATCACTTCCTCGTTGCTCATCAAACAATTTTTATTTTGAACAAAATAGATGCTGTAAATATTTTCCAGCCTTTTAACCTCGAGACAGCGTGTTAAAGCATTTTCAATCGAGCAGAATGACAAGAGTTTTTGAGATCAACCAGCAAGTGACGATGACAATGGGCTCTTGTTTAGTGATCATAAAACTTCTTCTCTATAAGTTCTCATTTCCAAGGGCAAAACTAAGTTATGATGATGACAACATTTATTCGTGGGAGATTTTGTGATACCGAAAACACAATGTGAATGGTGACTCTTTGAATTTTAAAACTGAAATCTATGATTTCATCCATTAAAGACCATGACAAAAAAGTTTTCAATCGTTCTTTATGATTTTTTTAATTGAAAAGTAATTTTAATCACGATATGGATGTCTAATGACTAGAAATTCAAAAGTTTCTCTTCATAATTTTTGCGAACTCAGCAAGTTAATTTCTTCAACGTATTGTTTAACATCATTTTAAATTATAATTTCAATTACAAAGTTTGAAATTAGATTCCGAGTAAAATGGAACTAAATAAATGTGCCTACAAGTGAATATTAATTTCATTTCTAAATAATACAGCAAACTAAAACTTATAATAAAAATGGTCATTATTTCAACGCATAACATAATTTAACTCCTTCAAAATCAAAACAACTTAGATAGGCATTTATTTAACATTAAAGCCACAATATACATAAATAACGAAAGTGCTAGGACAGCCTACACGTGAACACTTAATTGTTCGATTTCATCGTCTAATTTATTTCTTTCATTTGAAGCTTCTCGCATTATTTCTGGCTTGCTTCTGAATAATATTAGCATTAAATTGTTACACTATATTGGTTTGCATGTACATTGAAAAGCATGTCACATTACAATCACTTTCGAAATGAATAAATATGTGACTACCTTAATGTGCAAAAGTGTAAAAGAAAACGACTTTAATTACAAGTTTGGTTTTTATTTTATTTGCAATCAAACTATTGAATTTTTTGGATTTTTTTGTACATGAGAAATGCTACAGGTTTCAACGTGTTTATGTATGTCTACAGTATACAAACTAAGAAACTTATCAGATCTACGAAAATAACATATTTATCACGGAGTCAATTGATGCTCTTGGTGAATATAAATTTCAACTGAATTTATCGGTGTTTCTGACCACATAAAATAGAGATTAATGACAAGAATAGTGTCATCCATTGCCATTTGTTATCGAAACGACTGAATAGATAGACAATTGCACGGGTTTACATGCATAAAAAGCAGAAGAGAAGGCTGCTGGCAGATGTAAATAATTGCATTCGATACTTCATTTAATCAGAGAAAATCTTAAAAGAGGAATTATTTAGTGATCTATCTTGATTTCTAAAAATCTTTTAATCTGAGTATGCGTCCTGGTTTATAATTGAAGCAATCGAGTTGAGGATTTTGCTATTAGTAGCTAATATTTATGAGCTTTTAGTTAACTTGGTTTCTAAATTCAAATGAAGTTTTCATTTTATAAGTATACATAGCTGAACATAGATCTTGAAAAATATGTTTCTGCATTTATAAATGAGATTTCTTTCGTCCATTTATGAATAAACATACGCGTAACTGAACTCTTCAAATCAGAAAATTTAATTAATAAAGTTGCAATTTCCCGTTATGGAATTGTTTTCAGTTTCAACTAACTTTTTATGGAAGAGAAAAGTAAAATTTCTGCGTAGAAATTAATATTTATTCATACATTTTCTATTTATGCATTACTTAGGTTATTACAAATTAATTAACCTACTAATACTTTTAATTCACATCAGTATGACTAACCTTAAGCTTCTTTCACTAAATCTTTCAGAAAAACAAATATTTGTTTGAGAAAAGTGTAAAATAATTAAAAATGCCTGCACGGGAAGCAATATTTTAACCTTCATTACTTAGTTGAGTTGCAATTTCCTGTGCTGTTTAACCTGCTAAATTATCTTATTAAATGCGCTTACATATGTTTTGGCAGAGTTATTTGTTTTTGCTGTGGGAAAATTATTTAGCTTTGTCTTTTCACATGATGATACAATGACTCTAACAGAAAATTGTTAAATCATTCGATAAATCAAAAATCAAGGCAAAATTTCTTTTATCGATTTTTTTTTTCTAATACCATTGTAGAAAAAGCTTTCGTGTTCCCATTGAATGGCATTTCTGCACAGTTAAATAATTTCACAAATGCCTTTCATCCTATCCTCTTATTTATCCAACATTCAAGTGAGTGTTAATTGAAAATTACACAATTTTTTATACATTTGATTTTATTGAAATTTTCGGATGAGAAATTTAATTTCTGTTATAGCCAGTGTGATGTTACAATTATATTGAAGTTTTGCAATACATGCCTTCAAATCTCAGATAAAATCGATAGTCTTACTTCATACAGCGATAATTTCCCTAAAGGTTTCTTACAAACTATAATTAAATTTTTCTTTAATAAGTTTTACGAGTCCCTTTCAGTTTAATAACTTTTTCAGTTAATTTTATCCTATTAAAAATCATCGATGAATATTAAATTTGAAGTGAGACTCAATTGAGCATGATAAACAATTTTCTTCGGAAGAAATTTGCTTACACATAGGAGCTGTGAAAAGAATTTAGCGAAAGTATCTGTGAATGAAATTTGTCGACCGAAAAGAAAAAACAAAGAAGAGAAATCATTAATCTATTAAAAACAGAGAAGTAAAAGATAATTAATGAAGTGTAACATTAAAATTCAATTGACACTAATGAAATTATTCAACAATATCTTTGAAAACAAAGAAAACTTTCTGAAAACTTTTGTGAAAATGCCTAATTAGATATTGAATTGACTAAAATCATGAAATCGAAATCACTCTCAATGAAAACGAAAGCCTTGATTGAACTTCAACGTAAACTTGAAAACACCTTGCTACATTCAGAATTAACGCATTTCATTTATCACGTTTTACTTAAGCTTGTGATCTGTTAAACAGCCAATTCATATAAAAGAGTTCGTAAACAAGGAAATGTATCACTCACATTAACTTATTGGGAAAAACCTTCACTTACGTGTCAATACATAACGAACTGAAAGATTATTTATTCACGAACAAGAGCGTGCTTTTTTTCATGACATTTTGTGGCTTATTATCGCTTAATCTGATGTTTTATGGATTTCATTTGCCTAAACAAGTTAAGTCAAGCACCTGTGAGAACGTGTGTAGTCTCATGAAATTCAATTATCTAAATAAGTGTTATCGAAAACAGGTACAAATTTACAAAAATGTTGTCGGGTTTGACCAATACTATACAAACCCATTCCTTTGATCTTATTGTTAATTAGATAGTTTTAATTTTTTATAAAAGTTTTACAGTGACTTTGTGTGTATGAAAATTGAGAACCATTAAAGTTTCGCTAACGGCTATTAATAAAAAATAAATGGAAGGTCATCGAACAGTTTTCAACTATGAACGTTCAACAATTTCTTCAACAACACTTGCCCGTTATGCTTTAGATGCTTCCGTTTGTGTTTTTCTACATCGTTGACTCTAAAATGCTATTGTGAGTTGAATTTTTAATGAATATTAATTACTTATTACTAATGATTTCATGAATGGTGACCGGGAATCATTTATCCATTTATATTTTATTTTTGTAGATGTAAAATACATTGAAAGTTTCTAGCAAACAATTTTCAAGGCAATTTCTTTAAAGCTCTTCTTAAATAATATTTGAAACATCTATATTTGGAAATTAATAAGCAATGCTTTCAAAACCATAACCGCATTGTCAAAGTGAACAACAAAATAAGCAATTAACATCAAATACTTATTTTCGTTATCAAACATTTTCTCCGAGAAAAACTCTTAACAGAATTAAGAAGAAATTGTTACTGCCAATATTTCCAAGATTTTTCTCACTCAATAAATTGGCCGTGAAATTGAATTACATAACTCAAAGCAAATAACTTTTAATTAGCAAACGTTTACGAGCATTTCTATTGCTTCTTCATTTTATGGAGGGTCCATCCTATTGTGGTAGAGAAAATATGATTGAGCTATATAATTAAAAAGCAACTCAATTTAAAGCTTCAAAGCTGTGTGCATATCTATAAAAAAATTATAAGAGAGTTTATAATGAGTCGAACAAAAAATCGACACCTGGTATTGAAAGAAACCTGTTAAAAGAAAAGATCGCACAGTTCATCTAACTTTGAATTTTCGCACATTTTTCTGCATTATTTAAAATGTCGCCTTGGTCATTACTTATGCAACTAGCAAAATGGAAATTAATGTGACAACTTAATGGAGTACTGCGTAAAGGTATAAAGCTTCAGTCATATTTATCTCTGTGAACCCAAAACCAGACTTTCATTTCTACTACATAAAACATGAAAAATTTGTAATTTCAAAACATGCAGACAGATTGAAGAATTAAATTAATGTAATAGCGATTTATCAATAAAAAGAATTATTTCAGCTGTCGCATAAGTATCATGTGTTTAAGACTCTAGACGCTTAATAAATCGCGCATGCAATCAATCAATTCGGTTGAAGTATTCACACATATTTAACTTGTAACATTCAAAAGCACATGGTGACATATTTCTTAACAATATGGTGTCAAAATTTTAAGAGTCATGTCGTTTTCTGTTAAAAGTTGTTTTCTAAATAAGAAATTTACTCAACTATCGATTCAAATCATTGTTCCTCATTTTCAAATGAGCCCTTTTAGGTATAAAAAAATAAAATAATCGAATATGAGTTATGAAAAAAACAGTGCACAGCCAAGCATTGTAATATTGAAGCAAGCAACTGACGTAATTAAAAGCCCCACACTGAGCTTCAGAAAATATTAAAATTTGTTTAATTTCATGAAAATGAAGGGAGAAAAACTTGATTCACAAACCAGACGAAAAAAATCAAAGTGATTGGCACGTGATTCAGAGCTTTAAATCGGTTTTTGCGCTCAATTCAGTTTCTGAAATATTCTCAAAATATGAAAACCGACTAAGTAATTCTCGTCTGCAATAAGCCTAAGAACAGAAGGGCAAAAGATTCGAATGATCTTAACACATAAATAGCACGTTTGAACTTTTATTTTATTGCGGAAAGAGAAAATTCCAATAGGTCAAACATTTACATTGATTCGCACTCATTCATATGTAAAAAATAAAAGACGGGTGAAGTTTTATTGCCTGGTCATAAATGCGTGTAGATACATTCGCATTATGCTGAAGCAAAAAAAAAATCCTTTTTATGGAATCATAAATTTTTAGTCCGGAAAATATCGGGTAATCAATTACTGTGCCATTAGATTCTTTAAAAAAGCTGACTTTAAGATGCCCTGTGGCAATCTCATTCTGGGGCTTAAATGAAGTGTCACGATCGACTTCAATCAGAAAATGTTAATTACATTGTATTTGTGAAAGAATTCAAGACCTTTTTTGTAGATGTTCCCTTTATAGCCTTTTCTTGATATAAATCTTCTGCAGCTAAACGAAGAGTAAAGCTTTGCGCCCTTAATATTTTATATTTTCGTTTCTTTCTGTTCACTACCCTTTACCCTGAAAAATTGTTCGAGTCAACCTTGATGTTTATTAAGCGATTTTTCAATAAAACTTTGTTTCTCTCAGAAACTCACAAAATAACTGGCAACCATCAACTGAATTTAATTAATATCATTTTGGTAGATTTTGCAATATTTGTTTACATTTGGCCGAGAATCAGAAAGACGATAAATCAAAAAAGAAAAAATAAGCAATAACAAAGGGAACGTGCACAACACATTGATCGTGACTGTCTGATTGTTAGTACTCAGAAGAAGCTTTCATAGCTTTCGATCATAAGCTTGGAGGACGAGAGGAAAAACATCTTATGATTTTGGTAATATATTATGTAGAAGGACAAAAAAAACATCTAATTAAAGGTATCTAAGTCAGAAGAAAAAAACATGATACGGATATTAAAATTCCTCAAGCAAACACGTACTTTATTAAACCGTAAAATAAACGTTTTGGTGCGAGATTTCGGAAAATTTTCTCCATTGCAATGCAATTACATTTAGACGTTAATGAGAAACTTGTTTTAACTCATTTCACGACATTGGACAAGAAAACAGTTTAAAAGGGATAGCAATGAAGTTGAATTAAATTAAAACGCTTATCTAACAAGTAAAGAGAACAAAATTCTTCAAGGTTTTGTTTTACTATATAAAAACGTGGAGAAAATCCTTAACTTGAGCGATTAAAATATTTTTTTCTTCTTATTACGATTTCGGGTTTTGAATGAAATTTACACGAATAAAGTTAAACGAATACAAAAGCAAAATTATTTACTAAGCTATGCATAGATCTGTGTAAATCATGACATTGAATAGATTTTAGTTTGACCAAAAGCTTCAAATGCATATTAAAGAATTTTGATTTATTTTTTCGCTGATCCAGTGACACTAGTAATAAATAGTATCGATTTCTCACGGATATTGGCTGTTAAAAGGACAGTTTACTTCTTTCATGAGTAATCATCCATCCAACTGAACTAAATTTAATGATAACAAAAAGCGTTATGGCAGTTTTTGGTGCTGGTTGTAGAAGATAAAAAAGATTTTCGCTTTCATGTACAGCACAGATTTACGCAAACAAGACAGACCAAGATTTATCAGCACCCGCATGAAGTTAGTGAAGAGAGAGGAAATGGAGAAGAAAAGCAGTTTGAACAACAACGCTTGCGATATCATAAATCATAATAAACTGGTAAAATCTTCCACTGAAAAAAAAAAAATAACAACCGTAAAGCACGTAACAGCATGAAAAAAAAGAAGTGCTGTAATAATTTAATGGCAAAACACTTGCCAAGGATGATATTTATCTTAATCAGATTTGCAAAGCTTTTTCAAACGCAAAAAAATTGTGTGAGTATTGAGTGTAAGAATTTTCGAGCCGACTCGATAACCCTTGAACTTAATTTCATTGAGACAATAAATTTTAAGGAAAAAAACTTATTTTATTCAGCAGCCGTAACAAATCACAAAGAAAATCATGTCAGAGTGTTGAAACGATGACAAAAATATTGCTGAATAATGAAAATGTCTCAGACATCAAAAATGTAAGAGACGAACAATGAAAAACCGCTTGAAATTCAGCATTATTTTCCGAACTCATAATTCAAGTGTCCACTCGACAGGTACCAAACCTAAGCGTTTGAAACAGCCATGACTCTCGTTATCTTTCTGTTTTTATGTAATTTCATTCTCGACACCTTTCCTGGCACAATGGAAAAAATTTATGAAAGATACTGAGGTGCACTTGTTTTAATTTCATGTAAAACTAATTTAACTCCGGCCAATTAGCGATGACTGTGCTTAAATGAACGTTTCAAGTTTTGGGCTTCCAGTGGTATTTTCATCACTTTTCAATTAGTTAAGCGCATCGTATTTTTTATGTAAAATCATTGTGAAAACATTCCTCTGTAACTGGGACGACTTATCTAGTTCTTCTTTTATAACTTTTACTGATGAAATAGCCAATTCGACATTTGCAATAATTAAATGCTTGCCTTTAATAGCTAATAATTATTGAAGATTGGAAACTGCAAATAGGTTTATAACTATGTTATTTATTATTACTATGCAACAAGCATACAATGCCTTGCATCATTAATATCTTTTAGACATGCATAACTGAACTTGAGACGAATACAATCTGAATGATATGAATAATATTGAGGTCGACATTGTTAGTTTCTTGAGAACTGTAAGCTGTGTTTATCTAAATATTTCTTATGAATTCTTAACTGTTAGAATGGCTGATAGAAATCAAATACATCTAGAAGTGATTTTTCTTTTAAAACAACAATGCCAGCCGCTTTCTGACAAACCTTATCCACTCAAAGCTTGGCTAAACTTTTTCAACTTTCTATTCAATATTCAAAGCTTTTAACAGACGTGTTATGTACGCTTTTAAAAGTTATTTCATTCTCTGTTAAGTATGGAATCCAAAACTAAAAAAACATTATGTTGTCAAGCGTTTTTCGCTTTCAATTTATTTTCAATCTCATATGAAAACTTTTTAATTTAAAGGACGAGTGGGAAAGTACACGCGACATTAAACTTTTATTTTTGCATTAAAAGAATTAAAAAAGTTTCTTTATATTTATTTAGCATTGTTTTTAATCTCATCTTCTTTGAGAAACTTTAAAATAATACAATTTAACTAAAAAATGCAGTCTCAGCTCCATGCCAGCTCTTTAGCGAAGTCAATGTAAATAGCAAAATGAAAATTCTCACATTCGTCGATATGTAAGGAATGTATCAGCTCAATTTGCATGTTTTGTTATCCATGGATGTAAGCAAAATAAAATCAATAACTTTTTTCTCTCTTAGCTAAAGCGTGGAAAACCCGATCACGAGTGCAAATTCCATTATTGTAAGGTTTTTATTTCCTGAACGAATTCGTAATTGAATGTGGTTTTAAGCTACTCATTCTATCGACACATTGAATGTGAAAAGAAATACTCAATTTCACTTTTATTTACAATGCACATTTCAATAGAGCTTCTTAGAAATTTGAGAAATGTTTCTAAAAATTATTTTTAACCAGCCATAACGTCAAGGGAAAAAGGTTGTGAAATTTTTAATAAATGACTTAAAACTTTTTAATTTCATTGTTTTAAAATGTTATAACGAGTTAATTTGAATTGTTGAATAAACTCAGGTTTGCTTTATTCAATCACTCATAACTTTAACTACATGAAAATAATAAAAAAAGAATAAGAAATTCAGATTACAAATATTGTTTAATGAAGACAGCTGATGAGTAAAAAATATTTTTCTTCTCCTATTTTTATTTCTCTCATTACTGATGTCACCTTTTCAGCTACTCCTTCTATTTTAACTTATTCCACAATGTCTCGGATTAGCTTTTCTATGATCGGAATCATTGCTTGAATTTAAATATTTCGTTATAACAGCAACAAGTGAGAGTTTACGGAATTTAAACTGAAACTTAAATTATTCCATAACATTTACGCAATGTACGCGTGGAGATTTTTACTATTCGAATTTATAGGATTATTCAATATCAGGTTAATACATCCATGAGTAAATACTTGTATGTTTATGAAAATATGTTTTGAGCTAGCCATAGAATTGAATCAGATTTAATAATGGAAATTAATTCCGTTTATTCCAGAAAAAATCGAATTTTAATATAAAATTTTGTAGCTTAAACACCAACGACAGTAATTAAGTAATCAGTAATTAAATCTGATAATTTTCTTCAAGAAGTCTGTAAAAGCAAAAGCTGTGTTAAAAGATATTAAACAGATTTGCTGACCTGATATGGTTTTTAAAGCCTTTAGGTCACATTCTCTATTAATTAAATGTAACAAAACCAGCACGAACTGCCACTTTGCCGTCAAATGAAACCTGATTTTTTTTAAGTTTTCTCTTAAAGAAACGAAATATTTCTTACTTCATTATAGAAAAACGAAATCATAATAAATTTTGAAAATTTATTCGATTTTAAGCATCACTAAGCTCTAAGATTAGACAACAGAAATATTAAGGGAATCATGCTTATTATAAATGCAGATAGAAAGGAACCAAAAGAGAGAAACTTATACGACAGGTATGCAAATTAGCTTGGACTTACTTACGAGTATCAAATCTTGTATACATTTTTATATTTTGATTTCATGATATGAGTTTTTTTAAATGAAAGCTTTCCTGTTTCAATTATCAGCTTTGCCATTAAAGAGAACGTTTTAAAACAGCAAACAGATGTATCTTTATTTATTTGCTACATTTAATGAATCTTCGGAAAGATATTCATGATCAAAAAAGTTTTGTAGGAAAACTTATCAGATTTATGTAAATATTAATGTTCAAAAATTGATTCTTGAAATTGAAGATGAATAGCAATGGCAGAAACTGAATGGAATTCATTCATCTTATTTATTTATCGAAACACAAAAGGAAACTCTTCTTTTGAGACATGAAAAGGAGAATAAAATTAGAATCATTTTTACTAATCTGCATAAACTTTGATAAGCAAAATTTCAATCTTTCAAAAACCAACATGAGTATAAATTGTTGAGTTACCATTATTTCAATTTTGTACCATTTTTTCGAATGAATGAGTGGTTTGTTTTAACCTTTTCTGAAGAACGTGGGGTAAAAGTTAATATCAGCATCTTGGCTTTTCAACTTGGTTAAACATCAATGTTTATTGTACGCGAGATCCCAAAAAAAAAGTTAATTTAGGCAAGATTCTCTTCCAATTCAACTCTAACATTTCGAGAAAATTGATTTTCTAATTAAAACTTGAGCTATTATTCTGGCAGCATTTCATTAATGGTTCTATTTCTGAAATCCGAAGTTTTACAGCTTGTTTGAAGATATTTCGTTTCTCGGCTATTATACCACCATAAAAAAACAAAAGTATCAATTACGGAGGGAATAAGAATGAATCATGTTGAAACATTTAATTTGCTAGCGATTATTCTTCTTCGTTACTTGGGGCACCAGCAATCAAATATTGGAGCTCATAAATTTTATTGATAGCTAATAAAAAGAATGATTTCTTACCTTTAGGCATTCCACAAGGCGCTGGCGTTCGAGAGTTATCCAAAAAATCCAAATCATATTTCCTAGCTGGTGGAAATGTGAGGGCAACATGAGCCCATGAAAAGCATGCACAAGTGCTTAGCACCAACAAAAATAATAAATTTTGCACTCGAGTTGCCATTTTTATTCGGTAATTTATTCTAATTTTATATTTCTGCGATGACAGAAAATCATGGAATTCTATTTGAATCACGCAATTGAATTCATTTAACTTCTCTTAGGGCTCTTGACAAAGATCATAAGAGAGAATTCAGATCGATGACACTTCAACTAATTTTAGATTAAATATCAAACTTCTTTGTTCACAGTTGCTCTGTCTGCTTTTGAAAAAGCAATTTTTTAAGTAATTAAAACTCTCAATTAAAATCACCTTTTCACTTTGCAATTTTCTCCGCAAACACCAACATACGGTCGTGTATTTATGGACAGGAAAAAATATTCACATTAATTGGTTCACTTGTTATTGTTAAGCAGTTGGAATGTGTGATAGTCCACGGGAAAGTTGAAACTGTACAATTCTCGTAATGTTAACCGCTTCGAAAGTTGAAAGTGTACTGATTGCAATCTGAAATGGATAAGAAAAAGTATTAATACATATGATTAATTTTCATGAGTAAATTAACGTTTGAAAAAACACCTTCTGGCTCTTTCAGAAAGCTAAATTATGCTGAAAAGCCTTCAAAGATAGTTTGGGAAGGCGAACGTTCATTCATTCATACATTCGTACAGTTTGCTTTGTATTTTTGCAACACTTTAAGTATTCTTCCACTTCGTGTTGCGCTTTACTAAATCACAAGAAATGAGCTTGAATTTTATTTACAAACAATCGCGTTATAAAAAACAAAGCCAACATGAAATTCAAAATCGTAAAGAATTTCTCGAGTTGGCACAGTGAATTGAAAATAATTTCAAAATATTTGTTGTAACTATTTGAAACTTGCTTAATAATTGAGAACATTTATCGACAGCGATTTTTCAATGTCAGATGCCTTCAGCATCGCAATCGTTACACAATACTCGAGCATTAACATTCCACACACTGCCATTCAAACATCGTTTGATCCCAGAAAATACATGGATGCTAATTGTTGTAACTGGTTACAATCGAAATGCCGATTTTAGTCTTGAAACTGTGAAACAAATCAAAGACGAAGAGGAAGGCAAGACAATCTAACATAATACGCCTATGATGTAAATTAATATGAAGACTTTAGTAAAGACTTCTTATTAGAAGAAACCGCGTTGGTTTATTGACGACTCTGAGAATGAAATCAAGGTCTTCCCTATGCATTTCCAATGCCTATATCAAGATGTTTCTGACTCTCCCTTTTGTCAAATGCAGAGTTGTTCTTTGAGTCACTAAAAGTTTGTAAGCCAACTCTGTTCAAATGTCGCCTCCATCTCCACTCATAATGCACCAACCCATCCAATTTTATCTCATTCTTCAGTATACTTTGTTTCAGAAGGTCTTATGTGTGCTTGACTTGCAACTAGTTAAAACTAAATAGTTTGTGACTTAACAATTCCGAATTAATTGCTTCCCTCTTATTTATATCAGCATACGAATAGGATTATTCTTTATACAAAACTACTTAATTCCGTTAAGAATTCTATCTTCCATTGTGATCCCTTTCCTTTGTTTTTCATAGATGATTACCATAAAATACATAATTATACCATGCACTCATTAAAGCAGCAAAAGAAGAAGACAAAAATCTGCTTACAATATTACGGAAAGCTGCAATTTTCTACATACACAGATGACAGACCTGCACATTATATGACGTTCATTACAATGCAGGTTTACAAGGAAAGAACTTTCAGATAATCTTTAGGTTAATGAGATGAGTTTGAGATAAAATCTTCTGAAGAAAATGTAGCAAAATAATTGCGTGAAATTAAAAATTTTGTAGCAGTTTTAATAAAATTTAAACAATGAAACGTGAAGTGTATCGATTTATCTATTTAATCGTGGGGAAAACTATAACTTATCTAATTGGTTCAACTTGATGACGATCCGTTTCACTTCATCTGAAGTTTTACTTCCCTCAATGAGTTTTGCTTTCTTGGAACTTTCAAACTTCGTTATGTATGTAGATATTTCAGAAATGGTGATCTTTAATTATCGATTAGATGTTTTTAACCGTTTCAATTGGCAATAAATCTGCGTAATTGACTTGATTTGTGGAATATTTCATCATTTTCTTTTATATTGTCTCATTTTAAGTAGCGTATAAGAAATGAATTAATCATTTCTTCCAAATACGTCCAAACATCTCATAAATAAATTACTCGGTGTTAGTCAATTAATTTCTATTCGCAATTTTTTAATTAAATTTTTGCAATGACCGATAAATTTCAACGAAAGCTAACTTGCAAAAATATGTTAAAGAAATGTTTATGATCTGTCGTGTCGTTATTACAATCTTTAACGCTCTTACTTCTTATTCATTAATGGCAATTTCTTTAATTCACGTCACAACTCTTTCACATGCTGAGCAACGAATTCCTAAATGAAGAAATGAACAATTGCTGTTTGAAAATACCTAATTGTCCGAAAAACTACTTTAATTAAATATGCTACTCATCAATCACTTTTTAAGCCTGAAATCTCAACCAGTTGTTTGTCTACTCATTACAGTTTTTAGGATTATGAAATAAGTTAGCAGTTGACCGCATGGTCAGCTTACTTAATTATTGCTATTAATTATAATTATTAAACGTCTTAATTACTTTAACGATAATTGTTACGTAACTGTCAGGTGCGTGTGAAATTGGAGCTTTTTGAATTGAGTTAATCTTTGTAAGTGAAGCAACTTTAAATTTACAAATAACTTCAAATGTAACTTTTGATTTTTTAAATTAAACTTGCAAATTATTTATTTTTAAACAATAACCAATAAATACAAGTTCTTGACTTCCAACGAGTCACAACGATGTAACATTCGCAAAGACAAAATATAAACTAAAATTATAAAGACAGCAAGCCTGGCAAGTAGAATTTTGTTCTCTTACCAAAAAAAAAACTCAACTACTAAAAAACAACAAACGGCAATTTTCTGTCTAGACCCTCACTCTTCACTTTTCATCGTCTTTGAATTCAGACAATTTTCAATGCCAAAAAGAAGATATGTTTCCATTTTGTGCATAAATGTATACTTGATAATCACAGTTTGCTGATGGAGAAACTTACAAATGTTGAGAATAGAATATACTGGTTCATTATTCAACGAATTGTACAAAGTTTGTATGTGGCAACATAGAATATGGATGAGAATGATACTAGAATTCAAATAAAGTTTCAGTTTTTCAAAACAGTTTCCAATCACATAACATCGTCAACAAGTCATACTCGTTGAACATGGAATATGGTGAGGGGGTTTGTGGTTTTTATCCGGATAGAACATTTTCATACAACATCAATGTTAAGGCAAGCAGATGGTGATTCGATGCATGCAATCTGCATATAAATATTTAATTTATTATTTTAAATATCAACATGCAATGAGATGACCTTTAAGATATTTACTAAAATCATTAAATTGTTAAGACATTTGAGGAATTTCTATCATTATCATAAATATTTATTCAAATGAATAGAAAAGAGTTGATGTGAATAAAATTGCTACAAGTCGCGTAAAATATTGAAACATCTCAAACACTAGCAAGAAGAATTTTAAATGCACAATTACGAAATAAATTTTGTACAATACTTTGTTGCTTAAAAGTATTGAAATCAACATGATTATCACATAAGAATCATAATAAAAAAGACAAACACACTTTCATAAATAATTCATCGCCTTTTAAAGATTCATTCAAAGTTTTGCTTTTAATATTGCACACTTCAAAACGCTTCTGTTTACTGCAATGAAAAAATAAATCATGTGAGTTTATCGTTTTGACAAAAATTTTATTCATTTTCGCTCCTCTTCATGCAATGTTTAATATCACAAACAAGAAGAATGAATAATAATAATTTTATGAGCGCCATAGTTATAATGTGCCATCCTTTACAACCCTCGAATTAATTAGTCATTCCGGGAATTAAAGCAGCCTTGAGTTAACATCGTTTGACTAATTTGTTTTCAACGTTAATGTAGTTTTTTTTAATGGTTTTAATTTAGTCACACAACCGTTGGCATTTTCAAACAGAAGGCAAACATTTTAGAGATCTGACAAAAGAAATTTTGTGTTTACGGATCTTTTCTGGAGGACAACGGAACTATAAAAACATTAAAAAATGTTCAGATTTAAAAATCACATCCTAAGGCGTATGCAATTAGAACACTCCGACTTTTCAACCTCAGCATCTATAAAATAAAAAAAGCTCAAAAGGGTGATGTTTACTCAAAACCTCCTTGATATTTATACAGCATAAATTCCCTGAGAGCTCATCTCGTACCAACATTTTCATCGCTGTCAAGTTGTCTTTTTCCTATTTTTTATTTCGCTTTCTCGAAACCCACCTTCTCAGCTCTTAAATAAATATACCCAAAGTTCGTATTTATTTAAATTAATTCACCCCTTCCTTGCTTCACTTAACTTCTTTACTTGCTCGACACATTCTTTTTTCTGTTTTTTTTTTTTTGGTTTTTCATTTTTCCCTCTTCAGCAAGATTCTGCATAATCTTTTTTGTCTTGTACCCTCATTGCAAATTCCACTTGCGAGCAAGCCTTACGTAATGCAAAAAACACAAACCGTCTCCAAATTCAACGGATCTCCATCACATTCCGTAGATGGAGGGAAAACAATTTTTATGTTAATTTTTAATACGGAATTCGACATTGAAAATTATTTGTAAAGTTTTATTTCAGTGATAAATTTTATTCTCTCTCACTGTCGCTTTTTTGACGGGGTGACCGCGAGAAAAAATCGTTTTCTAGATCAGTAAAGTTAACAAGAAATTACAGATAACAAAATGGACGAGGTTGACACAAATCAACACTAACAAATATATGTAGGTATATATAAGTCCAACGGGATTTCAGATTGTTTACGACGATAACCTGAATCAGCATCAGTCAGTAAAGAAGAAGAAGAAGATCCTCCTCAACTTGAGGGAAAAAAATATGATAATTGCATGGGTTGTTTCCAAAGGCAAAGAGTCGCAAATATTTCCCATGTTGTGTCTTTCGTTCCATCAATGACCTCCAATGTCAAATATTTGTTGGATTTTTTTTTGTGTTAATGAAGAAGAAAAAAAAGTCAGATAAACACACAAAGCCATCATTAAGACGAAATGAAAACTGATGAAATCTTTTTGACTGATGACTAATTCATCATTTTTGTTGACATTGCTGGCATCCATCCTTTCAGCCGAAGACAAAGGTGAATTAAAGTTTTTGCTTATAATTTATGAATATGAAATTCATTGCAGTTTTTCATTACAGTTGCTGTTACTCGTGTTTATCAACCTCGATGTGACAGCAAACTGATAAGTTTCTGAAACTCAATATTGGGAACAAACCAGCATAAATATTTTAATTTAAAAAATAAATATTGACAGTTAATTAAATTTAAGACGTACATAAAATATTCTTTTAATCTCAAAATATATTAAGTATTTACAATTATTGTTTATTTGAATAATTCAATCAGCTTTCATTACCAAATCAGTTTTGAGAACGCGCAAACCTGACGCAATATCATAAATATTTAACCGCTCATTTTGATTTTTTTCTTGCTGCTTCAAACCCGCTCAACTCCCTTTGTGGTATTAATACGAATTCCTAAAGCAAACTTCTCAAAAGACTTTGATTATCTAAAGATTATTCAAATTGCGCAGATTTTGCTGAAGATGAATATTAAGATTTTCGCCATCTTAAACTTCATACATGTCTGAATATATTTGAGAATATTTAAAAGTATTTGAAAACGCTGAGAAGTAAATATTTTCTACTCGAAGCTGCTTCAGAATATTTGAAGATTTCATGATATTATTTCCTAGATAATTGAATAATTTCTCATAAATATTCTTTCCTTAATTTCTGACTAACAAACAAGATTTTTATAGAATTTAATTTACTTTACTTATGAAAGAATGAACTTGCAATTTTTTATTTATACACCTAAGTCATGATAAGACGAGAAGAATATCTAATCCAAAACACTTGACGATAACATGCAATCTAATCAATTTCCTTTGAACGAACATTCGAATTTTTAATTTTCAAAGTTTCATTCAGTTGCCTTTCCAACACTTCATGATGAAGTTTCTTTTAAAGTTACTTTTAACAATTGCATTTGTTCATTGTTCGAATGCTGTCTTGGGCATTCATGTGAATGGTTTCGAGAAGAATGGAAAGTATCGTTTGAATCGAGAACCACCACTAGATGATAGGAAGATAAAGCTTGCTGATGATGAGCTTGTTGAGATTAAATGGATTGAACAAAAATTAAATAACTTTGACCCACAAGATCATAGGACATGGCAAATGCGATATATGGAGAACAGAAACTTTTCCGAACCCGGTGGTCCAATTTGCATTTACATTGGTGGAGAATGGACGATTTCAATGAGATGGTTGTTAACAGGTCATATGCATGATATGTGCCGTGATTTAAAGGGAATAATGTATTACACGGAACATCGTTATTATGGCAGTAGTTGGCCAACTGAAGACTTATCTATGGAGAACTTAAGATATTTAAGTATCGACCAAGCTTTGGCAGATCTTGCACATTTCATAATTCATGTTAAAGAAACCAATCCAGAACTAGCAGATTCAGGAGTTTTTCTTGTTGGGGCATCATACAGTGCAACAATGGCTACCTGGTTTATGCAAAAATATCCTCATTTAGTGGTTGGTGCTTGGTCATCTAGCGCACCTCTCTTAGCTAAAGTTGACTTCATTGAATATAAAGAAGTAGTTTCAGAAGCTTTTGAAATCGTTGGAGGGACAAATTGCAGTAGTCGAATAAAGAGAGCTTTTGAGCAGCTTGAAAGACTTGTTGAAGAGAAGAACACAGACAGAATTGAAGAGATTTTTAGTTTCTGTTATCCATTAGACTTGTCGAAAGAAATTGACGTTTGGTCATTTTTCTCTGATGTTGCTGGTCCCTTTTCTGGGGTTGTTCAATATTACCGTGAGGAGTCTCGAGATATTGAAATCCAATGTGAAGTTCTTATGGAAAACGACATCGAAGATGATCTCGAAGCATTAGCGTTTTGGTTCTGGGGTGGAGTTCCTTCAGGCGGACAATGTTATAATCATCGATATGAAGCATTTATCAATTATTACAGTGGAACGGAATGGACTGACAGAGCGGCATTAGTTTCAATCAGGCAATGGTATTATCAAACGTGTTCTGAATATGGCTGGGATCAAAGTTCGGGCTCTGAAAATATTCTTTTCGGCTCGACCTTTCCCGTCGAATTATCACTTCAAATATGTCAAGATCTTTACAGTAGCTTGTGAGTGTTTTATCCGAGATATCAACAATATGAAGTGTTTCTTAATGATTATTTTCTCTTATCAGTTTCACACCAGAAATAATTCATGCTAACGTTGATCGAACGAATATTATTTATGGTGCATTAAACCCGAGTGTTCGCAACGTTTATTCGACTCACGGTGAATTTGACCCTTGGAGGCCTATGGGAGTGCAAGAAGACATTAACGAATATTCACCAACAGTTATTCTTCCTCGTAAGTATAAAATAGAAAAATAATTTCTTACAATTAATTTTTCTTCCTGTCATGAACTTCATTATGACTCTTAATCAACGTTTCTTAATTAATTCCACAGGTCAATCCCATTGTTCAGATCTATACTCTGTTAGTGAATTAGATACACCGGAACTTTTAGAAAGTAAGCAAAGAATTTTCAGTCTACTTCGTCAATGGCTGGGTATGGGAGAAACTGAGCCAATACCAACAGATTAGATTAATAGCTATGAAAGTTGATAGAAAATGAAAAATTCAATAATGGATTTTCATGCACCGCAATCTAACTGACAGCTATGTTTCTGCTTTAATTAATCGCGGTAATGAACTTGATCAATGACTTATCCTCTTAACCCACTCAATCAATCAATATAATCAATCTTTAAAACTTTATTCAAATGAGAATGGAATCCCTATTTTCATCAATATTCAACTATCTAACTAATAAAATTGAAATGGAAACTTTATATTCAATTTTTTTGGATTTTCTTTCTTTTCTTTCAGATGAAGTGTCGTCAAAAGTTGGAATTTTAATGAAAAATGATTCATAAAAATAGATGAATAATTAATGATTTTTAATTCAAACATCTGTTTCTCTATGCTCTAAATACATATCTTTGTATCGATTGTTCAGATTGATAATACAAATCATGAGAAAAGATGAAAGTGAGTTTCTCTTCAATTTTAAAGTCTTCATTTGGTAATAATAAAATTTTCTCTTCTTCATTAACTTTTGGCTCACGAGTTCATTTCATTAGAAAGATAAGAAAAGCATTTGATTAATTTCAATTTAAAAAGAAAAATTCAAGAGTTAATTACCTCAGCATTATAAAGCATTTGATTTAGCATTAAAGTCAATTCATCTCAATGATTTTGAGCAGAGAAAAAAGAAGTGAAGTCTCTCATTGTTTCGAATCGAAGATGTAAATATTTATTTAAGCTGTTCCTAAGTATCAATAACTACTCACATCATCAAGCCATGAGAGCGGATCAGGAAACAAAAATAATGACAGCAAGCGATTGTGCTTTTATTGTCTTTTGCTTAGGTTTTCTAAAGAGACTTTCATTGCAAGGATGAAGAAAAATAAAATTATCTTGAGATGGAAGCTTAATGTATGTCATCAAGTGTCGAAAGGAATGTGAAGCATTTTTATCTCCTTTTCTTCTTAGATCTTTTTTCATACCTATATGATGGCATACAAGTTTACCGAGGCGTTTCTATTTACATTTATCGTTGCCAAAAGTAAGCGTTCGCAGATTAAGCTTAGGTGCGATGAAAAATGACAAAAATGTGTAGACACTGTATTAAAGCTAAACATGATCCCTTTTCATACGAAAATGGGCATAATTTATGGTCATTTCCTCAGTTTTTACAAGCAATGTTATGTACATGTAACTTTACTTTTAAGCATCGCATGCAGATTTAAATTATGCTTTCTATTATAGAAACTTTTCTAGGGACAACAATGAGGAAGAATGAAAGTTTAATGACTTCTAGATGTATAAAAACTATCAAATAATAGCTGAAGAAAAATGCTTTATCAAATTGGCAGTTTTCAATTCTGACATACCTTTGAATCATCTAATTTATTGTCGAACGTCCATCAAATTTTATCTATTAATTACGCACATTTTTCTCTTTCAAGCTGTCTTAAGTTATAAGTTCAGAATTTCTCAAGGATTTTTTTTTGCTATCTGACATGATAATAATTCTCTTCATTTCTCATTTTCTCATAAATTACGAATCATTTAGTGAAAAGGTTTGAAAAAGAATATTTTAATAAAATTACGAAAATCAATCGTGTGATGAAAACTCAAATTATTGAACTTTAGTCTCTTAAAAGTTACGATATTCACTATTTGATGTATGGAATGTTAATTATTATTATTTTTTTTGCATTGTGCATGCTCACTAACGAGCTCAATAAGACATCGCAGCGAGCATACATACTTTTAATCACATTTAATTGAGCATCACAATTGACCCAAATGAGCCAAACTTTCAATCCAAACTTTTCTAAAATATTTTTTTTCTTCATCAATGACCGAACATCACTTCCGAGTAGATTCAATATAATGAAGCTCGTCGAACGTGAAGAGAAAGTTTTCTATCAACATCGAAGCTTTGAACTGATAGGACGGAAAATTTTTCGATGATGAAGTAGCTTTCAAAACAAGATATTTATGTGGTGGAGTATCAATGACACCAAGTTACGAAGTGTGAAATTTAAATGGTTTGAAATTTACAACAGGTACTAGCCAATGATTTAAACTTGGATTCCATCACGATTCTGCTTATTGCAAACTCGCAATGAGGTCTCTTCTTCAATTCAGTTTTGCAATCGGTTAAATAAAGCAAGTGCGGCATCAAAATCGATACTTATATGCTTATTAAAACATTTTTCTACCTTCAATGTAAATTTCATTATGAACGATGCAAATCATTTTTACAAATAGATAAATATCTTTTCAAAGAAATCACGACTTGTTCGAAAGCTTTGCATGTGTAAAGTCTTACATTGACTGAATAAAAAAAAGCAATATTAAAGCAAAACGTACTTGAAAACCGTTTAAAAAGGGTCACCAAGTGTTCCATGACAAGTTTAAATGAAGTCCATCGTAAGCAAAAGCAAGTAACAAACGATTTCAGAGATTTCTTTTTTTCTCTCGTATTCGAAGAGTCGAAGTTAAGTGTGCTTACATATTTATTTTTAATTTGAATCTCATCGGAGGCGAAAATGATTGCAAAACACTTTTGAAGTTGTATTACCACAAAAGACTATCATGGCAAGTGTTTGACGAGTCATCGTTTTTTACTATCTACATGTATGTTCAGCTCATCATTGGAATGTTAATCTTTATTCGATATTTCTTCTTACAGACAAACGTCAAAGTTTTCACGCATATCATAAAATTTAAACAAACGTTAATCAGTGAACGTCAAAGTAAAGAGAAAGAAAACCACAAAACCCCAGAAAAAAAAAATATCCAGAACTGGAGTCTTTTACACATTCAACAAGTCTCTGATAATTTATTTCCAAACAAGCCCGAACCTTAATAAATCAATTCGACCCCTCTTTTTTTTTACGCATGAAACGGAATTTACAAAAGTATCAAAAACAAGTTTTATGTAAGTGAGTCGTGTAGCAAGTTCAAATCTGTGGTCGTAATCAGGTGGAACGTAAAGTCGAGACATACTTTTGTTAAAGGATAAATACTTAGTATGGAATGAAGCAAAAACAAAAGCAAAAACTTTGTGTGACTTTTTATTAAACTAGTAACGAGCATAACGTGTGTTTTCTTAGCATTCATCTATTGAAAACATAAATCAACTCCATTTTATTCCCCCAGGCGTGAAGTTTCATGATATGTTATGATCTGCGCCATTCAAGAGTTGTAACTTCTCGAAATCTGAAACGATTATTCGCTTGAATTTGGCACCCTCGCCTCGTGATAGCTTAATGAAACCTTTATGTTGAAGTCTTCGTGTTTTTATTGTGGCATGATAAACACGTCACTCAAATTTTCTTTTTCGCTTTTCTTTGCCCTAAAAGTAAAAGTAAATATCAGAAGATATTTAAGGCGATGTTCAGAAGGAAAACAACTCGCAAAATCTGGGGATTCTTTCAGTCAGAGAAGCAGCTCTCAAGTAACATGAGCATAATAAATTGTTATCAAGATTAATATGTTATGCGGCTTCCCCCAGGTGAAATGCGTGTGTGCTAAAATCGCTTTCCACGAGGTTCCAACTTAAAAATAAAAAATCCTGCAAAATTTATTCGGAGTCTAGAGGGATTATCATTTGTTATATCTTATCTTTAGGGGAGAACTTCAGACTAAATCTTAGCCATGTTTGATAAGAAATCATCTCACATTTTTGGGAAAGGAAACTTAATGAATTATCTTGGATTAATTTTATGAGGCATTTAATAAAACGCAAAATTCATATCGGTTTTGTTGGAAGTAAATCTCCAAAATATAACAGAAAGATTATCTTTAACAGCAATGAATTCGGTGATGAATGAAATGAGTAATTTAAGAATAATCGAATACTCGAATACCAACAAACGTCATGGAACGTTCTCATGATCTCTTCCAAAGTTCATCAGTCCAAAATATTTGATCGAAAGCATTTTATGAAACTTGTTTGCAAAGTAAACGATTAACGACAAAAGAAATTGTCAGATGGATTACTTACAAAAAGAGTTTAAGATTTTAATATTTGACAAATTTCTTAAAAAGAAGCAAAATTAATAAAAACAGGTTTTTTATTTTCGTACTTATTTGAAATCTTCGATTAGCTTATTCGTATTTTACTGCTGATCTTTACAAACACAAACACGTTTAAAAATACTTTTAACATTTTGCGATGATCAAGACGCGCTTAGGTCATCCAAAGAATTTGAAGTTAAGTTATTTTCGGCACAAATATTCCGAAGCTTCTGCAGAAACGCTCAATTATGAAAAAATAAAGCTCGTGCTGGCAATAAAGCATTAAATGCTTATTAGATGCAGTCAATAAATTGCTATTCGATATTTCTAACTTGATTTCTCATTTACGTAATGACTGTACGGGTGAATTTATTAATTATTAATCAAAATTCAATGTGATGTAGGAATCGAATTATCGATAGAATTTGTAATTTAATCATCTCTCTTTCCTGTTATTCTAAATAATTTAATTTCGATTGCACATTCGTAATGTGTGTGTAAGTTGAGCACATTTAAATTGATGATCATCTTAAATAGACTCAATTAACAAATATGACATGTTTGTATATACATAATCGTTAATACAAATTAATGAAGTTGGCTTTTAGTCCATTTGTAGATTGGGTAAATATTTAAAATTTGTGAATTACGAACTTAAGTTATGTATAACTACGAACAAAAAGCTCACAGCATCAATGAACAGATAGGTTCTCAAAGATTTGCTTTTTTTCTCATTGATTTGACAGCGTTTTGCAACGAATAAATATAATGCGTAAATCGATTATGCAATGACATAATAATTGTAGTGACTACGAATGATGAATAGTTGGTTCAAGACTAAATACAAGAAAAAGAGATGGAGAGTGTGATGATGGAAGTTGAAGCAAAATCATTTCGATTCGAAGTGTAGTTTTCGCCATTCGTTTTGGTTATGAAAGGAAAACCGGTTTTACTTATGATCATTAAGTTTTGTCTTCACGTACACATGTTAATAGTGAATTTGTGTCATTGGATAAATTGTCGAGATTGTTCACATTGAACCAAGCTCATTCTAAGGCTTGCTTTATTTCACATATAAATTCATATGATAATCGATTTAAATTCCTCTTGGATGTCTTTCAATTTCACATCAAAACTTACTGATGATTATTGAAAACAACGAATAAGAAGTCATGAAGTCGCATTATTCGATATAATAGAAACCAGTGATTTGGAAAATAAATTTATTGATGTCACAATCATTTCTAATTTTGATTTCATGATATAATTTTAATTTTTCTTTTTTTTTCGTATCAACGTGTTTGACTCAACGAAATTACACCTGCAATTTACGAGACCACAGACATTCCTTCTTCTTCTTTGTACAGTGAACGTGACTTTCTGTACATTGAACTATAAGCTCTTAATATGCGAATATCCACGGTGCCATGATCGTTTTGAGCATTGTTCACTTGAGCGCAATTCTTGAGATTTATAAGACAACAAAATTGAAAATTAAATACAAAAAGAAAAAAAATCAATAAAATAATTATGGAATTTTTCCACTGTTGAATTTTAAATAAAAAAATCACGTTTCGTCAAGGGATTGTACAATGGTTTTCTTTTATTTTTCTCTCAATCATTTCCATGATTGTCTCAGCTGATGAAATATATTTTAAAATAAAAATGGAAATTTGTGTATAAAATTTATTACACAATCTGGTGTCGCGAGAAGAGTCAGAGAAAGTTCAATGAACATTTAGAGAGATTACAAGAAACAGAAATAAAACCAAAGTCATTTATTCCTCGTTATTCTGTCTTTGGTTGAATTTGTCGCCACACTTCAATTTAAAATTTAATTATTCAATGTTGAAAAATTATTTCCGTTCCTTTGGGTTCCGCACGTCGAATGACAAAAACTTTAAAAATAGAGACGATGTAACTGAGTATTCAAACATATATTGGAAAAAAATGCATGAAGCAAACTTGACGGTAGGAAACACATTTGTCGTTTGAGTTTAATAACTTTCCTCTTATTCATCCACAAATGTAAAACTAATATCGATTCACTGCAATATAGCGACAGCAGGATGGGACTTTACAGAAAATTTCATGTTGAGAAAAATCACTTTCGTCGTAGTAGATTCGCTAAAGGAAAACAACTTTCTCTGTTTTATTTTATGTAGACTCGCTTGTCTGGTGCTCAAAAGGAAAAAAAGAGGCAAGAGGCATATTTACTTTATCTCAAGTGTATGAAGCTTTCTGAGATTCGATTAAGCCTAGATGAAATATGATTGCCAGCCACCATTCAAGATTATTACAACATCGCGATGCTTTTCTCGTAACAAGCTATGATTAATATAAAATAATTAATCATTCATCAGAGTAACAGCAAGTGGGTACATTTTAACCGTTAAGTGATGTTGATTAGTTGACGTATTGATGTTAATTTCTCGTTTAAAGGAATTGTCGACAATTTCCTAAAACCCAAACCTAATCAAAACTCTTAAATTTTTATGTAAATATTTGTTAAATTTTTCTTCTTCTGTTTTTTTTTTTTGGTTAGTAAATGAAACATTCAAGTATCATCGTTGAACCTTAATTCTCTCATCAGCTTTCGCTTTGGTATTACATAAAATTACTTTCTTCATCAAATGAAAACTCAAACAATAAACATTTCGATAAAATTGGTCTTTACGAAATTAATATTGCTGTACGCATGTACTGCTTTGGTTCTGTCATGAATTAGTTAACTTTTATTATGCGAAACGCGAATGCTTGAAACATTTTTCTTCTTTTTTTCTTTTCAATCAATCAGAAGGAAAAATTACGAACACATTTCACTGTTTGCCTAGAGAGGAAGGAGCCGATACGAAAACAAACATAAATTAAGGCTCCGTTTGCTAAAGGGAGGAAATTCATGCGTGTCTCAAACATGTGTCGCTCAAGGCACGTCAAATTGATTACGTGCGGTTTGTAGACTTTTTTTCTGCTCCCTTGTCAGCATGCCTCGAATTGATCGCTTTCGATTTTTACCCGAATTTGATTGAGATGATAGGGAGCACGAAAAGTGAAAAGTTTTTGACCTATGTCAAAAATAAAGTACAACTTTTCGTCTTTCCAGAATACATTTTTACATGGTGCCGACATTGACTTGAAACACGAGCAGATTACCTCGAAATGAGACATGAAAAATTTAACTTTGCTGGATAATTTTTCTCACCTTACTTGCTTTAAATCGGCAGTTTTCAGAAAATAAAATTACCATGTAAAGTTTAAAAAGGCACTTTTAAGCTTTGTAAAGCTTTGCCTAGGGTGAAGGTCTTCAGTAAAGCGTAATCATTAAGAATCTCAATGTTCACAAAGTTTAAAGGCGCCATTTGTGGCACCCCACAATTAGTGTAGCAAGGTGTAAAACGATGTTTCTCAAACTTTTTTCTAGAGCAATATCCTAATCAAATTCATTTATTTTTATATTTTTATAAAAATAATGTTAAACTTTAAGCTTTCTTTAGTTTAATTAAAGGATACTTCAACTTATTACTTTCATGTACAAACATCGAGCAAACCAATTGACCGTGTCACGCACTTTGAGAACCGCTGATTCAAAGGAATTCAGTAATATGTTGCGAACAAATTTTGTAATCATCTAAATGAGACGATATAAATACTTAGCAAGAATATTTTAAATTCATAGGCCGCCAAGGATCTTTCGTCATAGGACTTCTCACCATGAACACAGTCTCGAAACATTTATTTCCACCATTCTTCGTGTTTTCGTGCTATGTCAATGACAACCTTGATTTGGTTTCCATGATTTGCATTTTTTCTTACATTTATTATTGATATTTTAATATTAATTCTGCGACGGCGTTTAGAGTCGACATTGCCCGATTTAAAGCACTCAGGCTCATGAATTTTCATTCTTCTTGACAACTACACGGGCTGCTGAACATTCCTATTATGCTAGTCTAATATCACTTATGAACGAAAAGAGAACGCAATTCATTAGACTGAAGTGCATGAAATTTTTATTCCAAGGTTAGGGAAAGATATGTAAGAACAGAGGAATGTTGACCCATTAATGATTAATTTATCTCTTTTTACGAGCTTTGCGTTCCGATTTTTTCCACCTTACATCTTCGCAGCAGGTTTAAGTGAAAAGAAGAAAAAGAAACGAAAACAAAAATCAGCTAAAAAGAGAGAAGCCGATAAATTGGAATTCCGGTAGGACAACAGCCAAAAGAAAAATAAATTCAGTTTACCTAGAGCTTTTTGATTCTACGCCCGCCTGTGTGATGAAAATAAACAACAACATTGATCAGTACATAAAAACAATAAACAATTACGAATCCCTAAAGCTCATGCTGTAACTTTTTCTTACAACTTTTGCTAACTAAATATTATTTAGTAAATAAGTGATGAAATTTATGTGACTTTGTTTTCGTTCTTTTCAATTTTAATCTTTGTTTAATTTTATTCAAATAAAACATCAAGAAGGGAGATGAATTAATTTGGAATTAAGCTGAACATTTGCTTGTTCTTTATTTATCTTCAAAATATCTTAAATACTTCTTTATTATTATTAAAACATTTTTTTAAACCTCTGTATGTATCTTTTTTAATTTTTAACATTCACAGCTCCCGCCTATCAAATTTTATTCTCATAAAAGTTTCAATCTCATTTTTCTTCTTACGAATGATTATTTTTTGTTGTTGTTTGTTAAGCCTTATTTGATCGTTGCATGGAAACCACAAACGAAAACAATAGATGAACAATAAATAAATTACACAAATCCCCGCAGCAGCGGTAGAAAGATGCTGTTTCTTATATGCTTTCTTATGCATTCTTCATTATCCAATTTTAATAGGATTTTTCTGGCGGACTGAAAGGTTAACGACACGATAATTCGCGGTCGGATGTTTCGTGCATGTTTCAAATATGGAATAAAATTGAGAGCTCATCAAAAACTTTCATTTTTTCTTTTAAAAAATGAACGGTGATGATCCAGATTTTAATTTCTTGGCCTGTAATAGATCAACATTTGAAAGTGAAGCTTCGATGACATTCAAACGCGACCTTTTAAGAGTAAATCTTTTGCCTCATTGCGTGTTTAAGCGTCATTTTTATATGATGAAGCGGAACAAACAATAACAATCAATATAGTTTATGATTTCAACCTTAACTTTGCCCAAACAACAGTATCATGTGACTGTTTAGAGATTTCCATGCAAAATGTTTCATTCATTCATTGTATTTAAGTGACTGCAAGCTTCTTACGCGTATAAGATTATGATGAGATAAAATAACAAATAAATGAATTCAAAAGAAGAATGCTTAAGCTTTCAACATTTGCACACTTTCAGGTTTTATTCAATTCTTCGCTTTAATATATTCACTCGATGGTCATCGAATAATAAAAAAAACTTTGTGTTGGTGGCTCAGCGTTCACATATTTTAGTAAGCGCCAACTTGTTTCTTAACATTTACAATCTCGCTTGAATCGCAGTTTCTCAATATATAGAAATAAATATAAAATGAAAGCGTTTTCTCACCTTCCGATTATCTTTTGTTTTGCGATGGGATATGAACGCAAAAAGTATTTATCCAAGACAATTTGAGATTAATTTCACAATCTTTCCACTTATTATTTTTTTTATTAGTTAATTTATAATCACTTTCAATTGTTTTAAAGCAATTGCATTTCCAGTTTAGAGGAAACTGTAATAAGATATTTTTAATTTATTTTCTCAACTTTTCTATTTCCTCGGCACACAAATGATAAAATTATTGATTAAAGGAAACGTTTTACGCTCTAATCACTTGGATGATTTAGAAATAAACTACCGTGAAATAAAAACGATCCACGAGCGTCTCAAACTTTAATGTTAACTCAAGAAGTCACAACAAAAGACTGAGAGAAGATCAAGTCTTAGACCTGTTATGTTGGATATTTCAACTCTTTAGCTCTCTTTTACCTTGTCTTTCACTCTCACTCTCTGAAACATAAATCACTCTCTTAGCTGCGAATAGCTGAGAATGGCTGATGATCGCATACAGCTTAAGTGAAAGACTTACATGAGTGAATCAAACACCAAATTTATGAAAATTTTGAAGAAAAAAATCTTTTTTTATTCCCAGAAAATAAAATTTACAAATTTTTTAGATTTTTCCAATAATGTGGATTTATATGAACACATTCTTGAGCTAGTAATTTAGCTTTTTGTTGATTTGTTGTCTTGAGAGCTTTGCTTGCAAGAGCTAAAGTTTGTGCAGCTTCTTGAGATGAAATTCCTGATTTTCCTACATATCGCAATGATAAAGAACTTTGAGCCATTCTCGAAGCTGACATCATAAGTTTCTCATCATTTTGGTAAGATTCAATCAAAAGATTTGCCAGTAAATTTCTTAAAAATGGACGTTCAGGATACTCATGAATTCGTTCACTAACATAAGAAATTGCATCAGCTTTTGAAGTCTGAAAATAAAATCAAAATTTATAAAAATCTTCAATTGAATTGTCTTTAAATTTGTTACATGTAAAATATGATATTGTGCAACCATAAAAGCAACTTCATGTCCATGTTCAGGATCCTTTTCAAATTTCCGCAGTTCTTTGATTACTAAATTGCTGAGCTCTTTGTCTTTATGGAGTAAACTTATAGCACATAAGGAGAAAAGCCCTTGGATAGGTGGCGATGGAAGTCCAATGCTAATAAATAAAAATAAGGAATCAAAGTTAGCATAAACATTTTATAACTTCTCACCATTGAAACAGAACCATTTTAGCATCATCAGTGCCCTTAAATGCGTAAACCATCGCAGACATTGCAACCAACACAGCAGCTTTTTCTTCATCACTTGAAGCCAACCATTCGACTGCTTTCTGATAAGTTTCGTAGCATTGTTCGTAGTTCTTATCTAAATAAATTAATAAATTTCATCTTCTTTTATTTTCAATTTAGATTTAAGTTCACCTTTGTAAAATGCCAATGCAAGACCAATTGTCGAAGTAAAAGTTGCTTCTTTAACATTCATAAAAGCTTTCGTAGCTACTGAGTTTCTTCCAACTTTGAGATAACAATAGCCGAGGTCTGTCAAGCAACTGTCCTTCTTAATTCCATTCTCAAGAAGCTTCAAACCGTTCTCATAAGCTGTTATAGCTTGAGTCCACAAACCTTGTTTGCCACTCAAGTATCCAACAAAGTTCCAAGCTTCAAAAGATGTTTGATCAGATTCCAGCAATGTATGCCACAGGGCATGATCGAGTGCAAGTGGAATAGCAAACATTTTATCAATTGCGTATTCATATTTCGGGTCATTCGCATAATTAGATTCATTGAGAATGGAACAAACATGATTGGAATATCCAATGGATGACTCATAATGAAAGCCAAGTTGAGTGCAATGTCTGAAAAGATCCATTGCTTCATTTTGATCTCCAATCATTTCCGCAATGATACTTTGTCCAATCCAAGCGTTTAAGAATGTTGTGTCAGATTGTTGTGCTCGACTGAAAGCTTTATTTCCAAGTTTGATGTCATTTTGCATAAGATAGAAAACGCCTAAATTATTCCAACTTGTATAAGTTTTTTTATCCAAAGAAATTGCTTTGATGAATGAATGCTGCGCTAATGCTGGGTCGTTGATTTCTTTACTCGATGCAACAACTCCAAGAATATTCCAATTTTGCCATCGATGAGGTGACAATTTGACTAAATGTTTAGCGCCTTCAAATGCAAGTTTTAAATGATCCAATCTTCCATCATTATCAACGCTCCTTCTCGCAATTTTATAATAATTTGCAACCAATTCAAACCAAACAAACTCATCGTTATGATGCAATTTTAAACAACGACTGTAACATTTTCCTGCCAAATTCAGTAAATCATCTCCATGCAATTTTCTTGATTTGTCTTCGCAAATTAAAGTTCCAGGAATGATCAAATGTGAATGCAGCTTTGGCAATGATCCAACGAATTCTAAAATATTAGCTAACATCCTCCACAAACACAAAAAATTCGGTTCAATCTGAATTGCTTTCTCTAAGAATTGTAAACTTTCTTGGCAATGATTTCGAGCACGTCCACTGCGATGATTCTCATGTAAATAATAAGCACGTCCGAAGTGACTTTCAGCAAGTCCCTTTAAAGCTGGAAGATAATCTGTGAGTTCGATTAAAAGTTTGTTATAATCTTCAATTGATTCTTGATATTGTTGAAGAATAAATTTAATCTTAGCAATTAGAAGTTTTGCATAAGAATTCTTTGAATTTATTTCGACACTTTTCTCAAATACTTTCAAGGCTGAAGCGTATGAACCTCTACCAAAATAGGAATCAGCAAGACTTTCCCAACATTTCTCATTATTTGGATCATATTTCAAAGCATTTCTAAAAGAAGTTATAGCATTATCGAAGTTCTGTTGGCTTAAATGATGTAAACCAAGTTGAAAACTTGCAGACTTCTGATGATGACCGTCAACAGATTTCACAGAATTTTCAAGCATCGCCAAATTTTCGTCCCAATTTTTATTCTTTCTATAAATGGCTGAGAGAAATGTTATCGCCTTTTCATTTTGTGGATTCAAACTTAAACATTTCTCGAAGCATTTTCTACTTCGTACTTCATCGTTGATTGCGACATAAATTCGTCCTAGCCAAAAAAAGCATTCTGAGTTGGTAGAATCGAGTTTCGTTGCTTTGAGAATGCTTAACAATGAATCATCGAACTTTTTTAATGCAAAAAGGTTTCGACCACGTTCTAAATTAGCTTCGTGATCTTCCAAGTCTTGAAGAATATTCACAGCCTCTAAATTCTCTCCTTTGAAACGAAGCATTGTTGCTTGAAGTATTCTCGTATCGAAGTTCATTAATTTTAATCTCGAAACCAAGTCTTGAGCAATTTCAAAGTTTTGCAGATAAATTTGTGCTTTTGTTTTTAAAACTAAGCAACGTTCATCTTCATTTCTTTCGATAATTTCTAGTGCTCCATTTATTTTCTCATCAGTTTGCTGTTCAATGAGATTTTCAGCCAAATCTACATCACAATCCTTCAGTTGACGAAAGACAAGTTCAGCTAAAAGATGAGCTCGAAGACGAATATGAATGGAAGAAAGTTTTTTTAAGCATAACGACCAGTTTGGCTTCAAAAGATTAACTGAAATAAATTATATTGAATAGTAATAACTAATAAGACAAATGAATTTATAATAAAACCTTTCACTAGAATATCACGTGCAACGCCGAGATCTCCAATTACGAGTTTCACAAGAGCACTTGCCATTAATCCAATGACTGAGTTTGGATTGAGCTCCAACAAACGTTCAACAAATAACCCGAAATTTGATTTCAAGTATTGACTTATTGGGAAATCTTCATTTTCTATGTAAATCTTACATATCCACTCTAGAGGCATCACATTATTTTCATATACTGACGAGATTTCCTCAGCTTTTCGTGTGAGATCCTCGAATCGTCTTTTTTGATGAAGAAGTTTGAAGTAATCGCGACAAATCTCAAAATGATGAAGATGGTTCTTATCTTGAATCCCAATTTCCAAACATTCTAAATACTCATCTTTATAAGTCTCTGCTGCCAATTCTCGATTTTTCATAAAGACATTTAGAAGATGTTTCAATGCTTGATATTTTCTGTCATTATCGTCTGATTTAATTTCATGACAAAAGAAATTAATTAGTTGAGATTGATCGCTTATTTGATGTGTTACATTAGAGAGTTTTGCATAGCATTCAAGATATTTTTCAGGTGCCAATTGAAGAAGTTGTTCAATAACATCTGTCAGTTCGTCTGGTTTTACGCAATTGCTTAAACCTTGGAGAGATAACAACTTATAATCTCCCTGACAGTCCAATGCACATCTTAAATATTTAACAGCTTCAGATTTATTCGTTTCTTGAAAAGCGGCACCAAGTAAAATGTAAGCCATCCCATTCTTTTTATCATTAATAAGAATTTCCTATTATTAATTAAGACATTTAAGAATTTTGTTTTTTAACATATTAAAAACTTCATACCTTGCACTTTTGTATAGCAAGTTGATAGTCCTTTTCCTTTATTGCTTCTCGAGCTTCTTTTAGTAAGGCTTTGATTTCTTTCGAGCTCATTTTGAAAACAAAGTATGGAAAATTTGATGACCGACTGGCTTAATATTTGTTTACAATTTTTGCTTCATGAAGCAAGGCGTAGGAATTTTGCGAAACTAAAACAAAACTTTTAAAAAACTAATGAAAACGGAATGGTTCACGTATTAGTCTCATATTGATAATATTTTGTGCTCAACTTCAGTTGAAATAGCTCAGAATTGAGAGATGACATTCTTTATTTAATGATTTAAATATTAATATTTTTCGCTTCCCAACAACTTTGCTTCAACGATGATATTTTGAAATTTTTGATTCTTTTACCTCATAATCTTTAACCCCTTGACAAATTTGTGCAAAATTGGAAAAAAAACGAAGAAAAACAATTTTATTAAAATATTTTATTTTAACAGCTGATTTCTAGTGTTAAAACATTTTCCGAGTTGTTATTGGTATCAATTATGATGAAATAATTTATTAGTTTTAAGAAATATGATACGAAAGTGAATTATTTAACTATTTGCGTTGGCAATATTCTTTGTGCAAGTTCATAAAAGAAAATTTTGAAGAAAACTTCCAACGTAACAGATTTTTCCTAAGAATGGACAACGGAGCAGGAAGGAATCCCATGGCTGAAACAGTCTATGGGACAGAGGACTCCACAATGGTTATGTCGGAAAAGGTATTAAAAGAGATGAATAGTAAAATGAATAATCAATAGAGGGTGGGGATGGGGAAATCGCATTTAAAGACAAAATAAATTCGGAAGAATTTCTATAGCGTAATTCATTCCCATATGTTGTATTTGTAAGTACATTTACATTCACCGGACATGCTCATGGGATATCAAATTACATTCTGCGAATATTTAAATTCTTTTCCATTTATTTCTTTAGAAAAACTAAATCAATGACATTCAAATTTATTTTCAGGTACAATCCTTAGCTGGCAGTATTTACCAGGAATTCGAACGGATGATTCAACGCTATGACGAAGATGTTGTAAAGACACTCATGCCACTTCTTGTGAATGTCTTGGAATGTTTGGACTCAGCTTATCAAACAAACCAAGAACAAGATGTTGAGCTTGAACTGTTGAGAGAAGATAATGAGCAGCTAGTGACACAATATGAGCGTGAAAAAGGAGCACGAAAGCAAGCAGAACAGAAACTTTTAGACACAGAAGATTTAGCTGAAGCTGAAAATAAAGAGTTGGCTTCCCGTTTAGAATCGCTCGAATCAATCGTTCGAATGCTAGAATTAAAACATAAAAACAGTCTTGAACATTCATCAAGATTGGAAGAAAGAGAAGGAGATTTGAAGAAGGAATACAGCAAATTACATGAACGTTACACTGAACTTTTTAAAACGCATGTTGATTATATGGAGCGGACAAAAATGATTATGGGAAATTCAACGCATTCTCTTCATCAGAGTTCAGCGTCAGAACGAATGGAAGTTAATCGATCTATGCGTCTTCATCCTATGAATCGCTCATCTGGTCCAATTTCTTTTGGGTTTGCATCTTTAGAAAATTCTGTGGCAATGCTTGATACCGAAACCATGTGCAGTGGACCCAGTTCAGCATCAGGAAGTGGGCCACCGTCACTTCAAAATGAATTAGAAAACCTACAAACTGCTGAACGATCATCAGAGACTGATCAGCTTCAACAGCAAAATCAAGCAACGTCACCACCGAGTGAAGTTACTAGTCCCACGATTCCACAAATTACCACAGGTCGTAGTACGACAAAAAGTGAGAAACGATCAGCAAACACTCTTTATCAAGAGCTTTCATTTCAAGACGATCAATTGGAAAGTGAAGAAAATGAAATCACTGGAATGGTTCATCCTGGAGAGTACGCAAGTTCAGGTAAGATTTTATTTCGTTGCTTTTTCCTTTCAATTTTCTAATAACTGATTAACTCCTTTACGCGTGTTGCATGTTTTTCCTTTGATTTCTTCCCCTTTTTTTGGATGCTCAACTTGCAGTTAACGATAACTTCTTTGGTGAGTTAACAAACGATTTTTTTTTATTCATAAAAGTTGCCTCGTATTAGACTCGATTTTTACATTAATCGTGATAAAGATTTCCGTTTACAATGGAACTTCGATAAAAAGTTGGCTCAAGGGGATCAGTTTGTTGAAGTTTCATTGTACCAAGTTTTCATTCCCTTTTCATGTTTCATGAGAGAAAGTGTTATGAATTATGCTGAAGATAACATAAAACTTATCTTTAAATGAATGCCACGTTTTTAACAATTTTTCGCATTTATCAATTAATCTCTTGATTTGCAATAAAAATTACATTTTTTTAATTAGGTATTTACAATTTAAACTTTCTTCTACAGGAATGGGAAAAGAAGTCGAAAATCTCATTATGGAAAATAATGAGTTACTCGCAACGAAGTAATTTATTTAACTTTTTGAACTTTGAAATAAATATTAAAAAAATGAATGTTTTTCATTTATTCAGGAATGCATTAAACATCGTCAAAGACGATTTGATTGTGAGAGTTGATGAGTTGACGGGCGAATTAGAAATTCTTCGTGAGGAGTTAAATGCTGTTATTCAATCTAGAAATAAGTTGAAAGTGAAGGTTGGCGAGTTGGAAGATGAGATGAGAAAAGCCAAAGAGCAGATGAAGCAACAAAATTCCGAACATGAAGATGATGGCGACGTTCCAATGGCGCAACGAAAACGTTTCACACGTGTTGAAATGGCTCGTGTGTTAATGGAGCGTAATCAATATAAAGAGCGATTTATGGAGTTGCAAGATGCTGTTCGTTGGACAGAAATGATGCGAGCAACAAAAGTCGATCAGCTAGACAAGAAATCAAAGCAAAGTGTGTGGAAGTTTTTTAGTAATCTTTTTAGTTCTAATGACCGACCCCAAAGAGAGCCCCCTCCGTTATTCAGGACATCAGCGTCTTCAAATGGAGAGGGGCGAAATTCACAATTTCCTGCAATTGGTGGAGCAACGTCAAGTGGCTCCCAATCACTTGTCTTAGCATCAAAAGAATTTAATGAAGGTCATCACAATTCGAATGATGGAACATCTGAACGTGCACAAGCAAGACGACGTGAACAATATCGACAAGTGCGTGCACATGTACAGAAGGAAGATGGAAGATTGCAAGCCTATGGATGGAGTCTTCCAGGTGGTGCTGGAAAACCAAATCAAGTTGATGGAAGAGGTGGAAAGTCAAGTCAAGGACAACAACAAGGAGTTCCAGTCCCAGTTCCTGTTTACTGTCGTCCATTAGCTGAAGCTAGTCCGCATATGAAAGTTTGGTGTGCAAGTGGCGTCAATCTTAATGGCGGTTACACAAAAGACGGCGGTTGTGTCGTTGGTGCAAGTGTTTTCTATTCCAGGCCACAACCAACAGCAACAATCACCGACGTCACAACACCTACAAATGAAACGCACTCGGAACTTGATTCATTGGATAAACAAATGACGTTAGCAATGGATCAAGTTGATTATGATCAGCAATTGAGTAGCTTTGTTTGGATTTGTACGAGCACACACTCAGCGTCAACTGTCACTGTCATCGATGCTAAAAATCCAGCTGAAGTCTTGGATTCATTTCCAATTTGCCAAACTCATTTGCTTTGTATTTGTACAGTTATTGGGGCACTTGAAATGGATTATCACATGTTAGAGAATAGTGAAGTGAGTAAAGCTGGTGAAATGCTGGAAAAGCCTGGTGATGTTGGCGATGCTGATGAGTTGGGAAAGGTTGAATTTGTTAGAATTCCACAGCAACAAAATGAGGAGTTGGTGGTGACGACACAAGATGAAGAAGACATTGAGAAAGCGAGTGAAGCATCACCGGATGGTGGTGACGATAATTTGATGGACAATCCAACATCGGTTGGTCCAACAATGTGGCTGGGCGCACAGAATGGAATGATTTATGTTCATTCATCAGTTGGACGTTGGCGTGTTTGTTTACATGCTGTGCAACTTCCTGACGCTGTTCTTTCCATTGTTCATGTCGTTGGTCGTGTGGTTGTTGCTTTAGCAAATGGACAAGTTGCCATCTTTCGACGTCAAATGAATGGAGAATGGGATGTGAGTAGTTATCACATTTTGACGCTTGGTTCACCAAAACAATCAGTTCGATGTCTGACAATTGTTGGCGATAAAGTTTGGGCAGCACATCGTAATCGTATCCATGTGATTGATCCAATTTCGCTCAGCATTGTTCATACACTTGAAGCACATCCGAGAAAGGAAAGTCAAATTCGTCAAATGGCAGCAACGGGGTTGGGCGTTTGGGTTTCCATTCGACTTGACTCAACACTTCGCCTTTATCATTCGCATACTTACGAACATCTCCAAGATGTTGACATTGAACCTTACGTTAGTAAAATGCTTGGAACAGGAAAACTTGGATTCTCATTTGTTCGCATAACATCGCTTCATGTTTCATGCGCTCGTCTATGGATTGGTACCGGAAATGGTGTCATTATTTCAGTGCCACTTGCTGGAGATGGAAATTGTAATAAATTTTGAGCAATTCTTTAAATTTTTTATTTATTTCCTTTTTCTTTCTTTCTCAGCTTCAAGCATACCGAAATGTTGCATGGCGCATTCTCAGCTCTCATTTCATGGTCATCGTGATGCTGTGAAATTCTTCGTTTCAGTTCCAATGAATCCACCAATGGTAGCAAATGAATTTCCACTTTACAGCAAACCAGACATGCTTGTAATGTCAGGTGGCGAAGGTTACATTGATTTTCGATTGGGTGAGTAAAGAATTTAAGAAACTTTTAAGGTTTTAATGCTTTCTTAATCGATAGAAGTAAATTTTCTTGCTTGCTTTACATTTGATTAGAATTTTCCTCTTATAAAAGTAGAATTCGTTTTATAAGTTTTTAATTTATGTTCTGTTCTCTTCTTTTCTTTTTTTTCGTTTTGATATTTCTACACCGACAATTCAACGCGCCAAATCAAATTCACTCTCTTGTGAAATGCTTCCTTAAACACTTAAATGCTAAATAATTAAATATAAATGAAAAACATAGAAGACGATGGTTCATCATGCGATTCCACTTCTCATATTCTCATCTGGCAAATAACATCCACATCCACTCAGTAACAAATCAAAATATCGATCGATGGATGAATTTTGTAAATGATTGAAGGTGAAGGAAAGAAAAATAAAAGACTAACCAAAGAAATTTACATTGCACCACCTCACAAGTTCACCATTAATAAGTTTTAACTGTAAGTTAGAAGCTTGATCTCCCTCTTCTGCTTAAAAATATCCTTAACAAGTTTATGCTGAAATCTGGCATAAAGATAGAAAAAGAAAATTTGGCGCATCGACAAAACTTCATTTTGTGTGTCGAAGGTAAAGATTTTTATTTTCTTTTATCATTTTATGTCACATTTATGTAATTTAAGCATTCATTAACATTTGGCTTTAAAATTTTACACTTCATCAACTTCACTTTCTAATTTTGCATGTTTCTTTTCTTGTTGATGTAAGCAACGTTCATTTTTTGATTAAAATAATTTTTAAACGATGCTTACAACATATTTGAATATAAGAGTTTGATAGGCGATAAAAATAAATCAATTCCTTTCCCAGGTGATGGCGATATGGAGAACAGCATCGTTCTGCAACCAAATGAGACGATTGAGAACCGAGGCGATAAAAGTTATTTGATTGTTTGGCAAGTTAATCAATCCTAAAATCGATGAAAACGATTCCATTGTTGGACTCAGCTGTGATGATATTTGTACCATTTGATATGATGCTTTTGAACAGTTTCTCAAAGCTTCTATGTTTTTGATGAAATTGTCGACGATTTTCAATGCTTACCCTGCAACGCCACACAACCAAATGGAATGCTCATTACCCACTTTCGACATATTAATAAATGATGCGCGAAATATTATTAAACCTAATTGTGAATATTTCTTTAAAATGATATTTAATCAACATTAATCTTAAGAAACGGCTTGACGTTCAACCAAATTGTCTTCTTGAAGGCAGACGGTTAAACCTTACCAAACTTATAAATACTTATACCTAGTAAAAGGGAATAAAAAATATTCCATTAGATTTAATTGCAGCTTAAAAATTAAAATTTTCCTTGAATATTTTCATAACAAATCTGTTTCTAATTTCATTTAATGAATTTTCAATTTATTTATATCAATTGTTTGTAATTCATATACATAGAAATGTTATGGGATCAGCAGACCATTGTCTTAATATCAACAACCATAGCAATCAAAAAAGAAGAATGTTTGGATAATCAAGCTTTAAAAATGATTTTTATGGTGCACATGATATTAGTGACAATAAAATAGACAAATGATGGATCTGCTGATAACATATTGTGCCGTATAAACCAGTGAAAAATTTTCAGTTTATCTATCTTATCCTAATTGTTGATGATTTTATAAATATTATTATTATCTATTGTCTGTAAGAAAGCTCTTCAATTGCAAAAAAAGAAATAAACATTTGTATCATGAATTAGAATCTTATTTTTTATTGAACGGAAAGAATTAAAGAATCTTTCAATCGACTGTTACATAAGTCATGAATCCCAACTATGCGAGTCCCTTAGGAGAGTCATCTATTGGCCATTTAGTAAACTGAATGATCCTGAAACTGCTTTATCGACTTATCCTTGACATGTTTTAGCATTTTATGTACATTTACACATCATTTCACTTGTGCTGCCTTCTTCAGGGGTTTTTTGTCAGGAACACGATAAATGCTTCAAAATTGAAATTTATCTTCAAGTAACGACTATGTTATGCTATTTTCCATTTGTATGTTACAAGATGTATTTTTTTTCCAAATTTTAAGATTTATAATAATCTATAGAAGATTTGTAACGAATAAAATTGAAATTTTCAAACCGAACCCAGCGCCCCGTAGTGTTACAAATGTGAAACTTTTCATAAATATTTTTCATAAACAAGAGAAAAACATTCCTGCCGAGAATTTCAATTCTTATTCAATCGAATTGACAACGCCATCAAAAAATAAATTAATTGTTTCATCATGTTGTTATCTGTTGTGAGGAATGCAGCACGTCGTTCATTTTCAACGTCATCGCAACTTGGAGCCGCTACTAATTTAACAGTTCGCGATGCCTTAAATCAGGCGATTGATGAAGAAATGGAACGAGATGAACGCGTTTTTATTCTCGGCGAGGAAGTGGCACAATACGATGGAGCATATAAAGTGAGTCTAACCACCAGTCATTATAAACAATCATTTTTTCCGTGCTCTAATTTTTGTTACGCAATCAAATCGAACACCATCAGAGTGTCAAACGTCATCAGTTACAGGCACAAGGTTGAAGATCCTTTCACTCAAACTCTTATTTTTCTTTTTAAGGTTTCACGAGGCTTGTGGAAAAAGTATGGAGACAAACGTGTCATTGACACACCAATTACTGAGATGGGTTTTGCTGGCATTGCAGTTGGTGCTGCGATGGCTGGTCTTCGTCCAATTTGTGAATTCATGACTTTCAATTTCTCTATGCAAGCAATCGATCAAGTAATCAACTCTGCAGCAAAGACATTCTACATGTCAGCAGGCACAGTTAATGTTCCTATTGTGTTTCGTGGTCCCAATGGAGCAGCTTCTGGTGTAGCAGCTCAACACTCTCAATGTTTTGGTGCTTGGTATTCGCATTGTCCAGGATTGAAGGTACTTTCACCTTACGATAGTGAAGACGCAAAAGGTTTGAAAAAAACACACAGTCATTGATTGAACAAGAATTTAATTTGAAATTTATTTCTTTCAGGTCTTCTCAAGGCTGCTATCCGCGATCCTGATCCCGTTGTCTTTCTTGAAAATGAACTTGTCTATGGTGTTGCTTATCCCGTTTCCGATCAAGTTCTAGACAAAAATTTCACACTGCCCATAGGAAAAGCAAAAATAATGAGACCTGGAAAGCACATAACGCTCGTCGCTCATTCGAAGGCAGTTGAGACTGCACTTGATGCTGCAAAAGAACTTGCAGGAAAAGGAATTGAAGCTGAAGTCATCAACTTACGATCATTAAGACCTCTTGACTCTGAAACAATTTTCAAATCAGTTCAAAAGACTCATCATTTAGTGACAATTGAACAAGGCTGGCCCCAAAGTGGTGAGTTGAACTTTTCAACTTTTTAAATCTCTTGCATTTAATAAAAATTTATTTCTCAAGGTATTGGATCTGAGATCTGCGCTCGTATCATGGAACACGAAACTTTCTTCCATCTTGATGCTCCAGTGTGGCGAGTGACTGGTGTTGATGCTCCAATGCCATATGCAAAAACATTAGAACAAGCTGCACTGCCACAAATAGCTGATGTTGTTAACGCTGTCAATAAAGTTCTTGGAGTGAAATAAGTAATTTGTTAGTTACAATTAATGGAACAAAATTATTTTATTTGTCTCCTTTTACATCGCTGCTAATACATTTTCTCAAGAACCTTTCTACGAATTTCTCTTCTTTATTTTTTGTTATTTTAATGGTGGATTGAATAGAAGAATTAGGTATGTTTGTCGATTGTAGATTGAGAAACCTATCGAGGAAATATTCCTTGACTTCTATCCGAACCTTCATTATTATTTTATAAATTTTCATTTCCTGTTTAATTCAATTAGCTATACATCGGCCCACCCACACCTTCTGTTGGATATTGTTAGTAGTAATGAAATTAAACTTTTTCTTTCTTACTCAACTTAGTTTAGTGAAAATTATAATATAAAATCGAAGTTTTCACTGTCAAGTTGATAACTTTTTTAGAGTTCTATCGATTGGACTCTGATGATCTGATTGTGATTGTCTCTTTCCCCTTATTTAAATTACGAATCTGAAGCAAGATTTAAAGACTTGCCATCTTTATCATATAGTTTATCGTTCTCCTATAGCAGAACAAAATCTTGAAGGTTCTGATATTGCAGCCTGATTATTTATATTAATTTTGAGCAAATGATAAAAGCAAATCATGAATTTAATACATAAACAGCGTTATTGAAATGTTTGACGATACGAGCGCTTGAGCATTAAGTCTTACTTGAAGCAGAATATCTTCAGGAAATGCTGTCGATGAGAAAGCGCAGAAAAATTATGTAAATTCAAAAACCAAGACAACAAAAAGAAAAAAACACAAAGAAATTAATTGCAGGATAATTAAAAAAAAATAAAAAATGAGTCAAGAAATTATTTTTTTTTATTTTTAAAATTTGTCAATATTTTCATGTTAAAATTACAGAAATATTAACTGCAGAATCCGACGTTTTTCTCCCAAAATCACTAACATCTTTTCAAAGTGACTATGTAAGTACATCTACTACATTCTTCATAATTATTTGAGAATGAAAACTTCCATTCGCTGTTCAAAAACTTTTATATTTCTCCTCTGCTTCACATTCGAACACGCATCAGTAGATCATCAAACATTCCAGAAATAAAACGTTTGTTCTGAATGCGAGTTCATAATGTTCATATGTAGTTTGAAATGCGGTTTCTTATCAATGTAGAAATTATACGGAAGTTAAAGATTATCATTGGGAATTGATGAACATCGAGACTTGTTATCAACATGTAATTGTTTGAAAAATCTGAGGAAAACACATTATTAAATGTAAATTTCTTCTTCGTGATGATAGCTTGTGGATAAGTGAGATGTTGACAACAAAAGAAGGCAAAAAAGATTGAGAAAAATTGCTGCTTAATGAAACTTAAAAGCAAACAGCAAAATATTTTGCCATTAATCAGAAAACAAAAAAAAAGAGAGAAAAAGTGTCTGAAACATAAATATTTACATCCAAATTAATTGGAAAATTGGAACGTACAAAATTCTGATGTGAAAATTATTTTTGTGCTGTGCTGTTCCTTTTTCTGATGTTTTTTATTTTTTGATGGGGGAAAGTTTCAAAATTGAACTTGAAATTGATAAATAAAAATATTTCAATTGAAAATTATTTAATTTGTGCTTTATAAAAATTAAATGTGTGGAATAATTTCAAGTCAGATTGTTGATGCATCGATGCTAGATTTTTAAAATTACTTTGGATATTGGTTACAATCATCTTTCGCTTTCAAATTTGCAAGGAAACTGTTCATTGTGAAGAAAAGAAATTAAACATCTTGGATGTTTTACAAGTTAAATAGTCAAGGGTTTCTGGTTTCTATCAAAAACAGAAGAAAGAAGGAAAAGTGAAATACCTCTAGTTTAAATTTATTTTTAGAAGTTTTGTGTGTGTATAAGTTTGATTGTCGTGTATAATGTCTATCAATTACAAATTAAACTTTTCAAGTATCCAAATGATGATGCTTATCTATAAATGTTTAAGATTGAAGTTCATAGCTTAATTTGTAACAAAATTAGAATTCTATTCCTTCATCTTGATTTCAAGACCTAAATTAATTGAAATTTTTAAAAGGAAACTCATTAATTTATGTTTTTCAAATGATTCCTAAATTTTTAATCTCACTTTTAAATTATTTTCAACTCATTTCCTTCTCATGATTAATGAATGAAAGAAGTTAATAATTTTATGAAGGAAGTCATCAAGAAAGTTTACTCAATTCTCAGTAAATGAGTCAATGAATAGTTTACTGTGAAAACGCGTTGTAGACACAAGAAATATTTGAAATTGAAAAGAGTGACGGAATTTTATTAATTATTCATATAATTTTAATTCATTAATTAGATTAAATTACAAGAACATTGTGGCTTATAATCAGACGTGGAATGTTATTTAGAAGAACCTTTTAGAAATTTAAAAAATGGATTTATTACCATTTCCTGATGATGATGATGACAGAGAAACCGTCAATAGTTTTAGTGGTGTAGCTCCGTTTTCATTTGTTGAAGGTACCTACAAAGCAATTTTCTAACAATTTTAAACACATAAAAACTTTCGTTTTGCAACAGAAGCTCCATCTCATATTTTCAATGGATTTTCATCATCATTGTTGAATTTTGCTTCCATTTGTTGCATTATTTTCATGCTACTTGGAATACCTGGAAATTTAATAACAATTATCGCATTATCACGATGTAAAAAAGTAAGTAATGAACGTTTAAATTTAATTACCTATATCTTCATCAACTCTTTTCATTTGCTTGTTTACATGCTGAAGGTACGAAATGCAACTGCAGTTTTTATAATTAATCTGTCATGCTCCGATTTGTCATTTTGTTGTTTTAATTTACCACTTGCTGCTAGCACATTTTATCATAAGGAATGGGTTCATGGTAGATATTTCCTGTCTTAAATATTTCTATTTATTCAAGCCTTTCACTCGATTCCTTAAATTCAAGGAGATCTTATGTGCCGACTGTTTCCAATGCTTAGATATGGATTACTTGCAGTGTCACTTTTTACCATTTTAATGATCACAATAAATCGTTACATCATGATCGGCCATCCAAGGATCTACCCCAGGTAATAAAATTAATTCAAATTTTGATTTCACGTCTGATTTTTGATTACAGGATATATCGACGTAAATATTTAATTATAATGGTAGCACTGACATGGATATGTGCTTTTGCTTCACTTGTTCAGACATGGCGTGAGGAGTGGGGTAGATTTGGATTTGATGATAGTATTGGATCATGTTCCATTCTTCCCTCCGCTAGTGGTACTTATGACTGAATATTTCTAATTAAATGAAATAGGAAATAAAATAATAATCAAATTTCTTTTCCTACTTTTCAGGAAAATCTCCAAAAGAGTTTCTATTTTTCATAGCTTTTGCATTGCCATGCTTCTCAATTGTTCTTTGTTATGCTAGAATATTTTACATTGTAAGGAAAGCTGCGATTAAAACACAAGAAGGTCAAATTAAACCAAATAATTCTGTTAAATATTCGAATCATAAAAAGCATAAAGAAGGTCAACAATCCATTAGGAAAAAGACTTCGAAGAAGCTTGATGAGATTGAAAGCATCTCCTTTAATCCACCATCTAATAAGAATATCTCTTCTAAAAAAGATGCAAATGATAAAGAAGTTGTAGTGATTGATATTCTAAAATCAGAAGAGGAAAGAGAACAGAATGGCTACATTCAAAGTGGATCATCAACCCCTACCGTTGTTTCACAACCTCAGATTTCAATAACTTCTGTCCTTTGTCTTCCTCCACAAGCATTAGAAAATCAAATGATATTGTCAAATGATTCAGAAAGACCTCAATCAAGTGAATATTCTTCTTATTCGACAAGTAACTCAAAGTTGTCATCGAGTGAGGTAAAATACTTTCGTTCAAATGTATTGATTAGTAAATGTTAAAATAATTTTATTCTACGTTTATTAAGCGGGTAGAAAGTTCTGACTTTGATCAAAGGAGTTCGTCTAATAAAGTTTACGTCGATTCTTTCCGTGATGTAGAATCAAGTGATATGTAAGTTGTTAAGTTAAAAAATTAGCAATTAATGTAAATTTTCTTACCTTAATCAGGCAGCATCCAAACTCATTTGTCTTGAAGAAAAATGATGCAGAAATAAGAAGAAAAAAATTAAATGATGTAAACAGAAATGATAAAATTCAGCATAAAAAGTCGTTAGCTAATACATCAGGTGCGTCAATGATTTATGCTGGCAAAATGTCTTCGAAGGATCGACGATTATTGAAAATGATTTTAGCAATTTTCGTCTCATTTCTTACTTGTTACTTACCAATAACTCTAACAAAATTATTTAACTCAATAGGAAATGTAAATTTTTTATTCATAATGGGATATTTGTTGGTTTATATGACAACTTGTATCAATCCAATCATCTATGTTGTAATGTCTTCCGAGTATCGGCAAGCTTATAAAAATCTATTAATGTGTCGTTTGAACAAAAGTAAAGGAAAACCAAAAAAGAAAGCTAATAATTCGAAAAAATAGAAAATAAATATTTTTGTAATCTCTGAAAAATTCTATACGAGTAAATATTAGAAGAAAATCTTAAAAATAACAAAATTCGCATTAAACAGTTTTGAAAAATTAAAAATCTATTTAAGGCTAATGATAACAGAAATAAATGAATAAATATTAAACATCTTTTTGACTTCAATCAGTTTTATTTATCGATTGGAAAAGAAATTTAATTATTTTATTTTTTTTATACATTCTACAATTGAAGATTTTATTAACAGATTAGTTCATCTCGTTTAATCCTGGCCGTTGATTTCGATATGACCCGTAACTGTAATTAGAATTTTGACGTTGATACCTTCTTTGGTCATTTCTCGGTTGATTCCATTCATTGTTTCTGCCTCTATTTCGAGAATCATCATTCATTGTGAAGTTTTGCATCGGCATTTGTTCAATCTCAGAACATAATATTTCGTCAAGGGAATTCGATGTAATGTGATCATGCTCTTTAAGAAAGTCAACAATTTTCTTAAACTTGATTTTAATTTCATTTTCTGGGCTTTTCTTAAATTCTTCTCTTAATGTTTCTATGACATCTGAAGGGAAAGTTTTTTTTGTAAAGCCTTCACTTTCATCATGAAACACTGATTGAAGTACCGGCAAAACATCGTCATACCTTTGTAATTTCACAAGACTAAGCACTTTGATTGATCTTACAGTTAAGTAATTTTGTTGTCTGACCACACTCAAAATTTCAAGAGCAATTTGTGGTGAAGCTTGATCTAATGCTAGAGATGCAAAGAATGTCACAGCTCGTCGCATTGGAACAATCCCTGAATCCAAAATTTCTTTCCACAATTTTCTTGCGTATTCGTATGATTCAGGTGTATTTAATTTGTAACATGCTGCAAATGTTAAAACTATGACATTCTTTGGAAAGCGTCCGCCCTGAATCTGTCTGGATTTGATGATATCAAACGTATTCAGAATATCCTGATACTGTTCAGATTGAAACAAAAGATCAAGTAAAAGATGGTAAGACATAATTTGATCAAAGAATCCTTTCAATGACGAGTCTTTGAAGAGTTGAAGAGCTATTTCTGGTTCTTTTAAGAAGTGCAACAAGCGCATGATCGGTGTACCAAAAATGAAATTGCCAAATCTAACTTCTTTGCTCTGTAAGTTGAAACGTTTTATCATTTTCACCAGAAGATCCAGATCATCTTTATCAGAAATGTGAAGCATATTCTTTAAATCCTACAGTGAAGAGAAAGATGACAATCCTTGATATTAATTACATTTGAAAATGACAAACCTCTGTAAAAACCATGCTTTTTGTATTCTCTTCCGAAGTAAATTCCAACATTTTAGATTTAAATTGGTCAATGTTGTTAATCTGAAGCTTCGATTTTTCTCGAGCTTCTAAAAATCTGTCAATTCCTAATGATGTTGGTGAATATAAAGTTCTTCTTGCCGTAACTACAATTCAAAGAAAAATATTTGCATGCTTTTACAGCCAAAAAATAAATAACAAATGTTTACCATTTAGAGCTGCTGCGTTTGTAATTGCATTCGTAAGCTTAGTATAAAGTGATTTCGATCGAAACATATTTTAATTAGTTGGATGTTTTGTTTGAATCGTTAAAAATAATTAATTTTTGTTTTGCACAACTTTTTTTTATATAAAGCAGCCTAGAAATATCAAAAACCGACACGTCTTGAATACCCCTTTTGTTTACACATTCCGAGCAGACCGAATAATCACGATCCTGGCCAAACTTCGCTCAATTTATAAGTTTATAAACAAAAACAGTGATGCCATTTGATCAGAAGCGAATAAATGGACCAGAGTCATCTTTACTCTATACTCAGTTTATTGATAACGATAACAAATTTCAAGGAAAGAATTTGTATTCAAAAGGAAAACGTGTTGATGGTCGCGAAAGACAAGAGCATCGTAAACATGGTAAATAAAACATATTTTCTAATTGAAAACATCTTTTTAAGATAAAGTATTACACAGCTTTTCTGTTGAATACAATTTCAAAAGCGAAAGGATCTTGTTACATAGAAAATGGTAACACAAAAATCATTTGCGCTGTTTTTGAATTGAGAGAAATTCCAAGAATAAGTAAATATTCGTAAGTAACAACATTTAATATTTGATTTATGTTCTTATTTAATTGACATTATTTCAGTGAAAAGGGTCAAATTTATTGTGATTTCAAATATGCCGCTTTTTCTCGAAGAATGAGGAAATCTAACGATGAAAACGAAGAAAAACTCATGTCAACCAATATAAGAACAGCTCTAGAGTCAACAGTATGTCTTCATGAATTTCCCAATTATCAAATCGACTTATATGTAATGGTTCTTGAAGATGATGGCGCTGTACTAGCTACAGCAATTAATGGCTCAGGATTAGCTTTTATTGATGCATCAATTCAATGTTATGGGATAATAACATCAACTTCCGCCTCTATCATAAATGGCGAGATATTTATTGATCCAACGAGCGAAGAAGAACGTTTAAAGAATGACACAAATAAATCTAAATCTGCAAATTTAACACTTAGCAGCATAAGTAGCATGGATCAAATACCTCAAGTCTTCTTCCATGGACTCGCTGATTTAAGTTTAATCAAAAGTGCAAAAGAAAAAATTCTTGACACTAACAAAACTCATGTTTTGTACTTTAAAAAGCTTTTGAGTAACAAAATTGCCAATGTTAGGGCTTAAAGTTACACAAATAAAATTGATTTCCAAATCTTTATATTTTTTTCTAAATTTAATTGTAAAATCGAGATAAAAAAGTTCTTAATAAGTATAAACTATCCATACAGGTGTTGTTAAATACATTTAGCTTCATAAGGAAGTGAAAACGCAGCTATAATGCCCTCAAGCCATTGCTTTTTATTATCAGCAAAACTGTATTTAGTATATTTTAAAAACCTTCTAATGAGTTGCAAACTTTTGAGAACATTAAAAGTTTACAATTAAACAATAATTTGCAAAACCTTAAGAGAACAGCAATACATCAGAAACCAAAAGTTTATAAATTGAAGATCATAATTTTCAAATTTAAAAATTTACCCTGTAAAACGAAGTAAGCTTTTGAAAAACGGAATGTGTACATTCTTGAAATATCTTATTAGATAAGTTTTTCATATAAAACCGCAGTTGTTTTCACTTGAACTGCAAACAAATTTTTTTTCTCTTTTTTTCGTTAATTTAAATAGAAATCAAATGAATAAGAGAAAAGCTGAGTGTGGAAAACAGAAAAGATATTTGGATTTATCACAACCTATGCCACCAAATTTACACGAACGTGTCGCAAAAATTGTTTCGCTTCCTTTTGGAAAAGATGAACCATTTGAAGAACAAAGAGAAACGGGTAGTGATTTGACTGAAGAAAATTTTATAAAAACGGTAGAACAACGCAAAAATGACAAACCTATTGAAGTCATCATTGAACCAAGAGCACCTGAAATTAAATTATTAAATAATAACAACTGGATAGCACAATATACCACCAAGCCTAAGAAAGAGCGAATTGTCTGGAAAACAAAACTTTTCAAAGACATCAAAGGGATCCATGAAGATTATTTAATCGAAAAAACTGAGGAACTCTTCAAATTTACTGACAAAAGATTGGAGATTAACAAAGAACGTGTAAATGAATTTTTCTCGATTGAAGTTGATGGTGACGCATCAAGAGCGCTTCACATTGAACCTAAAGAAATGTCTGTCGTTCCACATGAAGTTGCAATTATGATGAATCTTCCAAGTCATTCAATACAAAACAAATCTATTAAAATCTTACAATATGATAAGAAATTACGACATTCGAAAAAACCGAAAACTGTCGCTTTTGGAAGTCTCTTGCCAAGTGCACTTCGGCAAGAAAAGTTCAATGAGGATTTCTTCGATGAAGTCTTTGCCGTCAACTGTCCATCGGAATTACGGTCAATGGAAGTTGTATTTAAATCGATCTTGCATCTTGATTCGACTAAAGTCTTAATTAATCATTTGAAAGCAAATCCTGAAATTCCACGACCGAAATACCTTGTAGACAACAAATTTTTTGACACCACCGAAAAGAATTTACAAAAGAAAAAATTATGAAATTATTTTTATAAAATTAAATTTACAGTAAAAGAAATTTTTTGACTTTAACTTGTAAATAGTTTCCACTAACATGTCAATTGATTTTTTTAATCTAATATTTCCAAAATCCAACTCAGTTTTTAATATCTGAACACGAACACGAATCACTTGCAAATAAAAATGATTTGTATGAAAGAGATTAATAGTTTTTGATTGACTGTGATTTAAAAACATTCAGTTTTTAACACAAATTGAGTGATGAGTGTTTAGATAATAATAGTAATTTTGAAATAATTGAACAGAAATAAAAAATAAATTCAACATTCTCATTTCACCTCTTTTATCAATCTTAATTGCAAAATTCATATTATTGATATTTCATTTCATTTAAATACTGAATTCCATTTAAATAAATATCTATGAGATTAAACAATGCAACAAAATTTATTCTAGAAATAAATATTTATTCATTTCATATTTTCAACAAATTCGTTTAACGTTTTAGCAAAATAAACGGTTTCATAACCATTTTATTATTTCTTCGTTAAATGAACAAAAAAAAGCATTTTGCATTCGTTCATCGATATGTAGATGGTCTTCTGAACTAACATCCTTTTATTAAAACATGAATGTACATGCACAAAGAATCATAAGACTTCGTTGTTGAAAGTACCTAAATATTATGTTAAAATACTTAAATCTAATTCAAATAAATGTGAACAATTATTATCATGATTTGGCAAAATAGTTAGCATGAGGAACAAAGTCAGATTAATTTTACATTTATTCCTCCCATTAGATTTGATGTTCTTTTAATTAATTGTAATTATCTTAAAGATGTCCAAAAACGAAAATTTTCATACTATCTGCATAAGCACGGCAGATAAAATAACTAAAATAATCCATTGTAAGATATTTGAAAAACCTGAAATACAGAAAGTGATTAAATTTTATTCGATTCTATTTTCAATTGTCAAATATCTAATCTATTTTAATGAAATAATAAACAAATATTAAAATGGATTACAATTTCGCTTTTAAAAGAAAGTCTTTAATATACAGGAGAATAAGAACGAAACATTTAGGCCGATGATTTATCTTTATTTATAAAAAATTTCAACCCTCATTGTCACTTACAGAATTTTATTTTCTTCTTTTCATTTATCTTGTGATTTAGTTTCTTGTGATCGATCGTGCTTGGAAGTTTCATGCAATGTCTTGTAGTATTTTAAATTGTACAAGAATGCAATGTGTTTAACAAGGCGATAGACAATGTTTCGTCTCATTGTGCGCTCAATTATTCCCAATAAATTGCAATCTCATGTTCACACAGTAGCAGTTCTTGCTATCAATTTTTTTAGAAAATTATTCAACTCTTCTTTAATAAACTCTGCAAATGATAAATGTGGATGAGATGAAATAAAAGTCTGCATCGAATGGTGCACCAGATGCAAGGAAAGAAGTGAAGCGCCTCAAACATTTTTCTCCCAAAATCAACTACTGAGTACAGATGACATTTATTTGGCAACATAAATTTGAGAAAAATTGCATTTTTATGGATCATAACTTTTATTTTTCAAGTGAAACGCTACTACTCAATTTCAATTTATTCCTTGATTTTCCTCTAATGTTCCATTTACCAATCAATAGCTGAGCTTTATGAGCGGATGTGGGAATACAAATAACGAGAAAGGGCTCCCATAACAGTAATTTGCCAACGTTAACGTATCGTCAACATTGGCAGGAAAACATCATGTTTTATCTATGAAAAATATTTCCCCATTTTCAATTTATTAACATTGAGTTTGCAATTATTTCAAATAATTCTTTCGAAGTTTATTTTGTTTTCAAACATATCGTCGCATATTTATGAAGATGAAAAAGTAATAAAACATTTGCAAATTGAATCTTCATGAAGATCTTTGTAAACAAAGACCAGTGCCAAAAGTTTTCACTCACATCTCGTAATAAAAAGTTCAGAAAGGAAAGGAAAAGAAAGAAATGGTTGCGAAATTGAATTTTAAGAGCATCATCGTCTCGTGTAGATTTTTTATGATGTTCACACGAGCAACAGTGGGTCTTCTGGTTAGAATTTAATTTTGTTTGAACAACAATTTTTCTTAATAAAAGTTTGCTAACCCGCTTTTACAGTATCTTGTAGATTGCGGGTCTCCTGGTTTTATGCTGATATCGCTAGAGGAAATTCAATTTCTTTAATGTCTTCTCTGCTTTTCCAAAAGTTCGGAGAGAACAGCAGCAGCGAATTTCATTATAATGAATGCATATTCATAAGAGAAAGTGGAGTTTCCCAAAGTGTTGGATGCTAAACTTTTCTTCTTCCATAATTCAACCTTAAACATACAAGCAAAGCTATGTGTTCATCGTAAGACATAAAATGTATGTGTTGAGGCACGCCACAGACAAAAGTGTAATTAATGTTCATTTGCGAAGTAATGCTTCTAGATTTAAATGAGCGCTTTCGCATGTTTGCACTTGATAAAATCTTCACAGTGATTCACTATTTAGTTTTGTTTTGGATGAGGTGTTGTTTGAAAATTGTTTGAATGCTAGCTTAATTCAACCAACTAAACGATCGCAAAAAGCTCACATTTAACTAAATCATTAACAAACAAAAACTAAGTATCCTTATTAAAACAAGTGCAGTTGAAAACCGAACTCTCAACATTTGCTGTTTTCAGAGAATAAAACCTGTTCGTGAAACCAGAAAAAAAAAGTTCTGTGTTTGCTGAAATACAAGTGAAGGTGTAAAATATATCCAATGAGTTAAAGTTTATCGTACATTTGTAATAGCAACAAAACAAAAGTTGCATGGGTTTCAATTACTCTCATATATTGGGCAACTTTCCAGCACGACTAAATGTTTGTTGCCGTGTAAACTTAAGAGATACGCAGCTCCTCAAATCCTCTACTATCATTGTGGTTTTTTTTTGGAAAATTGGAAGAACAACATGCAGTAAAAATTGAAAATTTTGTTTAACAAAAAACTAGAAAAACATTCTTCTCGCAGCAATTAGTAACTTGAGCACAAGCTAATGCAATTTCGTAAGCATTTTGTGCTTCATAGCAAAACATTAATATTCATTTAAATAAACAAGGTAAAAGTTCATCGTTACTAAAAAGTTGGCAAAGGATAGAAAGGATAATGGATAGTGCTGAAAAGTCCTACACAACTCTCCATCCACATTTATCAGACTCAATTAACCCATGATGTCCCCTTTTACTAAAACAACTTAAGTGTCAATGACCAAAGTATTTTCAAATCTAGTTTTGATAAATATCTTCCATTGAAAGATTACGCAATTAAAAACATCACTTCAAATCTACCTTTTAAATTTATAAATCTGGCTTTAGCTTAAAACTTCAATTTCTTTTAAATCTTTATCCTATAAAGAGGTGAAGCAGAACAAATTGATTTTGTACGCTTCATGTACACAAATAGAAATAGCAAATGCCAGATGCCCGATTGAAAAAAAATAAGCAATGTTATCTGTTTTGTTAAAAGTTTTGGATATTTTAACTTTTCTCTGTACTATTTAATAGCGTTCAACTGCAATGAACTCTGACTCAACATGTTTCAATTCCATGAATGTTGACATCGTTGTAAGTGGAGAAATTTTATCTATCGGGACAATTGGGTAATCGAGACTTCCCTGAATGCTAATGAACTTTTGTTTATCGACAGAACAAACGAACCAAGTATTGATTTAAATAATAAGAATTCTCGATATCGTTAACACCATGCAAATTACGTAAACAAACAATTTAATTCTGGCATAATTCTCCGAAAAAGATCTACTAAAAATATGTATAAATACATTCCAATTTACCAGCGAAGAAAAGTTTTATTCGTTTTGACTTTTCCAAGCAATTGTTTAAGAAAAAAAGAAATAAAAACTTTTTGTGAAGGAGTTTGTTGTATGAAGTTTAAATGAAGAAACTTTTGCAGAGCTCCTTGTGAATATCAACGAGATGTGTCATATTGATGCATTTGATATTTCTTTTTCAGTTTTATTTGAACTAAATATCTATTCATACCTTGAATAAAACAATGATAAATCATGTACAACATTTATTATTTAATTTTTTATTTTGAATATTAAAGTGAAAAGGAAATTTAGGGAGAGAATTATTTGTAAAGTCTTTATGTACGTCAATTGTACCTTGGTAACCAAAATAGTTATGCGCTAGAGAACTTTTCTCCAGCTACCAACTCTAAAGAAATTAAATTAAAAAAGATTAATGAAAAGATGTTTAATTCTATATTCCTTACTTCCATCCATCTTTGCTTCATTCGTTATAAATCAGAAGTTGAATTTTAATTATAAATCTTCTTTTTTTTGTTTTTCTGTAAAATCAAATGAAAAGCACGCCTTAATGAGGAAACTTTTAATTTCTTCCTCTCTTTACAACAGATAAACAAAATCATATTTTTCATGAGAAATATTTAATTATGAAAACTCAAAGATTTTTCTGAAAAGAAATAAGAATATTCCTTGCGATATCTTGCAAACATTCAAAGATTTTACAGTGAACGTGACTTGCATAATAATAAAAATTTCTTTGAACTTCTAATCAAACATTTTTTTTATGAAAATTTTAAAATATTTTCATCACACGACTTATTTTTATCATCACACATACCTTCACATCTTATTGTTACAATTAAATCGTTTGTAATTTAAGTGGAACCTTTTTAACTGAGAATTTCCCGAAAGTTAATCTGAAACTGTTTCTATAATCATTTATATGCATGAAGTGAAGTACACATGTTTTTTATCGTACGTGCTTGTATATTTTAATCTTACCAAGTATTTTCCTTCAACTGACGTTTACCCTCCATAGCCTCAATCTATATCCACTTATTCCAACAGAATTACACAATAGCTTGAAAGCATAAACACTCATCGTCTTCCAACTAGCAAATTGTTTTGCGTGTAAAAGTGGATACTTGTGAATGGTGAATGTTTTCAACTTAATGTCTTCATTCAACAGATTAAATATCCTGATTCTACATAGTGTCGGAAATAAAAAACAAGTTTCTCATTCCATCTTTCAAGTAAAGCAGAAAGGGTGCTCTGGTTACATTGCACACTTAGTAATATTAAAATCAAGTTCGTTTACTGTCAGGTAACATCAGATATTTTTAGAATTTCCATTAATTTTTATTTTCTTCTTAAATTACAAAATCCATCAAATTCAATGATGGAAGTGAACTGACTGATGTTACTTATGTTGGACTTTTGTGTATTTCTTTTTCTCATCATCATACTTACTTTTCAAATTCAAAAAAAAGATTATCTAAGTTTGATCATAACAATTTAAACAGACTCAAACTTTCGCATGTCTCGTTGTTCGAACAAAGTTTTGTAATTTTACATTTCTTCCATATCGACAAGGAAAATGTTTAATAAAAATAATTTTCACGCGTGGGGTTTTAATTTAATCAAATATTCTCACGTAGACTTGTTGTTGATTATGCATTCGCTGATGTGATTGATAAAAATACGTTTGATATCGCGACTTAATGGCATTATGAAGTGGGTGAAAAACAATTTCTGATCAAAATTTAATTGAATCAAACAAGAGATGTGATGAAGAATAATGTTACTTGATCATTTACACAAAAATCTATTTTCCCATTCCAAACAGACTTCATGTTGATGTATGCAATGGTCTATTTGAATTTTGAACTCATAAAAATATATTTTCAATATTTTTCATCTCTTGTCTTATTTGAAAGCATGAAAATTGTTTTTACGGTTTTTTCATTTTTATGATTATTTTGTCGTTTATGAGATCGTTAATACGTTGATATAAGGTGGAAGATGGAAAATTAAATTAAAAACCTTTTTCCTCTTTGACGTTAACTTTTCACTTAAAAGAAATTATTTTGCACTATAAGAAAATTGAATCAAATTGAAATCTCAAAAATTCCATTTAGTTGATGGGATGGATGTGAAAGCAGATTTGACTCACGCCTTATAATTTTGATCAGTGAATTAAAACAGATTTCATAAAATGTGCAATAAAATATTGAGTGCTTTAGAAATCGTCTCACTACTTTAATTATGTACTTAAAATAATTCATCTTTTATTGAAGTTATAATTTATAATTTTAATAATTATTCAACATGTCAGAACTGTCCAAAATACGTTTAAATCATCATTGAATGTTTTGAAACCTTCATATCTGATATTGATAATATCCACAATTGCATAGCATTTAAAAGAGTGAGTACAATAAAATTTGAAAAGGGATAACATCAATGGAAACTGAAACCGGATGCTTAAACATCTGTGTCTGTTATTGAGCAGCTGAACAAAAACTTACACATTAAAGCTCAAAAAAGTATCATTTTCTAGTTAGTGACATTGTAACTGAAATCAACCAGTATCATTTTTCTCAATAACATCATCATGTCAATAAAATTTTTCGTTCTACATGTTTTATCCACGTCGTGTATGTAAATGTCATCATCTAAAAAAACAGCATTGTGAAGTGAAAACTTATTAAAATGCACGATGCATGAAAGCCATGTCACTTACAGATTACTCTTGCATGAAAATATCATCAACGGAACGATAATAGCGCATTGAGAATTTCTGGAGACCTCGCACAGTCAATCAGTCATTATAGGGGATTTTCTCTCCACACCTCTTTTTCATCATTTTTTACTCCATTATTATGTATACAATGAAATTTTATAACTTTGTCATTTATAAATATTTAAGTGGGAAGTATAACGAGCACTTTTCGTAACAGTGCTGACTTCTATCAATGGCTTCAAGCGTTTTAGGGAAAAGTTTGCTTGTCGAATAATAAAAACTTTATGGCTCATAGGAAGCAATGTATAGCAAAACCTCAAGAATCATGCAAAAACTGAGCTCTCCGAAAGTGTTATAACGATAAAAGAATAATTATGTGTGAGAAATGAAACGTTAAAGTTTCGACATTGATAAAACTTTCAAAGAAACATGGAAGTTTTTCATCTCTCGGTGACAAGTAACTAAAGAGTTCTCTTCTTCTGTAGTTAATCATTCATTAACATTACAACAAGACAAAGTGACAGTTGCAGAATGCAACTTTTACCATCAGACATCATCTAACGATGCCATGGAACGGCAAGTTACGTGATGAAAAATTCAATAAGTTAATGGAAATTTGAAGGATTTCTCAGCGAGCGATGTCAAAACATGTCTTTTACAAAACTCCATTGAACTCTCTTTAAAAATATATCGTCTGGGTTGAGTGTTTAAATTTTCATTTTCTTTTGACTTTCCTCAAGAAATTGTTTTTATTATGGTTTGCTTTTTCTCTCTTAATAAATAAAATATTTTGAAAGAGTCAAGCAAGGTCTGATAGCCAGATTAATTATACAAATGTCAAACAGCACAATTAAGTAGATGTTCACGCAATCAACACTGTTCATATTAATGAATGCTATTTGTCAAAGAGGATATTGATGATTGTTTAATGACAAATTCTACCAAAGACAAATTTATTTCGACTACTTTAGTGATAAATAGAGGCATTAAAACTAAATATTTAACCATGTAATGGATCGAAAGATATTTTTTATCATGTTAAACTTCTTTAAACTTATCTTACATGAAATTTAATTTATAAGAAATTATGAAATGGAGATGTGGCTTTGATGTTGTTTGAATGATTCAGGGCATGTTTCTTAAACTAATTCTATTTCCATTCTATCAAACAATAAAACAAGGAAAACATAAAGAAAATTGATATTTATCTTTCTTGAATCATGAAGGAAATCCTTTAAATGCGTTGTCTTACTTCAGGCGACAACCAGCAAAACTAAAACAAATGGAATAAGAAAATAATTTTCTATCTTTTTCTGGTTTTGCAGCATCAATTTTCCGAGACATTAAAGTCAGAGCTTTATCGAGTTTAGATAGAAAAGTGTGAGATGGTGGAAAATCTTTTCAACTGAGAGCGTGCGAAGGGTGGTAAAAAAATTAAGCTCCGGCGTTAAATTATGGCTTTTTGGTTTCCAACAACCAAAAAGTTTTAAAGCCAAAAATGATGGGAAAGCTTCCTTCTCAGTTTTAAGTATTTTTAAAACATTTTTACTGCCAAAACATCGTTCTTTAATGCTTCGAAATGCTAATAGATTGCAAATTTTCCCCTCAACTTCTTCTTTTCGCTACATTAAAATAAAATTACGATCAACACTGTGCTATTCAATCTGACGTGAGGTTCAAAAAGGAGTTAGATACAGATAACTCTTTGAATATGAACTCTTCTCATAGTAAACTTCCCGATTATCTGAAACGATTTGTAAATGATTTCATTTTTCTCTTTTTATTGCATAATTTTTTTTTTTTGTAATTTAGAGAATTGACTGTAACTTTTATTGCTTACTTTTTGTTGGGTTTTTAATTATATTTAAGTTATTTAGTTACATTAGATCATTCATTGTGTGCTGTATTCATTTTTTGATGGTTATTACAAAACAATAATTCAGATAATTCAAGATTTTTCAGTGGCAGCTTCTCTCCTGACCAACTTTAATGCAACCGACTAAGATTTTTCTTCTAAATTTTTTGAATTATTGAACTCTGCGATGAATGAAGAATGTGCTCTAAAATGTGCTCGAGCATGACTTTTTCTCAATACTGTAGGAATTGTAAAGAAAACTCTAGATAAAGAATTCATTATTATTTTTTTCACGGGTTAGGGTAGCACAAAAAAACCCGCGAATAATACAAAATTCCATACGGACATGATTTTCTAATTTTTCGTTCACAATTCATTCTTGTTAACTAACATCTACGAAGCAGACGGTAATAATGATTTTTTCTTCTCTAAATGGAAAAGTGCTTAGAATTTTCCTCTCGTTGCGTTCTTTCACGGCACCGTCAGAACTTTACGGTAAATGTGATGAGAATAAGTATGAAGCGTAATGAAATTAATTTTGCGAAACGAGAAAAAAATGAAGGAAAACCTCGGGCTATGAACTTTAGAAGTTTTCCTCGAATAATAGAAAAGAGAAGAGACAACATGAAGCAATGTCATGCGTCGTATTTTTCCATTTCTTCGTAGTTCGCAATCACCTTTCATTTTATGTTTCCTTTAGATGTTTGACATATTAAAAGAATTTAGTAAAGGAGACATAAAGATTGTAGTTGAGTGCACATTCTGCATTAATATCTGCGTTTATATAACAAAAAAAATTCTTTAAAATTAAAAGGCATGTTTATAAAATCTTGTTTTATATTTTTTAGTTTAATTTGGTTTTAAATATTTACGGCAAATAACATAAGACAAATAAATTAGTTTTATTTAAAACTCTTTGCATTTAACTCCTTATGCATTCACGGAGATGGTCTCGTATTTTGCTACAATTTCATAACAATAAAATATAAATTATATTGTTTTTATACAGGAGCAAACATTCATAAATATGAATATACATTAATCATCATGGAGCCATAAATACAAACATGCTCGACATGTGGAGCATCCAATGGAAAGATTTTTTTGGTTGATGTTGCTGGAAGTCGCTAGAGATGCATTTTTTATAATTTTCATCGTAAAAGTTTTATTTAAAAGCATGTAGACGAATTTATACAAATATACATATTTAAATATATTTTTATATAAATAAACGTAAAAGCACAAGATTGGTAACAAAGGTGGTGAGCTTACAAAAAATAAAGCAAAGTGAAGAATGTGCAAACTTTTAATATTTTCCTTTGACTGATCGAAAGCAATTCTTATAGAACATCAGCGAAAAAAAGCTGAGAAGGAGATCAATCTTTAAATTTTTTAATCTTCAATTTTGGATATTTCATAAGTTATGTTCATTCTAAACATTTATTAACTTGAAAATTCTAAAAAATTGGGTTTAAAACTCATTTTACATACAGTTGAAGCCCGTTGTAATAAATTTGAAGGGAGTCACAATTAACGGGATTTGCTCTTATAATGAGATTTCTTACAACGGGCTTGCACTGTATTTAAGAAAACAAATAGAATCATATCAATTGATTATACCTAATCAGTAATTTCTACGGAAGAATTGTCCAAAAGCAGATTTCTTTCTAAACTGTACTGTCACGACTCACGAATAATTCTGCTGTTAAATACTTTTTTTAAAAGTTGTTCTTTAAAGCTATCGTTAAGCATTCAGAACCTTTAAAAGTTTTTCTCGTCCACAATCTATCCATAGTCTTTGGTTCACATAACAAAGCTGAGGCAAATAAAAAATATTAAATCAACTAATAAATAACATTCTCTGTTCTTCAATAGGAAATTGATTACCAATATATTTGGCTTACGGGTCAAAAATTTGAGCAATTTGATGGGTAATTCATAATATATGAATAAATTCAAAATTAACTTTGCCTTCGTTAAGTTTTAACTCCATAATGAAGACGATTTTTCATTAAACCCAAATAAAACTATCTGTATAAATGAAATCTTTCCACTTCCTCTTAGGAGTACATCAAGACACCATCTAAAGCAAAGTAAAATTTGCATCTACAAAATTTGGAAAATCTGATTGGCGGTAAAGTGAAGTTTACTCTACTAGACACAACCACCGCAAGAGAATATCATTTCGTTGCATTTCATATGCTCTGATGGAGAAACTTGATTGAAAAGTTTTCAGCGATGTGAAAATGTCAATATTTTTCATCTAAATCAATGTTGAAAAAGAAATGCTTGAGTCAAGTTTTCTTACTTATTTTCTATCTTAGTTTTACAGTCGAAGAGCTTCTGAAATTAAATCAATTCTTACTCTTGAGTCTGTTGTAAATATAAAAACATTTTCAAAATTTTTATTGGATACAAAATAAAATAGTTTTGTAGTTTCACAAATAATTAAGTTTTTTCCATCTTACACAGAAGTTCTTATCATTAGTTTAGTACTAAAAGTCATTAAAATAAAACCAATTATCTCATCGGTCAATCAATTATCATTTTTTTTTTTTTCTCATAGTTCTTTATTTTAAAATATCATTCCTCTAAAATTGACGAGATCCAAAATAAATATTGAAGTAATAACGTAAATGTATGTTGAACTGCAGTAGCTACTTATGCAATACAAAAGAAAATCGTTTTGTTTGTTATTAAAATATTTTTTAAGTGCTATCAAATATCCGAATGAATATTACTGTCCACAACTTTACTTAACTACATAAGTGTCATAATATTTACTTATACGATAATTTTGAACTTGATTTTCCTTTCCACAATATCCTGACAATCTTGAATATATTCTAACCACAGAAATTAATTTCTGCATAATTAGGCATTGAGACAACAAAAATATAAGCATAAATATTTCAATCTCCAGATTTCCACCCATTTACAAGAAAGTTTCTGTAATGCAGTTATGAAATTTGAAAGCATTTGGAAAATGAATGAGAATTGTGTCTGTGAATGAGCTCAGAGAACATTTTTAGCAAGCTTTCAAGAGAGTATTTCAATAAAATTGATAAGAACAACTTGTCTCTCAATGCGTGGTGATCATGCGCTTATGATGTTAATTCCAGCATTTTATCATCCCTGAGAAAATTTAAGTTTTCAAAGTTTCCATGCCAACAACGAAACATCATTCAAACATCATATTAAATGCAATTTATAATAAATGATGCAGATGAAAACAAGAAATGGTTCAATAAACTTTTAGGGAGCTTTTTTCAGTAAAGGCAAATGAGAATTAAAAAAATTCTCTTGAAAACTTGATTATGCACTTGAAATCTGAAGAATGCTTTCGATGCTTTTACAAATTAATTAGAACGTATGCATTTTCAAACTGTAGCTTTAAGCCTAATAAAGTATATGTTGGTAGTTTTATGGACATGTTTGAGATGCACAAAGATTCGAACTGACTCAGTTAATTTCCTTTTGAAAATTGAAAATTCCCGTTACATCTGCAACTTCATTAAATTAACTAAATATGTTAAACTCCTCTTAAATTTAAATTATAGAATAAATTTTGTGAAATTATTTAATGGAATATTCTTTGAAATAAATAAAATGTCTGAATTCAATGCTGTTGCAAGTTGCAACTCCAGTCAAATTTAAAACTGATTCTAACATAATGTTCTCCATTTTAATTGCTTTAACGTTCGGTTCGAAACAAAGTGCTTGAATGAAAATATTTAACCAAAATTTTATGACTTTTTTACTACCTAGCTAAAGAGTTTAAAATTATTTTTGATAGTTTTGTCAGCAACCTGTGTTCAATGGCAATAATGTAATGAAGAAATTGGTTTCAAAACTTGAAAAGAATATTTATGGTTTAAAAGAACTTCTGCAGATTGCACATAAAACTTTGATGAAAGAGAAGCTTTCGTAATATGCAACAAATTTAGAAAAGCTAAACTTAAAGTGACAGCAGTTATTTTTGAGAATGTAAGAAGAGTCTTCGACATTCTTTCTTTGCAGACCTTGCAACAAGAGTGACACAAATGTGTAAGAGAACAGTATGTAAATATGTATGACAATATTCATATCTACTTAGAGCGGAAGAAAGTAAAAAAATGTGAAAAGGGTACGAATGAATTTCTCTTTTTTCATGTCCATGATTTCAGTAGTTCTAGGAAAAGCCAAGCTATAGAGAAGCAAAATCGTTTGGTAGAAAGTTTAAGGCCAAATTGATGCGGTAAAAAAGAAGCTTTTCCACATTTTTGATCATTATGAATTCTGTAGCAAGTTGAATTTGAAATCATCGCCGGTCTCAATACTTTCTACGTCGTTCTTTGAATTTTTATTCGTTATCAGGACGATGTAGCATAAAATTTGTAAATAATATTTATGTTAAGTATACTGTGTAAGTTGAAATAAAGTTTATTAATGCCAAACTAGTAAACGTATTATTATGAGACATAAAATATGTCACTATGAAAAGTATAAATTTTTATTAAAATAAACACGTTCGACTGGAAAATTACCTTTAATGCATCATGATGAATTATGTAATATGAAGAATTTTAATTCACGGTTCATGCAATTACACGATAGATAATAAGTATAAATCGATCAATTAATTATTTATTATTATCATTTATGAGCTTTTTATTCATACGTGCTTGGCATCCTGCACATGACTGCATCAACTACTCGAGATTGTTTCTTTTTCAATAATGTAAATTGAGAAACATCCAGTAAAGTGACCCATGTAGTTAATGTCCAAAAATCAGGATACATAAAGTCCCATTAGCTTTGGTTTGGTTCGAATTTGCCACAATGTCCCATCATTCACTTTTTTAATAAGTTATCAATTTTGCAGATTAATAAAATTTAAACAAGGCCATTAATCGTTTAAGAATATTCAGAAACGTCATTAAACTGAATATTTTGTTTAATGTTTGGTTCATTATTCGATTTCAGACTGAAATATGAAGAAGCACGATTAAATAATTACATTAATTCATGAGTACATTCTCCCAATTGCTTTCAAAAGTTATTCTTCAATTTCGTCATTCTTCAAATCTTAAACAATTTTCAGTTTCAACCTTTTACTTGAGAAAAAAAACTTTGATTAAGTATCGGTTAATACTTATTTTATTCTCAACCCTTTTAATAATTGGAAAACATTCAAGAAAAACGAAAGCTTTTCATATGATTTTTAAACATCATCAAATAGTTTGCTTTACTTTGTTAATTTTTAAAAGCATCCGCAACAAAATTTGAAGTGCTTGCTTCAAATCCTTCCATGTAGCATTGAATGGCAGTTATCGTTATTTTAAGGTGGATAAAAAAGATTTTGGTTCCTATTCTGCTTACAGGCTGCATTTAACAAGGACAAGTCCAATTTTATTGCACCAGCTTAAATGCTGTCGAACTTTATATATTTTTATATCTATCACATTGAAAAATTTTTGTTTGTCTGATTGCCAGCAATGGATTTGACATTTTTCAAATGAAGAAAATATAAGTCAAGTGATAAAGAGAATATCTAACTCGTTAAAAATGTTAAGGGTGAAATAATTTTCTTTTGATCAGAGATAATGAACATTACGATTAAAAGAATTAAAAGGAAATTGTTACTGATTATGGAGCTTTTTCTTACAAAATTGCAATTTTCGATAGTGCAGAATATATTTGGACATTTGCCCAATCGATGATATCTTTTACGAATGATTACTTTAGATTCCTACCATGTTTGAACTAACTGAGATGACTTTGCATTGCTATAAATGTGGCCATAGCCATAGAAATTCTCAGGAGAAAATTTCTACGATAAATTTTGTTGTACTGGAAGACCGATGAAAAATCCGGAAAGAAATTTACTTTTAAAGGACACAAAGACACAATTTTACATCGTTCAATAAATTTTCAGCAATTTGACAACTCAAAAGAAATAACTACAAACATTTATTTGTGCATTGAGGCAAGAATTCTTTCACAAGCGCTTCAACTTGTGAGTAAAATAAATAAAAATTTCTTTCAACATGAATCACATTCTAAAAAGCGTTGCACTTTATTAAAGAGCGGCTCTGTATCTGCATCAACAACAAGCGATCGTTGTAAGAAAAAAAAACTATTCAATACTTTAAGTTTTATCGTTGAAAAGAATTCCTTTCGTCTGTTCAACCATTACATAAGACCTGAGTACGAGGGTGGAAGCTATAATCAAACTTTTATGTAATCGACAATAGTTTGTGTAACATGATCGGAAAATTTTAGCTTAGCGTATATCTATATTCTCATTCAATGTATCAACCATTCCCAGATTGAAAATTGTTCACAACAAAAGATGAATTGCTTTGCCAAAACACATATACAGAGCAGAATGGAAAATTTCCTACACGTATAACTGCATAACATGTATAAATAATGCAATGGAGATGGCTAAATATTTCTATTCTCTTTCTCTATCCCACATCTCATGGCTTTATGAAATTGTGTTTCATTGTAAAAGCCCGCAAATTGTATATAGAACAACTAAACATCATAAATTTATTTAATTTCATTCATTCATTTGTGATTCTTTTAAAGTTTGTGTGTTGGGGTGCAACTATTGGAACAGTAATAAACAACATGAGTAAAACATCCTCGTTTAACGTTCATAAAGAAGTTTTCTCATTGATACGCGATCCAATTAATCCGTTGTTGTACGCTGGAAAGATTTACAAGCGCTATCGTAAACAGTAATTTAAATCAGCATTGCAAGCGTGATACAAAAGTCTGCATTCAATCGGAAATTGCGTATTGAGTTTGAACATTTTCTAGCTGCTTACTAGTTACAACTTATAATCGACAAGCTTTCTCCACAAACGAGCAAGAATGATTTTCCGACGATAATCTACCGAGAATCAAAATCGAATTGTTCACAAAGTTTCCGGGAGAATCAATCAATATTATCCGACGTTTAAAAATGATTGAAACGGCTTTAAAGGATGAAATGTTCATCGAGTTTATCTCTCAATCTTTGACAAAAAAAATATTCCATTGTAAAACCATTTGAACCATAACAATATTAAATCTCATTTATGACTGGATGGATTGGATTTTGTTTCATTATTGTCTCCACTACCTTCGTAAGGATCATGATGCTATTAAATACGTAGCTCGGCTTTCCTGTAAATATTTTTAAAAAAACCTGGATATTCTTCTAATCGATATCGAACTTTCATATCTACTCGATTTAATATTTGATAATTAAAAAGAAAATGAAATAATGTATTAAAATATTTATTATAAAAATGTCAAACTCCATTTTGCTTCAACATTAATTTTCTTTGCGGTTTTAATCTTGAGCCTTTTTAATTTCACTACAAAGTAATTTTCTTATTCATAGTAAGTTAACAAATTTGCGAAAAATAAAATAATTCGGATCATCTCGTAGTAGTAATTTCAGTTTATTTTACCTAGAAGTTTACTTAAAGGACACAACACAAGATGTTAATCGCATGTTTTTGGTATCTTTGCAATTTCATTATTTCTATTATAAACTCTTCCAGATCCGCTAAACATTCTATCAATCTTATCTATAAAGCTTTGCTTTGACTTTCTCTTCGCTTGTAGAATTTCACGACAAAGATCTAGAAAGGCATCGCTCACTTGTTGCACTTGTTCAGCTGCTGATATTTCGTAGAACTTGCAATCAAAATCTTTTGCTAAAATTTCACCTTCATCTGTGCTAACTTGGCGCAAATGTATCAAGTCTGCTTTATTACCTTGTAAAGTGGAAAGGAAATATTAATTTAATGTTGATTGTTTGACAAATTTATTCATGTTTTACCTATTAACAACACTGGTGTGTCACTAATTTGTAGCTCCTGTTTCACCTTCTTGATAAAATTAAACGAATCCCTATCAGTTATCGAATAGACAAGCAACAATCCATCGCACCAGCTTAAAGCTTCAGCCTTTGACGAGACAGAATCTTTCATATCAATCTATTCGAGATAAAGTTTAAAAAAGAAAAAAATATTTTATTGTAAATTAATTCTTTTAAATATGCCTAACCAGGTTTTCATATGATTTCATTGATTTTTAATTTAAATAAAAAAATATTTGAAATCAGACAGAAATCTGGCTTTAAATTTAATTGAAAAGAAAAACATTAATAAAATAAACAGAAGTCATTCACATCTGAGTTGGAAACATTTGGTTTTTGTTAGTTTTTTTTCTATTTTGAAAAATATATTTTTAGAAGTCGTAAAGTTTATCAATTAATAATATTCACAATATTTGACAGCCTTCTAATGTATGACATTGAAAAGCGAAGTTTTAATGATCCACGATTTGTCACTTTTTGACAAAGGATCAATGATCAAATTTATCACAATTACTAGGAATGTATAAACATAAAAATAATTACCATACAAGTGTCCCATATTTCAACCAAAACAGCTTCTGTATCCACAAGTATCTCATGTTTATGTACTTTGTCTATATTTAGATTAAATTGAAAAACAATAAAACATTAATTTAATTTTGTTGCGTATTATTTCTAAATTTTCTAAAATTACCTGCTTGATGATCATATTCACCGATGTAACGTTTAGTTAAAAAACGTACTGTTAATGCTACAATAGATGAAAAAGAGAAACAAATATGTATAAAGATATTTTAGAAATTTAACCAAATATTAATGAGAACGCAAAAACGATTATGCCAATTTATGCAACTTGATAAATATATCTGTATCCGATTAATTTTTGATGTCGCTTTTCTATATATTTAACAGACACGTGTCAGCATAGTTATAGATAACTTGATCATTTGAGGCTTCAACTCTTCTTTTGATAAGAACTTTATTTAAGAAAAAACTATAAAACTTGATTGATTCAATTTCAAGATTATTGATTTATGTCTAAAAACGAATACGCAAAGATAGTTGTAAAACAATTTCTCTCCTTCAGTTTAAATCATCAAGGTAGAAATCAGTTTTAATTATCAATTGTTACTAAATTGAAATCTGAAGGCTAGTTAGTAGCTACGTCATTTTTACTCCTAGGTTGTAAAAACTTTGAAATTATGAGTATACTGAAAAATTTCACGTTAAATATCCAAATGAAAGAAATAAGATTATTTGTATTTATTTTTAGAGTTATTTTAAAAAGGGCTGTCGGTTGTAGATCACAAAGTCGAAATAAATTTGATTATTTTTTTAGCATAGATGCACTCACTCATATTATTAATTTACTGTGGTTAGTGATAGAATTTTATAAAAATTATGAAAGAAATAAAAATATTCGTGGATAATTCTTAAACAAAAGAAATTCATAAACCTGACATCATTGACCGCTTCTGAAGTATTAGTAAACAAGAAAACTTTAAAAAGGCTAGAAGTTGAATGGTATGTTGCTATTTATTTGTAAATATTCATCAATTAGTAGCAGATTGATTTATGTAAATATTTTTAAATGATCAACATCCCTAGTTTGAAGACAGAAATAAACTAGAGAAAATATGAAAAGCAGTTGAACTTTATTGTTAGTGTTTTTTCGCATCTTAATAATAGATTCAACATTTAATATCAATCACGTCTTATTTATCATCCGATGAAATCCGTGAATTAATTTAATTAGAATATGCCAAACTGATCTAAGGTTTAAAATAATTATTATCACTAATTTAACATTTGTGTGAAGTTTTTCTTTACAGATCAAAAGTTGAATAAAATTCCATAACTTTAAAAATCAAATGTCTGGCTTGGTATCTAATATTGAAAAATCTAATCTTCCTATAAAATCCTATTTAATTTGCATTAAAACATTCTTTTCTCTTAGTACAGAAAAACAATCAATATTAATTTTTAATTCTTCTGCCCTGATTTCATCTTGATGGGAGCATGTTCTTGTTTAAATTTAAGTTTAAAACAATAACAGTTTTATTTTGTCAGACATATGATGAGAACGAGGAAAGGAAATAAATATTTTTATTTCAGTCGAAATGGTTCAAGGTGAACTGATTTAAATATATACAGCGGAAAAACGAAATTTTAAACCCTGCCTAAGTAGTCAAAACTTTTAACAAAAAGATGCGTTAAAACGAATTTAGTTTTTATTTCAATATATCAATCTGAATACTACATACGTTAATGTCTTTTCCTTCTTTCTTTTTTTACTTTATGATCAAGCTTAACTATAAAATTTTAATAAGTAGGTAACTAAAATTTTACCTGATTTTCCCACCGACTTCTGACCAAAAATAGCAATTTTTGCATCAACTAAATAAGATTTTTTACGTCGGATTCCTCGTGTTGTCATTAGTGCTAATAAATTTTAATCTTTTTAAACTGATATGAAAGAAAAAATATCTGTTCGACTTAAACTCGTTAAACGCTTTGTGATAGATTTCTTGTTAATTAAGCGTTTTTATAGGAATTTACACAAAAATTTAACTCCACATAGCTTGCAATAAAATTGAATAATAAATATTATTAATTAAGATTAAATTTTTTTCTTGTTTTGTTTTTCCAACACTATTCTAAGCCAAAAGATCTTAGGTATTAAGAAAATTCCTCAAAAATGTTCAATCCAAACACAAAAATGTTGATTCTTCCGAATGCAAAATTTTTACTGAAGAGAGCAGAAAAATCTTACTTGAAAAATTGATTCTGTTGAAATAATGCGAAGAAAAGAAAACTTATGAGAAAAATGAGAGAAAATGATTTGAATATTGGTTAAAAATACTTTTTAACCAGTCATGAAATAGTATCGAACTTTTAAGTCTGAAACATTTTCTATAAAAAGTTTGTTTTTCTTGCTACTATCCTGTGCGAAAATTGTTTACTCAAATTATTAACAAAACGTCTCGTTCAACAGAGGAAAGAGTTACAAATTAATTTTTAAGAGATCAAGAAAATGTGTACGCGTGCCATAAGAATTTTCAGATTAATAAATCGATTATTGAGTCAGTAGAAAGCGTTATATTGAAAAATTTGGAATCTTTATTAAAAAAATAAATTTAATTAATTAATTTGACGGTTGAGCTAAATATTTTTGATCTACCTTAACTTTTTTTATTATAAATATAGATAGGTAGTTTGTATAAAAATGATTAATAGAAAAACAAATCTTCAACTGATGAATAAGGTCGACTGAATGATTTCAATACAAACAAAGTGCATCTATTTAGAACTTCTTCTGAGGAATTTTTTGAAACTGCCCAATTTCTTATTTAGAAAACATTTCTCACGATAACATTTTTCGACAAAATAACAATTTCTCGTTTTCTTCTAAGGACTGATTTAAGTAATTAAAGAAATAAGCATTTCTAAGGTTTTGTTTTGAATTTAGCTGAATTTTTCTCGTGAATGTTTTTAAATATTAAAATAGCATCTGATATGACAGTTGAAAATTTAAAATTTGTAAAATTCAGCCTTTCCTAGTTACCTAATAAGAAACACGATTAAAATTACGGTTGAATAAAATCTAGAGTGAATTATAAAAGATAAATTTCACTTAAATATACTCAAATTCTAACAATCAAAAAAAATATTCGAATTTTAGATGTGCAATCGTAAAA